CTGAGGTCACACGGTCCACCCCGGCTTTGTGCCTTCCTTGCTCTTAACCTCTCTATGGGGCTCTATTTCCTCACCTGTAAGATGGGGAGCACGGCACTACGTATTTCACATGGCGCCGTGTAAGACACAGTGTGGGAGTGTTTGTGACACACTTCCCATGTGGCCCGAGTGCTAGATGATTGCTGGTGACTGTTCTCATCATGTAAACACTGTAGGACATTTTCAAGCCCAAGATGGAAGGCAGTTATGAAGCAGGCATAATTTCCAGAGAGAGCACATTTTAAAGTTTGCCCTTGGGCAAGAGTCTCGGGACACCACATCAGAATTACCAAACAAGTCTTCATGGAATCACCTGAAGTTTCCCCTAAGGAAGGGTTTTTTTTTCCAAAGGAATACTTATTGGCACCCTCCACTGCGCTCCCCATTCCACCCACTCTGCCTCATGGTTCACCCATTCTCTAATTATTGTAACAGTGAGAGGTGGGTATTATCCTTCCCAATTCGGATATAAGGAAACAGAATCCCAAGAGGGCAAGTGTCTTGCCCACATAGCTCAGACATGGTGGAGGCAGGATTCAAACCCAGGCCTGTTTGGCCCAAGGCCCAGCTTCTTGGCACTAGGTGGCAGTGCCTCAAGATTCCACCCAGAGAAGTCAGAGACCGATCATCTCATCCACAGTCCTTGATGACCAATCCCCAAAGCAAAGAAGAAGACAAGCAGAATGAGCTCAGAACCCCAATTCTAGTCACTTGATTTCATGGTGTTTCCACTACTCTTTTTCAATGACATTCAGGAAAGGAAGCAAAGAGTAAAACGGAGCAGGGATCCTATGCAGGTGTCACCTTTGGGGACTCTGTGACTTTGGGGAAGACTTTTTGGGTCGAAGTTTCCCCTCCGTGTAACTGCGGTGGTGGTGGCCAGATGTGCTCTTCTTTCCTGCCTTTATCTAAAGCCTGACAGTGCAGAGCAGGTCTGGAATGGGGCTCTGGAATTCGTATGGAGAAACACCAGGCTTCAGGGTACCACCTTTCTGTTCCTGGAAATGGTTTCTCCACAAGGTGTGACTGCAAAGTAACATGACTGATTGTTTAACAAACCTAGAAGAGCCTTCAAGAGGCCACATAACTGTAATGGTACAGCCACTGTGTACAGCTCTCAGGAAGCTTCGGCAGGATTTGTATTGTTTGTATAAGGGTCATTTGAAATCCTTAGTCAGGGATTTTACGATATATTTGATTTTTTAAAAAAGATTTTATTCATTCGTTCGACAGAGAGAGAGAACACAAACCAGGGGAGCAGAGAGGGAGAGGGAGAAGCAGGCTCCCCACTGAGCAGGGAGCCCGGCACGGGGCTCGATCCCAGGACCCTGGGATCATGACCTGAGCCGAAGGCAGATGCTTAACCGACAGCCACCCAGGCACCCCAAGATATATTTGATTTTTGACAACAGCCAAGCTGATGATCAAAATAACCAGCCTGCCATCCTAGGAGTGCTAAACACTTTCCGTCCTCTTCATGGAAGGAATTTCAGCAATGTTTTAGGCAGTGGGAGAAGTGATAGAATGATGCAGACCTCTAACGGCCCTGCTGCTCTTACAAACCTCACAAGGATGCCCAAACCCCAAGGTATTTTTTGACAACCAGCCTGTGTTATGTGAGGCCCCTAGCCGCCCTTGGGCTGCTGCATCCTGTTCCTCGGTTTCTCTCTAAAAGAAGGTTTTTCCATCTTACAAGGGGATGCCTGGCAGACTCCTCAGGTATCTGAACCTGACAGAAGAACCAGGTGCAACAAGATGGCCACCCCATTTGCTTCTGCAGCATCTCCTAGGACCTATAATTCCTTCTGTGAGGTCCACAGAACAGGGAGTTGTTGAAGCTCTGCAGTTTGACTTTGGTGGTACAGAAAAGGTAATAGGGACCCCATGGAAGAAGGTCAATTATTTGTGAAAGTCCTGAATCCCAGACCTGGGTCTGCTCCACCACCCAGTGGTCGTTTGGCCAAGGAGCCAGCAGACACATGCAGTCTGGACAATCCTGAACCCTTGGCTACGAACAGGTCTGGCTACTTACTCTATTGCACCATCTCCCTCTTTACAAAGTTGATGACCCATTTCTAAACTCACCACATTTCTCTATGAGCTTCAGGGGAAGAAGGATAAAAATAATCAGCCAACTCCTTATCATGTTCCTCAATTTCAAAGAACTAGGAAGAAAAACAAACAGCAAGAGAAGTTCAGGTTAAAGTTGGAGCAGCTCAGCAACAAATGGACCACGGCACAGACAGTTCCTAAAGGGCTTTCACCTCACACCAGTGACCTCACATGCTTTGCATCACCAGGTGACTGGGGCGTGCGGTGTGTGGAACATAGCTTTCTTTGATATGTGGAGCCATGGGCTCAGAGAGGCTAAGTGTGTTGTGTAAGGCTCCACTCTGAGGAAGAAGACAAACACCAAATTTTTCCCTCTTCAACTGCTTCTTGTAACCTTGTTAACAAAAAGAAAGAATGCAGTTTTATCGGCTGGGGGTCCTTTTTTTTCAAAAAGTTATCCAAATTGTGGTCAGATATTTGACTTTGTGAACCTATGAACCTTAAGGAAATTAATTTCATTCCTTGTCCTGGGTCAAAAGCCTAAGGGGCTAATGCCACCACCTGACACCGGGTTAAGACTTTTTCATTTGACAAATGTCACCTCTCCAGGACTGGCAGGGATCACTCATAATGGGGACCCAGTGAGGGAGGCGCCCCAGATTAGCCCAGGGGAAACTCAGTGGTTAAGTGAGGGAGATGCACTACATAACACCTATAACCCCAAAGCACAGCAGGTGAACCACGTGTCAAGATGGGGCAGGTCAGCATGGATATCTCTAACTTGGTCTGCACATACTGCCTTGGCATGCAGAGCCTAGGCCCTCCCACCTGACAGCCTCTGGGGAGTCCCGTGGGGAGAGCTAGGAGAGGTCTGTGTGGAAACACCTCTCTGATTTCAGTTTTCCCAAAGGGCCTCAAGGAACCTCCTAATACATCCCTCCCTTCAAAGACATCTTCCTGACTGCTCCAGCCTGCCTGATCTCTGCCTGTCCCTGTCTCCTCCGGGGGCCTCTCTGCCTGGGGCAGCTCCCTTTGATCGGTTAGGTCTTACTTCAGGAGCTTTCCCACCTGCTGGCACTGACCTGCTCTGTCTCTGGCCTCCTCTGGATTCCTTGCCTTTGGTGCTGTATCCCTGTGCTCCCTACCACCCACTTTCTGTACCCTGACCTGCAGGGAATTGCTCTGCTGTGTCTGTGGAGTGAGCACGGGTCTCCCGTTCACTCTTGCCACTCTCTGCTCCTCACACCTGCCTGTGTCCTTAGGTTCAGGATTCAGAATGTCCCTCAGGGTAGAGTCTGCGTTCCCCGCCCCTGGAAATCAGATATGAACCAAGCCTAACCAGCTCCTCTCATCCTGCAGGAGCGGAATGTGGACTAAGAAACTCAAATGTTTGGTCAGCAAAAGTCCCACCCCGCCCGACCCAGAGTCTGAGATACATACCTTGCAGGAAAGACACCAGGACAGATAGACACTGAGAAGTAAGTCGATTAAAATGTCAGAAAAACGTCAGAGTGATAGCTATACACTAAAACTATGTCTTGTGAATGCTACAAGGTAGAAATATAGAATTTCACGACAATGGGCTCTTTCGGGCATGCCCCTCTTCCTGTGTTAAGTTCTATCTTCCAGGTGTCACTCAGATACCATTTCAAGAGGTCTCCCACTCCCAAACCATGCACCCCTGGAGCAACCTGGGGTCAGGGGTCTCCAGCTCCTGTCAAGTATCTGACTTAATCCTGTCAATTGTTTTACAACCTGGAACACCTTGAGTCTCCTTCCCTTGTAGGACACAGAAAGTGTCAAAAATGTGTGCCCTGCAGACAGACTGCACAGGTTTGAACCTGGGCTCCCCATTTATTGTGTGACTTTGGGGTGCTACTTAACCTCCTCAAGCTTCAATTTCCTAATATGAAAACAAGACAGTGGGACTACATCATAGGACTTAAACGAGCTGAAATGCATAACATGGCTTGTGGCCCTCCAAAGGGCCACAGTACACAGACAGACTTAATCAGTGGTATTAAAATTTCATAGTGGTGGGGAAGAGTTCATTAGAAAAAAAAAAGGTTGAGAAACAATGTCGTAAAACGATTACTACCGTTGCCTCGGCACCTAGCAAGCTCTCATAAAGCATAGGTGGTTATTTTTCTCAGTTCTGTTTGAAAGGTCAGTTGTCCTCCCTTCCCCCAGCCTGAAAGTCCCGGAACGCAGGGCGGGGTCTCATTCTGCTCAGTCCCCCAGAACCCAGACCCGCGCTGAGCACACCAACGGGAGTTCGTGGAATGGGCTTTTCATTTTTTTTTTTTAAAGATTTTATTTATTTATTTGAGAGCGAGAATGAGAGAGAGAGAGAGCATGAGAGGGGGGAGGGTCAGAGGGAGAAGCAGACTCCCTGCCGAGCGGGGAGCCCGATGCGGGACTCGATCCCGGGACTCCAGGATCATGACCTGAGCCGAAGGCAGTCGCTTAACCAACTGAGCCACCCAGGCGCCCAGGAATGGGCTTTTCAGCACCTCCTCTCTCCAAAGTAATCTGCCAACTCCGCGACCCAGATTCAGGCGGCAACTCACCCGGAGGCGGGGAGGGGGCTCGGACTTGCACGGGAGTAGAGCCACCCACACCACCTCGGCAGCCCAGGGTCCCCTGCCTCCGCTCACCGGCCCGCGGGCCTTGCAACCCGTAGGCTGGCTGTCTCGAGGCCGGGACCGCTGGTGGGTGATGGAACCCTGGCGCGGCTGGAGGGGGGACTAGACGCGCGGCAAGACCTCAACCGACTTACCCTGCCAGTCTTTAGCCTCTCGGGGTCCGCCGGGTAAATGGGGGGAGGCTGTTGGGGCCGCGCCGACGCCCACCTGAGACCCTCTAGGCTCCGGGCAGCGACCACAACGGACGCGGGATCCGTTTTGGACCGTACCGGCTTCCCCCGGCAGCCAGGCTTTGGACGAGGGCGGGCCAGAAGTCACCGGACTCCAGCCACCGGATTCTCGGCTAGCGGAGCTCGGTGCGATGCACGCTGGGAACTGTAGTCCGGCAGGGCTGCGGCGGAGCAGAGGGGCCCGGGCGCCTTGGCGGGGATAGGGGCTCGGGTGTGTGGGAGGCTTAAACCACTTTTAGGGACACAGAGCCTCCCGGAGCCCCCAGTGCCTGTCGCCGAACTCCGCGATACCACGGTGAGCTAGGCCGCGGCAGCGCTCGGCCGTCTTAGAGCGGCCGCCGCGTGGAACGGGGCCCCCTAGGTCCTGCCTTCCGCCGCCTGTCCCCCCATAGGCGGGGCCCGCCGGGACGGCGCGCGGGGCTCCGCCTTCCTCGACCAATGGGAAGGCCGGAAGCCTCCATGCTGGGTGTGGCTGAAGGGCCGGCCCCGCCTCGGCGCCTGGGAACCGGCCGGAGCGGGCCGGAGGGGGCGCCACTCCCCCAGACGTCGGCTGCGCGGCGCTCCGAGGCGATGGCTGCGCGGCCCGTCGTTCTCGGTATCGACCTGGGCACTACGTCTGTGAAGGCGGCCTTGGTGGAGGCTGTGCCCGGCGACCCATCGGGGTTTGTGGTCCTGGCGAGCTGTGCCCGGGCTGCGCGGGCCGAGGCGGCGGCCCAGAGCGCGGCGGCAGGGCCCCAGGTGAGGCAGTGTCCTGGAGCGGCGCCGCCTCCTCGACACCCCTCTTCTCCAAAGAAGTGTCCCTGGTTTCTCCAGCCTGCCTGGCCTCTGCCTGCCTGCTGTAGCTCCTTCTGGTCCGTTAGGCTTCGTCCCAGGAGCTTTTCCCACCTGCTGACCCCGATCCGGCTCCCTGGCCTCTGGGGGCCTTGCTTAAGGGCGCTCTATCCCCGTGCTCTCTGCCTTCCACTTTCCGTACTTTGATCTGGGGGAATTGCGCTCCTTGTGTGACCTCGGGCCTCCCTCTTGTTCTTGACCCCTTGCACCTCACACCTGCCGGTATCCTCAAGTTCAGGATTCAGTCCGTTCCCCAGGGCAGAATTTGGGTTTTCCTCAGCAACTAAGACTGTAGAATCAGGGCCTAAGCGGCTCTCCTCGTTGGGCAGGTGGACTGGGGAATTCAAACACTTGGTCAGCAAAGACACCAGGACCCAAAGGCTGAGACACCTTGCAGGAAGGACCGCTCAGACAGAGACGGGAGAAAAAGATCGGATGGATCATTATACATTAAAACTAGTGTCTTGTGAAAGCTACAGGGTAGAAATGGAGACTTTCGCCACAGTGGGGTCTGTTTGGAGATGTGGGTTCAGGAAGATCATCAGTTCTTAGAGCTGGATTTCATTAATTCTCTTAAAAAGGTAGCTCTATGTTCAGTTAATGGACAGTAGAAATTAATATCCAGGAACCTTCTTTGTAACCTTATGACTTTTTTTTTTTTTCTGGATTTCTGCTTGTTTTCCCAGTTGAAATAGGTGGCCTCTAAGGCGCTTTCCAGCCATAAACCTGGGTTTTCTAAGCCCCACTCCCAAGGGCTTGTTTTTCACAATCTTTTGCTGCTTATCTAACTCAGTTCTTTAGGGTTCAGAGTCCGTCTTGCTCAGAAACATTTTAGAGGGTAAAGAGTTCAGGAGCACTTTGCATTTTCATAGAGACTCAAAATTAGTTTGATTAGGGCATCAGGGTATTTTAGAATGATTATTTCACCTGTGGGGGTGAGCAGCAGAGCTGGGATTACAGGGAGTAGGTTTAGGCACTACCCTTTTTTCTTGAAATAAAGCCGCTCTTTTTTTTTTTTTTTTTTTTTCTAAGTAGGCTTCCTGCTCAGCGTGGAGCCCAGTGCGGGGCTTGAACTCACAACCCTGAGATCAAGACCTGGGCTTGAGATCAAGAGTTGGATGCTTAACCAACTGAGCCACCCAGGGGCCCCGAAATAGGGTCACTTCTTGAAAACTACTTTCCCCGCTTCCCACAGCATTCAGCAGGCTGTTCTGTGTTTACAGGCACACCATGTGCCACACCTGCCTAATGAGGGGTTTAGGAGAGGCCAGGAATAGCCCCCCCTTGCATCCTCCACAGGTGTTTTGTGCTCTGGGACAAACAGTATTGCTGTAATTTAATCTATAGCAGGATTTCTCAACCTTGGCACTGTTGATACCTTGGGTTAGATGATTCTTTGTTGTGGGGAGATGTCCTGTGCGTTGTAGGATATTCAGCAGTATCCCTGGCCTTTATCTACTACATGCCAATAGACCCTTCTACCCAGTTGTGACACCCCAAAATGTTTCCATTTTGCCAAATGTACCCCAGGGGACAAACATCACCCCTGGGGTGAGGACCACTGAGCTACAGAAATGCCTGATGACTCTGTCCTTTCCTTTTCCTTCCATACTTTTTACTCTTAAGAAGTAGTGTATACACCAAGGTCAAGCTTGGCAGCTGTATGGAAAGTCAGGCTTTTAGGTATTTGCAACTTTAAAATATCAGGATTTTTGAGGGAATCTCTGTGACCCTTTCTGAGTTACTAATTTCTTCTTTCTAGGCCTCAGTTTCCTCATCTGTAAAGAGGGGTGTGGGGGAGGAAGGTTGAATGGGTTTCTAAGTTCTTTCTCAAATCTAAAGTTTTAGGATTTGATTTGGTTGTAGAGGGATGAATATTCTGAACCAAGGAATGGGGGCAGCACTTTTCCTGTTACATTGTGGGTATGCCCACTGTCTGAGAGCTACTCCCTGATCACACTCACCACTAAAACTCAAACTAATTGCTGAACACTCACTGCCCCCTTGTCTTCACTTCCACCTGGCCCATTTCCCTCCTCCACTATCCCCACCCTCGCAACTCACCCACCCTGGGCCCATTTGAAACAGTGGCTCCTCTGTCTTGGGTGGACACACCGTCTGAGGCTGTGTGGGAATTCTTCAGCAGCATCCAAAAGGAATTCTAGCCACAAATGTGACCCACACCTGTAATTTCCAGTTTTCTAGTATTAAAAGTAACATTTGAAATTAATTTTAATTGCATATTTAGTTTAGTCCAATATATCCAATGTACTATCATTTCAATATATAATAATATAAAACTATTAATAAGATATTGTGTAGTTTTTCATATTAAACCTGAAGTCTGGTATGTATTTTATACTCCCAACACATCTCAATTCAGGTGCACAGCCATGCACCACCTCTCTGCTGGTCTCTCACTGCCCAACAGTCAGTTCTGCCATAGTCTCTCCCATATATAAAGAGTCCTATTAGAATCTGGGGCTGCATCCTCAGGAAAATGGTTTGTGCTGTCTTTGCACTCCTTCCCCCATCCTACCCATCCTCACCTTCCTTTTTTTCTGCTCCTTTATTCATGCTTGTTTGGAGCCTAGAACTGCCCCTGCCCAAGGCCGGCAGACTGACAGGGCAAGTGAGGGGTTTGTCCCAAGGAGGCGAAGGCTGCGTTCTGCCTTGGGCTGGCTCGCCTGGGGCTTGAGTTTTCCGTGGGTCCTTCTAGTTGTTAAGTATAAGGTTATTTTGTGCCTTGAGATAATTTGTGTGCCAGAAACATTTTACTTTGGTTGAAATAAAAATAAGTATTCAATTTATTAAATTCAGAACCCTAGTTCTTAAGCTTTTAAATTTAGCCTATAAAGCTGTTTCCATTTATAAGTCTAACATGTAACTATCATTTTTGAGGATCTTTGAATAATACTTAATGCCATTTCAGTTAAGTACCTTAGTTACACATTAGTTATACACACACACACACACACACACACATATACGTATTGTAGTTGCCTGACCCAAAGCTTTTCAGAACACTTAAATAATTCTTGTAAATCTAATAAGTTAAATGGATAGCTATGTAAACTTTAAATGTTTTGTATGTTTAAAATCCTTTTATAAATGTACAGTAGTGAGATTTGAATTTATAATCACAAATCTAGATCAGTTACTCGATTACAGAGGTAACCTAGGCCAAATTCTCTTAAACATATAAATTTACCTAAAATACCAAATACTCAGAAGTTTCTTTAAGCACAAATGTTAATCAGATAGGTATGACTCTTTTAAACATGCATATTTAATTCTTGATTTTGAATTCTTTGATATCTACTTAATCATGGGGCGCAGTTGGCTAAGCGTTCAACTTTTGATCTCAGCTCAGGTCTTGATCTCAAGGTCATGAGTTCAAGCCCCACGTTGGGCTCCACACTGGCTGTGGAGTCTACTCGAAATCTACTTAATCATTGAGAAAACAATTATGTCATCTGGGTTTCTTTTCCAAGTGTATATTTTGTGGTGGCCTCCTTAGCTTTTTGAGACTTCTTACTTATTAGAGGCATCTCCTGGGAGGGGATGGGATCTTGGAGTCCGATTTCTAGTCTTTAACAGGGACTTCATAATTTGAAAGAAGAGATGGTCATGGAACCTAAATGTTTTTTGGTGTGAGTCACCTACTTTTAAAGTTATATTAGTCTGGACCTCCCACCCATTTGGATATACTGCTTAATTGGTTTTGGCATTTCATTATCTCTAAGATACCTAAATGTGTTTTCGCTTCTGATTCCAGAGACCTTTAACCTTTTTCAAATCCTGCATTCTATTCATATTTTTGTCTCTTAGGACCATCTGACTTATAGATAATAGTATGCTGTTTGATTCTCCTTATTTCTCATGACTTTGTTTTTCAAGGTTATTCTGCCTAGAGAAATTCTTAAGGAGGCAGCAAATCAGAAGAAAAGGCAAATCAGGAAAGGATGGTCCTGACTTTCTTGAATCTCATTTCCACCCCCCCAAAATCTCTCTATACTATCAGTCTCTCTCTGGGTACCTTATACCATTGCCTAATTAACCTTCCGATGATGGTACTGTCCCATTCAGAAAGCCCGAGGTGCTCCCCATTGGCTTTAGGAGGAGCCCCTCACCCTGGGGCTCGAGGTCCCCCACTGGGCTCAGCCTGTCCTCTTTTATAGCCTCATCTGCCGCCAGCCCTTGCATGGACCATCTCCCTGGCGCTCTGCCCAGGTATTCTCGACATTACCTCCTTGCCTGCCTTGCCTAGTGGGTGTTTTGTTTCCAAGTCTAAGGCCTGGCCCTAAAGACACTCAGGAAATGTTTGCCACATGGATGAACTAAAGTCTAAGTAGAAGCAAACGCTAGAGCTTGTCCTAAAGTGCTTTAGTCCATGAGGCCTTGCTTGGCTACAACTTTCCTGCCAGGTTCCTCCCTGCTATGTTCCATCCTTCCCTTACCCCAACCTTCTGTGTGCCTTGTGATAGACCCTTAACTTCTTCTTACGTTACGGTCTTTCCTGTGTTTTGCTATCCTTCCTGCTAGACTGTCCATTCCTCTATGGCAGAAGCAGTGCTTTCCCCAGCTCAGACTCTCCCACAGTGGAGGGGCAGAGCCTTGGCCATTTCTGAACCTAATCCACAGCAGCGCCTCACCTGTGCGGGGAGGGAGTGGAGTCTTGATCACCACATTCCTGCTCCAGGCCCTACTGGAGGTGGTGGAGAACCCTCAGTCCCACATGGCACCCCTGAGGCCAGTCAGCGGGTCCTGGAAGGGACCCCAGTGCAATTAGCTCTGCAGCTACTACTCAGGAAACTCCTGGAGGCCTCTTTCCTCCCCCCTCCTGTCTGTGGGCCCCTGCCCACCATGTCCTGTTCTGTTTCCAGGGGCAGGAGCAGGATGTGAGCAGGATCATCCAAGCCCTAAATGAGTGCCTTGCTGCGCTTCCTCGGCAGCTGCTCCAGGACGTCTGTGGCATTGGAGTTGCAGGACAAATGCATGGAGTCATGTTTTGGAAAACAGGCCAAGGTATGCTGGGCCCTGGGGATGATTATGTGCTCCTAGCAATCACTGTGGGATAGCAAAATGCTGCAGAGGGCTCTCCTCTGAAGGATCAGGTCACCCTGAAGTGGGAACAAAGTGGCCTACACTGCCTCTTGTATTTTGTGTGCATCCTTTCTTGTACAAATGTGTAATGAGTAAGCGAACTCTCCACTCACGCACTGTCCATAAACAGGGTGAGGGAAAAGTGAGTTCTCTCAGATTCTCTGTAGGATTCAGTGGAGTGGATTTTCCACAGATTTCTCTTTATTTCTGTTGGTGTCTCAGAGCATCAAATGCAGACAACTAAAGATTAGTGTAGTTGAAGGAGATGCCAAGACACAGAGGAAACTTGAATTTGGGCATAATGTTTGTTGTTTGCCATAATCACAGATGTTTGTGATTTTTAAATTTCAGGGCATCCTTTTTATGGGCTCAAGGTGCTGAGTATTATTTAGTTGGTCGTCTTCTATCAGGTCTGCCACACGCAGAGGTAGGTGACCTGTTCTGTTTGGCCTCCAGGAGGAGGCTTATTAAGCCAGCAAAATAACAATGAGTACTTTACATGCTTGGTGCTGGGCTAAAGGTGTTACCTGTATGATCTCATCAAACTTTCCCAACATCTTTATGATGTAGGTTACATTGTTGTCCTCATTGTGCAGATGAAAAGTGGAGGTTCAGAGAAGTTAATATACTGAGGGTCAAATGGCAGCAAGTGGTGACTCCAGCTTTTGAACCCAGGTTGGTCTGACTTTAGACACTGAGCTCTTAAAGGCCTCTAGGAGGACCAGAGCTGTAGGTGGGTGCAGTAGCTCAATGAAGGGAGGAACTTCCCAAAAGAATGTCCAAGGAAGGATTAGGATGTTATGAGTTCCTGTTACAGCAAGCATTAAAAAGCCTTTTTTTAGCTATTAAAAAATTCTATACAGACATAAAAGTAGGGAGAATATTATGAACTGACACATACCCATCACCCACTTTCAAAGCTACCAACATTTTACGGCAGGTATTTAAGTAGAGGATGGATGGCTACTTTGGGGGCTGTAGTTCAGGGGATTTGAACATTGGATTCACCCCTTTTTGCCTGGAGAGTTAGTAATTCCAGTTCTCCTGGGCCAAGTGAGTGGTGACCTGCCTCTCAGCAGTGGGACAGGTGTCTAGCGATGCATCCTTTGATCAGTCCCCAGGAGGGCCTGGGTGACTGTAGAAGCCAGTGCAGGATCTCTTGCTCCTTCCCTCCTTCTTGTCTGCCTGTTGTCAGGCTGTTTGGGAACCACAGGAGCTGCTTGGCTCTAATTAGTAGTTGGAGGAGAAGGCTGATTAGGGTGTTAGAGCTGGCCTCTCAGAGGGAGTCTAGGTTGTAAAAGCTTTTTAAACTCCTTAATTTTGCATTAATGAGAATAAATGTCCTTTTAATACTAAAATCCTTCCCAAAGAGGACAACAGAGATCTAAAGATTGTGGTCTGGTCATACACCTCCCTTTCTGCTCGTTTCCTGGACTCTGTAACAACCACACAAACCATTGCCCACATTGTTGGAGAGAGCTGCTTAATATTTCATTGAGCCAGCCCACATGCCTCCTTGTTTTGTTTTCTGCTTCTGGGAAGGAGGGAAGCCACTCTTTGACGATGATAATACTTGCTTAGTAGAGTAGAGTGAATCATATTTGGGATCAAGTCATTGTGTTTTTAATGGTGGCCATAGATTAGTTTGGCTTCGGTACCTACAACATATAAGGCTCCATGCTAGACCCCACGGGAGACATAGATATGAGCAGACGAAGCCCTCATCCTCCAGGGCACAATCAAGGCCATCGATACAGACAGGCACCGGTGAGCTGAGCAGAGAGCTAATTGCTTCCACAAGGGCACAGGCCAGCCAGCGGGCGGAGAGGAAAGGCAGAATATGTTCTGAGAGGCCTGTGGTTATGCCCATAGACTCCATTTCCAGGCTCAGTAAGAGCAGGAGAGAAGTGGGGATCATAAAACCAAGCTAAAAGGCAAGCAGCCGACTAGGAGAAAACATTTGCCAGTGTGAATATGGGTATATAATAAAAAACCAAGAACAAAGAAAGGACAAGTGGCTCTGTGGAAAATGGGCAAAGGATACCGAGACGGGCAGTTCCTAGAAGAGGAAATACAAGTGGCTAATAAGCACATGAAGAGATGCTTGATGTCATTAGTAATTAGGGCAGTGCAGATGAAAACAACAAAGAGAAATCATTTCCCACCCACTGGATTATAAGAAATCGAAGTCTGAAAATGCCAAGAGTTGGCAGATGGGGTGGAAAATTGGTTCTTTTAAATATGGCTGGTAGCAGTGTAAATTAGCATAGTCGTTTGGAGGGCCGCTTGATGGGGCCTGTTAAAAATAAGAGAGCTGCTATGACTCAGCAGCTCTGCTACTGGGAGTCTGCTCAGGAAAATTACTTGCACGTGGATGTGCGTAAGGATGCCTACTCACGGTTGTTCCTTGCCTTCTTGTTATGGTAGTGAAAGCTGGCATTTAACCTCAGGGGAATGGATGGATAAATGTTGGTGTGCCCATGCTGCAGGATCTGCAGTAGTTAGAAAGAATAAGTGCATTCATATATACTGACATGGAAGGAACTCCAGAACATTCGGTGGGTGATAAAAACAACGCCTAGAAAAAGAAATACAGTATAGTGCTATTTGTTTTTAAAAAACAGACAAAAACAAAATAAAGTCAACCAAACCGAACCCAGTATGTTGTGCCAGTGTAAAAACTTTATTTAGATGGTTACCCACAAGGGCGAACAGGGACAGGAAGGGGGCTGGGACCCAGGTGGGGATATAAGCAGGCCTTTGGCTTTATCTGTAGTACCTGAACATCTTATACTGAGAATTATCTTTAATATCTGAACATCTTATACTGAGAATCCTGGTTCTACCACTTAGTAGCTATGTGACCTTTGGCAATTTTTTTTTTAACTTTTCTGTGCTTCATTTTTCTTGTACAAAGGGACTAATTATCATACCTATGTGATAAGGCTATTATGTAGATTCAGTGAATTAATACTTTTGAAGTGCTTTGAACACTACCTGGTACATGGTAAGACCTCCATATTTGTTTTATAATACAAACAAAATAAAAATGGTAGTCCAAATTTTTTTTTGTTTTTTTGAAAAAGGACCAGAGTTTTGAAGCAGATACAGGGGTTGGAAGAAAGCTGCGGAGATCCAGGTTTAGGGCTGGGATAAGAATCCAGCTCGAAGTTTAAGTACAGATGTAGTATACAGTTATGAAGGTGCACTGCTTTGAGGAGCCCTTCACCCCAAGTAAAACTTAATGTGCTTTAGGTGCATGATCTGTAACGTGCCTCTGCTTTTCTGGCTGTTGGCCAGGGATACCAAGCAGAGACTGACAAGATCCCTTAGATCCTTTGCCCTGACCCATCTACCTGCAGCCTGTGTCCCTAGACATTCTTATGGCTCACTTCCTTACTCCATTCAGGTCCCTCCTCCTTAGAGAGGACTTCCCTGATCACCCTCCAAATATCTATCACTGCTGTATATTTCTTCACAGCAATGGAAAGTATCTGGTATTATATATTTGCTTGTTTATATTCTATAGCCCTAGTGGATAAGCTTTATGAAAGTAGTGACTTCCCCTTGATCATTGCTGTATTCTCAGGGACTAGAACCAGTGCCTAATACATATTAGATATTTAATACACATGTCATTCAATCATGCAAGTATGAATGAATGAATGAATAAATGGATGGATGTTTTGTGGCCTGGAACCCGGGGGAGGGGCAGTTAAGTCTCTTTCTTTGGTTCTTTTTTTTTTTTTAAGATTTTATTTATTTATTTGACAGAGAAAGACACAGCGAGAGAGGGAACAGAAGCAGGGGGAGTGGGAGAGGGAGAAGCAGGCTCTCCGCTGAGCAGGGAGCCCGATGCGGGGCTCGATCCCAGGACCCTGGGATCATGACCTGAGCTGAAGGCAGACGCTTGACAACTGAGCCACCCAGGCGCCCCTCTTTCTTTGGTTCTTAATGAATGTATTTATAAGAAAATGTAATGGTTTTGGCTCCTAAATCTGGGACTTGAGATCAGACATAGCCATGAAACAGCTGCCTGTGGGGCTTTGCCCTGCTTTGCTTCTGGCAGGCATTGTTCTCATCTGGAGGCCGCCTCATGTCACATGGAGCCAGATTCCCATCTCTGTCCATTGGGTCTGGAGTGTTCTTGCTGCTGATAACTTTTCTCAACTGGCACTTAATGTCAACATTCTTTTCCCATTCTGCTGCAATGGTTATATTAATATTGTGTGGAAGTGTGAGAAATCTCCCTTGTATGAGGAGAGGAAAGAACAAAAGATATGTAGGGGGGTGTATTCTCTTTCTTTAAGACTGTTGGAAGTCTTAGACCATGGACAGTTTAGAAGGAAAAGGTTCATTTTCATTATTATCATCACTAACATTAATTGAGTCCTCACTGTGTCAGATACTGTTCTAAATGCTTTACATGTGTTAACTCATTTAATACACACAACCCTATACACACAACACGCACAACACACCCTAACCCTAATCTAACCCTTCCCCTTGCTACTAGTTTGACAGTAAAGTCAACACATGGCAGGAAGAGATACCAGACCCGGGAAAGAGTTATAAGTGTCCTCCACCCCTGGACTTCCAGATACACTTGCCACCAAGCTGCTGAACTAGCTTGATTGTTGGCTCTCTCCCCCAAGATTGGTTTCAGAAGAATCGTAAGAGAAAAACACCAAGGAAAGGGGAGAACACTGTGAGAGAACCTAGGGTGATGGGGCTACTTGGAGTTGGTGTGTGTAGGTTGATGGTTTGGGTGTAGGGCAAGATGCAACCAGCCTTGCCTGTGGGAGGATAAGGAACTGCTGGTTCCCCTGGATTGTCATGGCTTTGGGACAAGCAGCACCTTGTCCATAGCGAGGTGTCTTCAGGAATAAAATCAAGGCAGTGGAGAAAAGCAGGTGTCTCTCCTCAAATCACAGGGCTGGTGACCTATAATCTAAGGATCCTCAAAACATTGTTTCATCCTGGGGGGCAGAGTGGAAGCCCTGACCCGAAGAGATGTTTTTCAGGGTGGGGTGGGTTAGCTGTGGATTCACCCCAGGTCTCATCCATCCTCCCCAGACCTTTGGGAGCTGGCAAGGACTGAGGTCTGGCTCATTTACACTGCCCGACAGAGTAGCCAATACTCCCAGAACAAAATGAGTTCAGGGACCAGGACAATAAGATGTTTCAAGTTCACAGCTGTTTCATAAGAAAAAAATGTGCTGGGTGATTTGATGGAGATTTTTTTTTTAAGATTTATTTTTTAATTTATTTTAGAGAGGGAGAGAGGGAGAGGGAGCAAGTGTGAGTGGGGAAAGGGGCAGAAGGAGAGAATCTTCAAGTAGACTGCCCGCTGAGCTCAGAGCCTGATATGGGGCTTGATCCCATGACCCATGAGATCATGACCTGAGCTGAAACCAAGAGCTGGATGCTCTCGGAGCCACCCAGGAACCCCAGATGGAGATTCTTTCAGAAGCAAAACTATTAGAATGGACAGTCTAAGCATTTAAAGTTAGCCTGATATACATACTAAAATATACGAAAGGAGAATATTAGCAAGAAACAATAAGAAGAAAACATAAAAAACAAGCAGAAATATTAGGTATAAAAAATATAATGGTTGAAATAAAGAATGTAATAGATGGGATTAATAAAAGAATGGATAGAACTTCAGAACAAATTAGAGAATGAAAGATGCAAATTTAGGAAACCTCTCAGAAGGAAGAAGAAAAGCACAAAGAAGTAGAAAATATAAAACAAAAGGTAAGAGATATTGAAGATACAAGTAGAAGTGCTAGCATCTGAATACTAGGAGATCCAGAAAAGGAAAAATAACAGTGGTAGAGGAGGAAATATTTGGAGAATTAATGGAGAAAATTTACTTACCATAATTGACAAAATAAGATATAACAGTCTGGACCAAAGGTGCCCATAGAATGTCAATAGAAGAGAGAGAAGGAAAACCTCATAGCTGGATATATTATAGTGAACTTTTAAGGATTTCAGAGACAAAGAAAATTCCAAAAGCTTACAGAGTGAAAAACCAGATCCTATATAAAAATTAGAAGCAGATTGACTAGATAGTTTTCAACAGCAACATTCTATGTAAAAATGCAATGGAATCACATTTTGGTTTTCTATTGTTGCATAACAGACTACCTCCAAAACTCCATGACTTAAAACAGCAACTATTTTATCATATCTTGTATGATCTACTTCTACATATTGGATTGAGCTGCTCTACATGGGGTTGACAGAGGCTGCCTGGGAGTATTCATCTTGTGGACAGACTGGTCTGGAGGGTTCCAGAGCGGCTCTACTCAGTGCCTGATGCCTTGGTGGGGAAGGCTGGAAGGCTAGACTCAGCTGAGGATGACCTGCTAGATGCCTGCATGTGATTTCTCCACATAGTTTCTCTAGCATGGTAGCCTCAGGGTAGTGGGACTTCTTACCTGGTGGCTGGCTTCCCCCAGAGTGAGTGCTCCAGGAGACTCTGGTGGGAACTGCAAGTCTTCTTATGACCTAGCCTTGGCAGTCCTAGGATGTCACTCCCCCCACATTCTCTTGCTCTCGCAAATCATCAAGGCCAGCCTAGATTCAAGGAAAGAGGATTTAGACTCTACCCCTTAATGGGAGGAGTAGCAAGGAATTTGTGGCAGTCTATCACAAATCTACAAAGTGTTTTTAAGTATTGAAGAAAGGGAACTTAGAACCTAGAATATCACAGCCATCCTTCAAAAATATCCTGAGCCATGGAGGCTTCTAGATGCTTTGCCACAGAACGAACTACACTGGAACTAGTTTGGGGTAAAATATTTAAATAAGAGCAGAGAAAAAAAAATCTAGATTTTAAGAGATCAATGAGATAAATTAAGTAAAGATGGCCAGATTCCTGAGTAAAGTTGATGTCTAAAATCAATTAGCTAAGACCAAAGGAAAAGAGAAAATATATCCATCATCATCCAGAATCAAGTCTAGCTAATATTATCATGATAAGGGTTGGAAGGACAGAGACTAGGGGACTTGAGTGTGCCAAATTTCTTTTCTGACAGGGTGGGAGGGGATATAATATCAACTTTAAAAAAATGAATTAAAGGGAACACAGAAGAAGTGGGATAAATGGAGGGAGTAGGTGACTTGGCCTGAGTCACACAGCCATTGGTGGTGGAGCCAGGTGCTCTGATATCAGAACCCACGTGCGTGAGTGAAGTATTATCATTGCTGTAACCTCACTAGCAGAGTGCTCTCAAGGACATGTTGCTGCTGGTCAGATGTTCTTTTCTCTGTTTTTGGTAATTTCCTTTGTTCCAGGCTGTGAATGGACAGAGGGAGGGCCCTCTCCTGTGTTTGAGCCCAGAGCCGTGAGCCACCTGGTCACATGGCAGGATGGCCGGTGTAGCAGTGGGTTCCTGGCTTCTTTGCCCCAGCCAGAGTCCCATCTCAGTGTGGCCTCAGGGTTTGGCTGTGCAACCATCTTCTGGCTTTTGAAGAATAGGTATGGACAACTGATTTTTGAATCGGGTGCTGAATTTCCAGGGAAACGAGAGTGGCCAGGGGACTGTACCTCCCGCCGGTCAGCATCACTCCACCTGCTGGAGCATCCCTCAGTGAGGTGGCCTGGCACAGGGTGTGGTCGCAAGACCTAGACTTGGTCTAGAACTGCTTCATTTCTCGGAAGGCTCTTTGTTGGTTATCTGATTCTAAACCAGAGGGGGAAAGAAAAAGGCAGAGAGGGCAGGGGACTTTCCAAGGGTTCCATGGTAAGTTCACGGTGGGGTCAGGGCTGCTGAGAACAGCCAGTGTCCTGCTTTCTCAAGCGTGGTGCATCCTCCCCTGAGACCAGTCCCTGAAGGCCGACTCCAGCCAGCTTTGCTGTGAGTGGCTGGGAGGTCCTCACCCTGGGAAGTTCAGCATGTGGGGTGCTTGCTGCCACCCAGCTATGCCATGTCGAGTCCACTGCCTGCAGCTAGGTGTGGTACAGGCTTGCAAATTGCTATTAGACTACGTTGAATTGTTTTTGATATGAAAACTAGCCCAGAGTTCCTGAGGTCCTACGATGCTGCTGGCACCATCCATGACTATGTGGTTGCCATGCTGTGTGGCTTGCCAAGATCCCTGATGTGCGACCAGAATGCTGCTAGCTGGGGATATTTCAACACTCAGAGCCAAAGCTGGAACTTGGAAATGTGAGTATATCCTTGCAAGCTGGCTCCAGGCTAACGGCCAGAATCTCGAATGTGAGGGATTTAGTGGGGCTTTCCCATTTGGGAACAATAGTGGAGGATTCCAAGAGCCTAGGAATCAGGTTCCCCTGCCCCTCAGCCTGTCCAGTCACCAGGCAAGGGTGGGCCTGGCTGTAAGTGAACCCTCGGAGGGGGACACCTCTTACACCCTGCTGTCCTGCTCCCCTACAGCTGCCCAGACCCAGGTTGGGCTCCCCCGTTCTCTGTGACTCGGACCGAGCCTGCAGATTTCAAAGAACAACTGTCAGTGTAATGAATTTTAAAATAAGGTTAAGAAGTGAAAGTAGTAGTCTTGAGGGATGTCTTTTAAAGTTCTTTTTAAGGAATTGTTTGCCATTTCAGATCCAGGAATCCTGTGCCCTCTAAGTTCACTTCCTTCAGGGTCCAAATTCTGAGCTCTGTAAAAAAAACAAAAAGCACCTGGTAGTTCAGGTAAAGGACTTTCTAGCATGTTGTGTAAAATTGACAGTCCCCTGTTTACTAACCCCGAGTGATGAATGCAGTTGGTGTTCAGGAGAGTGATGGGTCTGACTTTGGTTTGGCCGGTGCTAACTGACTATGACTGTGTGCTGAAACTCTGTCTCCCTTTGCAGAGTATGTTCCCTTCAAACACAGAAGGCTGGATAGTGGTGACATCTGGCTCTTTCTAACTCTTCCTGATCACCCCTGCTTAAACTGGTGGCTTTCGCCCCTGGAAGGCCAATCCCAAGCTTTTGAAAGCCAGTGTTCACTTTTTAAAAAATGCAAGTCTGTTTCTCATTGTTTAAAAAAAGCCACAGAGGCCCTCTGTCAAAACACTGGATTCTATCCTCCCTTCTTGTATGTGTGTCCTGTAGGGTTTTCCTTCATTGAGCTTCCTGGAAGCAACAAAGACCCAAAAATCCAGCTCCGGGTAAATGTACTGTCCATTTTTGGATTGCAGATTGAGGGCCTCAGGCTTTCCCATGCACCTGCTCCCAGACATCGCCGAGGCCGGCAGTGTGGCGGGCAGAACTTCCCATGCCTGGTTTGAAATCCCACAGGGGACACGGGTGGGCGTGGCCTTGGGTGATTTACAGGCCTCCGTCTATTCCTGTATGGCCAAAAGGACAGATGCAGGTAAGTCTTGCTTTTGTTGGCTCCTCAGACTTCTGCTGGTGCCTCCTAAGCTCCAGCTCTGTGTGAGGGCCCAAGGGGCACCCGTAACCAGCAGCCTCAGCATCCCATTGATCGCTATTCCGTGAACATGAATAACCGCCTCCTTCCTGCGGGTGAAGCCCCTCCTGGAGCTTACAATCCAGCAGGGCAAGTTCTGTCCCTGACCACAGTCTGTGTTTTTCTTCCTTAGGGCCAGGTAAGGGAATTGACTCTCTCTAGTTGGCTGATTTCTACATAACTCCATGACCCAAAAAGTAGATTAGTAGATGAGGGTTTTTTGTTATTGTGTCTTTGTCAATGGAAGTTCCATCCGATCTGATGAGGAGTGCAGTCTTTCTGCATTCAGGGTAAGAGAGTCACAGTGAGGTGGAGGCCGGAGTCTAGGGCAGGGCTTGGTAAACTTTTTCTGTAAAGGGCCAGATAGTAAATATTTTAGGCTTTGTAAGCCATATAGTTTCTGTCCTAACAGCTCAACTCTGCTGAAGCGTGAAGCAGTCATAGCTAATACATGAATGAATAGGGGTATAGCTGTGTTTCAGTAAAACTTCATTTATAGACACTAAAATACGAATTTCATAGTGTTTTCATGTGTCATGAAATTTTCTTCTCCTTTTGATTTCTTCTCAACCATTAAAAATGTAAGAACATGCTACTGGGATTGTAAAATGCTATAGCCCCTTTGGAAAACAGTCTGGCAGTTCCTCAAAAGTGAAACATGGAGTTAGCATCCGACCTAGCATTTCCACTCCCAGGTGCACACCCAAGAGAACTGGACACATGTCCACACAAACACTTCACAAAGATGTTCTTAGCAACATTATTCATAAAATTCATAATTTCAAAATTAGCTGAGAGGGAAAGTGAAATTCTACCTATTTTGTTTGCACATATATGTGATAAAATCTTTTAAGGCCAACAGTTGTTCAAAACCTTTTCTCCCCAGTTTTTTTTTCATATGTCAGCAGCCCCCTTTTTTATCTTTTTTATTATGTTCAGTTAGCCACTGTATAGTACATCATTAGTTTTTTTTTTTTATGTTATGTTAATCCCCATACATTACATCATTAGTACATCATTAGTTTTTTGATGATGTAGTGTTCAGTGATTCATTAGTTACATATAACACCCAGTGCTCATCACAACCCGTGTCCTCCTCAGTACCCATCATCCGGTTACCCCTCCCCTCTGAGACCCTCAGTTCATTTCCCCGGGTCCAGAGTCTCTCATGGTTCATCTCCCTTTCTGATTTCTCCCCCTGCAGTTTTCCCTCCCTTCCCTGTGGCCCTCTGTGCTATTGCTTATGTTCCACAAATGAGTGAAACTAAAATCAATGCTTCAGGAAAATATGCTAAATTTATTCTGTGACTTTTAATTTTCCTAATACATCATCTCTTGCCTATATCCCTTCATCTCAAAGTATGAATGTCAGGGAACTCACGTGGACTTTGGAGTCCAGCCCACTGGCCTGGGTGAGAATTTAGCCCCTCTTCTCCTTTGGTGTGACCTTGGACAGGTTGCTTTTTTTCCTGAGCCCTTGTCATCATCCAAAATGAGGGCAATGATATGTTTCTCATGGGACAGTTGTGGTGACACACTGGGATGGTGCCTATAAAGAGCCTGGCTCTTTCTACCTTGGTGGTTTTCAAATCGTAGGCTGTTCCCTTGACAGAGGGCTGTCCTGTGCCTGGATGTAAATGTGCTTTCTCTGTAGTAAGTGAGGGGCTAGTCAAATGGGAAGAAAGTAGGTATTAGGCTCCCTCTTCACTGAGCTGGTTGTAGTCTCTGGTTCCAGACTGGGTCTGCTGGCAGTGCTCACTTGTTCTGTGTCCATGGGCAAAGTCGGGTGGCCTCCATCCTTGACACCCCCACTTGAGGGGACAGGTGGAGGGCATGTTGCTTCTGGTATAGAGTCATAGTGAAAGGCTTGATGTGGCAGAAAGTAAAGGTTATTGGCTTTCCAAGATTGTTTTCAGTCTCCTAGCTTCCAAATTCCTAGTACGTAGGGGAGTTACATGCTGATCTCAGTTATTTCAGACCCCAACAGACTGAGAAGAACAGGCTTTTTGGCCAGGTCTTGTGAGAAATGGAAGAGAAGAGACTTCCAGGGTAGTCCATAGGCCCTGGTCTCAATCCAGAGGAGAAAATCATCCCCTCTGTGCTGAGTCTGGGAGCTTTTCCCCTGCTGGTGGAGGAGGTTAAGAAAAACACCATGGATATGAGAAGGAGGTGGCACTTGCTGAAAATGAATGAAACCTCCCCAGAGAGTCAAATACTTGGGCTGAGGGAGGTCTTACTATCTGTACATCGTTGTCTATTGCTGTGTAACAAATCACTTAGTAGCCTAAAGCAGCAAACATTTATTATCTCTCGTAGTTTCTGAGAGTCAGGAATCTGGATGTTGCTGGATGGTCTGGTTTAAGGTCCCTCCTGGAATTGCAGTTGAGCTGTTGCTTAGCTGGGTCTGCAGGCATCCAAAGGCTTGACCAGGCCTGGTGGATCTACTTCTCAGCTCATTTATGTAGCTTTTGGCAGGAGGCCTCAGTTTTTTGCCACATGGACCTCTCCGCAGGGCTGCTCATGACATGGTGCCTGCCTCCCCTCAGAGCAAGTGATCAAGACAGAAGCTGCAGTGCCTTTTTATGACCTGGGCTCCAAAGTCACACAGGGTCACTTCTGCTTTATTTTCTCAATTAGAAGCAAGTCCCCAAGTCTAGCCTACACTCAGGGGGTGGGGGAAGTTCGGCTCTACCTCCTGAAAGGAGGGGTCTCAAAGATTTTGACGACATTTTTTTGGTAAACCAGCACACTCTCCCCTTCCCTCTTGTGACCTGTGACCTCTGACTCGGCCGGACAGGCCTAACTTCTGCTTCCCTTGGACCCCAGTTCTCAACATCAGCACCTCAGTTCAGTTGGCAACCTCCATGCCTTCAGGATTCCAGCCGGCGCAGACTCCAGACCCTGCGGCTCCAGTCACCTACTTCCCGTACTTCGACAGGATCTACCTGGCGGTGGCAGCGTCACTCAATGGGGGCAACGTGCTGGCCACGTTTGTCCACATGCTGGTCCGATGGATGGCGGATCTAGGTAAGGTGTCGCCCACACGGTGATGTGTTCCCCGCTTGGCCTTTCGATGTGGCAGTGTCTTGGTGCTGCCGGTGTTACTTAAGCTTCTAGATTCGTGTGTCAGACCCAGCCCGGCTCCAGCACATCCCTTCCTTCTTTAGGGATCTGGGCCTGTAGCCTTTTTTCCTCTCATCTTCTGAGCCGCCGTCACCTCTTTTTTTCTGAGGGAGCACCTTTTCCTCTAACATTGACTGGTCTCCTGGCTCTCCCCTGCCCACTGGTTACTTGTCAGTAGCTCACCATCCCTTTCTGATAACTGCAGAGAGCTGAAAATAAAATGATCAAACATGGATGAGTGAAAAGACTCCTGGTATTTTACAATATTATAAAATCCTTATAGCATTTATTCCTGGCAAGTGGTTCCTGACTCCCTTTGTTGGAAGGGATCCCTGAAAAGTGTGATGCCCTTCTGCTTTCTTCAGGGTAGACTAGATCGGGCCTTTCTCTGCTCTTCATTTGCAGAGAAACTTGTAGCCTCCTTCCAGGAAAGGTTCCCTTTCCAAGTCCTTAAGGTAGAAATGAAATCACTGGTGAGCCATGCAGGTCTGGGGAAATCACTGGTCCGCCTGTAGGAGCTCTGAATCAGGTCACGCCAGGAAGCTTTCAGCGTGTTAACAAGGTGAGGCATGGGTGGTAGGGAGCACGTGGGAAGCTCACACTGCTTGTGCAGACAAGTGTTGCTGACCCATGTCAGTGCTTTCCGGCTAGCCAGGGGAATTCTGCCCCCTTGGCTGAGATCCCCTCAGGAATGCGTCATTAAGAGAACAGAACTCTGATTTTGTTTTGCCTCAAAAGGTGTCAGAAAAGGTTTTCAAGATGCAGAACCAGTCGGGTGCCTGGGTGGCTCAGTCGTTAAGCGTCTGCCTTCAGCTCGGGTCATGATCCCAGGGTCCTGGGATCGAGCCCCACATCGGGCTCTCTGCTCTGCGGGGAAGCCTGCTTCTCCCTCTCCCACTCCCCCTGCTTGTGTTCCCTCTCTCACTATGTCTCTCTTTGTCAAATAAATAAAATCTTAAAAAAAAAAAAAAAAGATGCAGAACCAGTCATCAGAACCTTCAGGCAAGCCCTGTATTTAGATACTGTTTTAACTGTTTGGCTCTATCAGTTGTTGACTGAGCTGACCTACCGGTCTATCATTACACAGAAGTGACTGTTATTTTTACCCCTGAAAGAGATGGTAATATTATTTAATTTCTCTGTAAGATGTTTTCAAAAAGAAAAGTCCCTTGCATTTTCATGGTTCTGGTTTTGATGAAACTGAGGACTTTGAAGGTTAGTATTATATGTAACTTAACCTTTTAAGAAATTTCTACAATAATGTCATTTGATTAAAAAATATATAGATGCTGGGGTGCCTGGGTGGCTCAGTCAGTTAAGCATCTGACTCTTGATTTTGGCCCAGGTCATGATCTCGGGGTCCTGGGATCCAGCCCCCCGTAGGGCTCTGCACTTGGCATGGAGTCTATTTGAGGATTCTCTCTCTCTCTCTCCCTCTGCCCCTTCCCCTGCTCACGTGTGCTCTCTCCCTCTCTCTAAAATAAATAAATAGGGGTGCCTGGGTGGCTCAGTTGGTTAAGTGTCTGACTCTGGATTTTGGCTCAGGTCATGATCTCAGGGTTGTGGGATCAAGCTCAGCGTCGGGCTCCGTGCTTAGCAGGGAGTGTGCTCAAGATTCTCTCTCTCTCTCTCTCTCCCCCTCTGCTCCTCCTCCCTCTCTAAAATAAATGAATGAATGAATGAATAAATAAATAAAATAAATCTTTAAAAAATATATAGATGCAAATACAATAAGGTTTGTTGAGATAAGAGACATTACATTTATTAACCAGATATGGAAATATTAAAGCATAAGATATAAAAATAAAACTCTCTATTCAGAATACCCTAGGTTTGCATTATTTTCCAGAAGTTAGAAAACAGGGAGTTTCACCCTCATGTGGTTTAGAGTAGGGACTCTGAAGCTAGGTGGCCTGGGTTTGAATCCCAGCTCTGCCACTTTCTTGTGCTTCGGGGCAGGTTACTTGTCCCCTCTGTTCTTCACTTTCCTCATCTGGAAAGGGATTATCCTAGATGTACCTTAAATAACTGTGGGGATCAAATGAGTTATATTGCAGGGCACTTAGAATGATGTCTGGCCCATAATAAGTGTGGTATAACTGCTTGTTAAATAAGCATAGTGGTGGTGCAACCCGGGAGAGTGCCTCAGTTCTCAGCTCTGTCAAGTCATTATGTGGCTTTGGCAAGTCCCTTGCCTTCAGTGTTTTTTCAGCTCTGATGGCCTGTGGGTCTAAGCCTGTGATGTGAGTATTTGGCAACTCATAGCATTTAATCCCCACAGTGGATTTGGATGAGGTGGTAAGCCAAGGGACGCAGAGACAGGGCTAGAAGCCAGGTCTCTGAGGCCTTCAGCTGCTAGACTCCTTCCTTCAGGTACCCCCCAAGGCTGGGGTCATGGCTCAAATGTTTTCCAGCGAGGAAGAACGCTTTATTTTCACATTTCCTTAACATGCTTTTGGGAATTTTTATTAAGGACATACAAACACATCGTTTATTGTTTTCTTCTTTTAACTATAGACTTTCTTTGGGTTTTGACAGTTTTCCACTAATGTCGTTTTCCTGTTCCAGGATCCAATTCAGGATACCACATTGCATTTAATCATCATATCTCCAGTCTCTCTGCTTTCTATTTTTTTTTTAAGTTTTTATTTATTTAAGTAATCTCTACACCCAATGTGGGGCTTGAACTCATGACCCTGAGATCAAAAGTCATACGCTCTACCGACTGAGCCAGTCAGGTGGAGCTTTTCTGTTTGAAAGCTTTCTATTTGATTGATCTGTTTTTTTTTTCTTTCTTTTTAATCTTCTTTCCCTTTTTTTCCCATAATTTTATGGTTTTATATTCTTTATTCTTTTAGAAGTTTTCAATGCACTATGTTTCCTAAGATGTGGAGAGATAATCCCTCTTATACACTGCAGTAGTAGTTAAATTGGTCCAGCTTCTAAGGGGCGATTATGATGTGCATATCTTTTGAACCAGCAGTTCTCCAAGGACTCAGTCCTACGGATTTGTATACTTGTACACATGTGCTAGGTTATTCATCAAGCATGTGATTTTTCTGAGATTTTAGTAGAATTTCTAGAGGGAGGGGAAAGACACTAATATTCATTCTGGCATTTTTTTCTTTTCTTTTTTTTAAGTAGGCTCCATGCCCAACATAGGGCTCGAACTCACAACCCTGAGATCAAGAGTCGCACGCTCTACTGACTGAGTCAGCCAGGTGCCCTGATTCTGGCATATTTAACCAGAGTTCTGCTGATCACATTTTGACTATGATATTTAAATTATTTCTCCCTCTTCCTCTCTCTCATTCCCAAGTGTGTATAGCTGAGTTTGTGTAAGTTAAATGTGCTGCCACTGAGACTTCACAGTGACACTGGGGTAGTGGCTCTCAGCACTGGCTGCACTCTGGAAACACTTGTGAAGTTTTAAAAACAATGTTGATGTCCTAGTCCTGCCTGCAGAATGCTGATGATTTGGCCATGGGGTGGGGTAGGGTAGGCATTTTATAAAAGCTCCTCAGGTGATTGTTATGCCCTTAAGTGTTGGTAAGCACTGGTCTAGAACCTTCTATTTCAGAAGTGTGGTTCTTGGGCCAGCAGCACTGGCTTCCTCTAGGAGTGGAGAACAGCTACAGAATCTTGGGACCTACCCCAGGCACACAACTATGCTGCGCCCTGGGAATTCTATACTGTCTCAGCCTACAGCAAGGGGTGCATGAACTCACACAGGTCTTTTCTGTTCTTGGAAGGTCTAGAGGTCGAAGAATCCACTGTGTATTCATGTATGATCCAGGCAGCTGCACAGCAAAGAGACACCTGCCTAACTATCACTCCAACGGTGTTGGGCGAGAGGCACCTGCCGGACCAGCTGGCCTCAGTGACCAGAATCTCCTCCTCTGATCTCTCCCTGGGGCACGTGACCCGGGCCCTGTGCCGAGGCATTGTTCAAAACTTGCACTCCATGCTTCCATTTCAACAGCTCAAGGAGTGGGGTGTGGAGCGGGTAATCGGCAGTGGGAGTGCACTGTCCAGGAATGAGGTGCTGAAGCAGGAGGTGCAGAGGGCTTTTCCCTTCCCAGTGTCCTTTGGGCAGGATGTGGACGCAGCTGTGGGGGCAGCTGTGGTCATGCTCCAGAGAAATCTTAACCAGAGGGAGTCTTAGTCAGTGCATCCTTTCGCCAAAAGACTGTTGCAGATTTTATCTAACTAACATTCCTGACATGACCTTGGGGTCATCCTTTTCCTGGACAGTTTTGTGGGCAGCTTTTAAGCAAAGCTTGTTTTCAGGGCACCATCTTGACCAAGAACCTACCTTCATCCTCTAATAATGCAGCCAGGACTCATCAACTAGATCCCAAATCAGTGCTTTCCAAGAGACTCACTTGGGAATTGGTCGCAAATGTAAATGTGGAAAAAAGAGAGAGGGACAAAGAAAGAAAAGGAACAGTAGCCCAGCATCATGGTCAGCAGGCTCTTCTGTGATTCACCTGTAGACAAAGAGACCAAAAAGTCTCCAAGTAAGAAAAGAAGGCCCCCCACCCCCCACCCCCCTGCCGCTCCAGCTTTTGGGATGATTGTATTTTGGGACATGAAGCCCAGACTTGGCTCACATGCACTGTTGGAAAAGTCCTTCCCTACTGGATTGTATCATGTGTCCCTGCAGTCCCCCTCCCATTCTTGTTCTCCCTTGGTCATAGCTGGTTAGCTGAGGCAGGGTATGGCCCAAGATAGTAAAGCAGACTGGCTGAGATGAAGATGCAGGGGTCTCTGCTGGCCTTCTCACCATGTGCTCCCCCTTCCAAGGAGAGCCTGCTGCACTGGAGCTGCTCCAGACCCTTAACACAACTGGCTCGAAGGCACATAGCAGGGAAGGAAAGGGGGCGTAGCATGACCAGCAAGGGAGATGGATGCTGCATGGCCCCACCATTCAGGCATATTGTTCCCAAGAGTCTGACCAGGCACGAGTAGGACCCCTTTCCAGGGTGTGTCTGGGCAGCAGTGTGTTTTTGGCCCTGTACATTCTTGGGAATCTTTCCAACAGAGGGATGTGGCTGGGCATGCTCCTGTCAGAGAGGGTGGACAATTTACTCAGAGAGAACCCCTTATCCTGCGGCCCTAGCCTTTCTTTCTCTTGGTGTAGGCCTTGCTGGGCCACTATGTGTCCTGGCTCGCAGAAACATTCCCCTGGAGTCAGCATCCCTGCAGGGATCCCAGAGCATCTTAAACCTTCCAGTAGTTGGTAGGCATGAACATGGATGGCATGGCTTCCAGGAGAAAGCCATCATTGCTGCATCTAATTCCAGACTCCCAAGAGTGATCCCAAGCCTCAAGCAGGCCTGACTCTGAGGCACCTGGGCAACTATGAGTCTGGGAAGCAGTCCTGTTGTCTCTTTGTAAATGTCACTTTATGAATTATGTGATTGTCCGAAGCTCTTAGATTAATCTGCCTGGCCATGCTGATTGGATTTTAGATACTAAAGCTCATTCTTCCAGAGACTTGTACTTTTAATAAGACACACCTGTCTTCTTTGGGATTGTTGTAAATTATGGCATAGCTGCAGAGCTTGGTTTGGGAGGTTGGACATAGCCCTGAGGATCATTTGTAGGTTGTACTATAGAAAACCCCTGCCTGCCCCGCAGTTCTGCCGGGACAAGTGGCTGAAGATCACTCAGGAAAGTCATGTGAGTTTTCTCTCAGCTAGAATGAGTCGACACCATTATTTTGGAGCCGTGGCAGGCCTATGAGAGAGAAGCCACCTTGGGATAGGCCAAAAGATAACAGCCCTGTCCGTCAGGAGGAATTGGTCCTCCGGCTTCGGGGAGGCAGCCTGTCTTGCGTCCTCAGAGTGCTGTGGATGGAGTCCGTCAACGTAAGATGAGAACCTGGATGCAAGGCCAGGAAGCCCAGCCCAGTGCCCAGTGTGGGGCTGGAACTCCCTGTTCCCTTTCCACATGTCCCCTCTACCTCTGAGGGCTGAGCCTCGTGCCGTCCAAGCTTGTCAGCTCAGAGCCCTGCTGCGGTATTTATTGCACGTGGCCTGGGCCTCTGCAGGGGGGTTGAACACAGCTCCCAGGGCCTCGTTTCTTCAGCCTGAAGTCACAAACCACTCACTGCTTTTGCTGTCATTCCTGGAAGGTACCAGTAAGTGTTTGATACCAGCACGATCCTCATGTGAGGAACTGGCCTTGAGGACTGCCTGCCCGTGTCCGGATCTTACAGGCACACGGTAGGCTCGCACTTTCCCACCTGATTGCTTTGGCCAGTGAAACGTGAGCAGAAGTGTGCCACTTGTTCTGTGCCTTCAGGCCAGTTGTGTGGGCCTTTAGGAGCCCGTGTGTGATGCGTCACATTGCCTTCCTTTTGCCACCAGTGACTGGTCGTGTCCCAGAGAAGGGCTCTGTCAGCTTGGGTTCCATGTTAGGACAGTGTGGCGGAGAACCCTCACCAACGAATGAGCAACGTGCAGTGGGACTAAGAAATAAACCTTTGATGTTTGACACCACTGAGATTTGGGGCTTGTTTGTTACCACAGCATAACTTAGTGTACCCTGACCACTACAGCCGCCCTAGAGACCGTACCTAGGCTCAGCGGCACCCAGCACGGACTGACACATTTATCAACACCCACTAGGAGCTGGGTTTTCTGTCAGGACAATGATGAGTTGTTGAATTTCCATCACTAGGGAATGAAATAAACACTAGGACAGATTTATGTGTGTGCAGAAGGAGGAACAATTCATTCTTTATGTAAGTGACACTGAGCTAAACCTTGGAGAGTTTCAGTCCATCAATACCAACAACAGCTAACACTTTTTGAGCACCTGCCTTGTACCAGGAGCTAATCTAAACTCCACTTGTTCGGACCTATTTGATCTTTATGGTGATCCTAGAAGGTGAGTACTATTATCTTCATTTCTCAGGTGAAGAAACCGAGACACAAAAATGTTACATAACCCACCCAAGATCACAACCCTAGGATTCAACCCCAGAGCCCACTTTCTTCAGTGTTCTGGGCTGAGAGAGCAAATGTGTTGTCATGAAAGACTGGCATGAGCAGGGTGTGATGAATTGTCTGGTGTAACTTGGTCATAGGACATATGAAAGGGTGTGGTAGCCCTTATGACTGGAAATGTCAGCCAAACTGTGAGGGGTCTTGGGTGCCAGATGGCGGGATTTGGACTTTCTCCTGTGGGCAGTAGAGTGGAGGACAGGCTTCACGGGCTTCAGGAGTAGAACTGCCAGTGTGCAGACTCTAGATTGGAGAACGGGTGTTTTGGAAGGCAGGGGCCCAGTTGGAGGGGCCTAGAAAGCAGCCTGTGAGACATGGTAGCCTGAACCAGCCTGGGGGCAGAGGCTGTCCCCCTTACCCTTCCTTTGGCCCTTGACTATGACTAGATCCGTATGTTTATGTGGCTTTCATGTTCTCTATTTTTCTTCTCAACTGGACTGAAAGCTGCTCGAGGGAAGGGTTCCTCTTAAGCTGTTCTCTGATCTGTCCTTCTGCTTAATCTTGGGCTGATGCCCATGTTTGGAATGTCCTCCTGGGGCAGAACATTATACCAAGGCCCAGCTCAAATGCCATCTTCCTGCTACACGGACTCCCTGGCAGCATATTTCTCACTGGATTATGATTGCAGCTGACATCCGGGACCCCACTCAGTGTTTGCTGTTGGCATGGCCTATTGGCTCCTGGCTTGTGCCTGTTACAGGGCCCCCCACCCAGTAAAGCATCAGAGAGAGCCTAGCAGGTCTTCCTCCTCATGCATCCTGGCCTGCTTGAGGGCAGAGACCAGCTTATTCACCCTACTCAGTTGCTGTGGGTTTGCTAGTACTCAGTGGTCCTTCAGGAAAGAGGGCAGTTTGCACCTGACCTCTTGTCTCAGCCACAGTTAGATGGACAGATCACATCTTTGAAATTGAGAGATTCTGGGTTCAGAGATGCTCACTGTGTGAGTCATGAAACATTAAGCAAATCTTGGGGTTTGGTTTTTTTTTTTTTTCATTAAAAAACAATTAGTCACAACCTCAAGCTAATGGCCGGATACAGCTCAACAGTCAGCAGATGTGGTTCTCATTTGAAATAATGAGGATGAGAACCATAATCCCTCATGCCTGCCTAGAGCTTTCAGCCCACAGAGACCATTCACATCCTTATTAATCCCCAGAAAAGGCCTGTAAAGCAGGTAGGGCAGGTGCTCTCACCCATTTTGTGGATGAGGAAGCAGGCCCAGAGCTTCAGCTATCAGTCCAAATTTATGCAGTGGGCGTCTGGCACAGCTGGACCTCCTCTCCCGCCTCCATTCTCTGCCCATGCTCCTGACCCTCCAATCTCTTCTCCCTCTTGTTTCCAGTCCCCACCCTGGGTCCCAGCTCTGCAGAGCAGGGCTCAGTTTTGGGGTGCTGAGTGGATGCCTCATCCCTAGGTGGCCAGCTCCATTCACTTCTAGAGTGCACTGACCCCTCTCACAGAGCCCTGCCCTCCACAGGAACGGACTCACGTGGGTACCTGGTGATGCTAATGCACAGACCAAATGCAGAAAGGAAAGTAGGTTTGCTGTTTGCCATCTGCACCTGGGATCCCTGAAGCCATTTAAAATCTGGGAGGCAAGACACAAAAATCAGGGAAGTTAAATGTCAACACAAGATTGAGAAAGCTCAAGACAAGACTAGTAGAGCTGACACTGTCCTTGGGTGGGTTACAGTGTCCTTAACCACTTTCCCTGGGGCTAGAACCCAGAAATGCCAGGCTGACAGTTCCTGATTTGCATAATCAGGCTTTTTCAGCACATGAGAGTTTGCTGGTTTCTAGCTGTACCAGAAAGTCTGGCTTCAGATTGGTGAGGACCCAGATGGATGAAGAAAATGAATGAGGCTTCTATGGCCGGAGTCAAGGGCTCAGTTTAAGCCAATGTGCCCCCTGGTGGTAACAATGTTAGAACTGCAGCTATTGGTGACGGGGGTTCCCGTTGACTCCGCCCACCCACTTGCTGGTGTGGCCTCCAGCACCTTCCTCCACTGCCCCTTGTCCCCATCAGACCAGAGCTTGGAATAAGTGCCCCCTCCCAGAATTCATCATTTAAACGTGATCTACTTACAAAGAATTTTGATGGGTACATCATTACACAGATTCAAGAACACCCTTAAAGAGTTATGGAAAAAAAAAAAAAGAGTTATGGAAGCGGGGGGCGGGGAGGTGGGAAAGAACACCTTGTTGCACATTATGACCCAGAAAACTAGGTTGATGGCAGCAGTGCTCAACCCTAAGGTGTCGTCTCTGCCACCATTTCATGAGTTTTTGTAGAACCACTCAGTGCAGATTTTGCTCAGATACAACTATGCCAATAAATATTTACAGTGTGCTACTTTGGGCAAGGCATGGAGCTAGGCTTAGAGAAGGAAAATTGAGGGGACAAGAGCCCTGTCACCCTGAAGCCATTAAAATCTGTGAATTAAGGGGCGCCTGGGTGTTTCAGTTGGTTAAGTGACTGCCTTCGGCTCAGGTCATGATCCTGGAGTCCTGGGATCAAGTCCCGCATCGGGCTCCCTGCTCGGCGGGGAGCCTGCTTCTCCCTCTGACCCTCCTCCCTCTCATGCTCTCTGTCTCTCATTGTCTCTCTTGCAAAAAAAAAAAAAATCTGTGAATTAAGGGGCGCCTGGGTGGCTCAGTTGGTTAAGCGACTGCCTTCGGCTCAGGTCATGATCCTGGAGTCCCGGGATCGAGTCCCGCATCGGGCTCCCTGCTCGGCAGGGAGTCTGCTTCTCCCTCTGACCCTCCTCCCTCTCATGCTCTCTGTCTCTCATTCTCTCTGTCTCAAGTAAATAAATAAAATCTTTAAAAAAAAAAATCTGTGAATTAAGAGATAAACATCAGAGGAGTTAAAGCTCAATACAAGCTTTAGGAAGCTTCAGACAAGACTGGTATGGTTGTCACTGTCCTTGGGCGGGTTATGTAGCCTGACTACAACTCATTTCCTAATCCCAAATCAAACTTTCCTCATGAAACTTTGTGAGGGTTTGATAAGTTAATGCCCAAAGTGCTTACCCCAGAACCTGGCACACTGCATGGGCTTAATAAGCATCCACTGCTATTATTGTTGTCATTGTGATCCCACGCACCAGTTGCTACAGGAAGGTATATGCTGAGATTTGTGTAGGAGTTTAGAGGTGAGCACTTTGGCTGGGCCCTTGGTGGAGAGGCTTTTTGGAGGAGGTGGGAGTTGAATGATAGAATCTCAGCATCCACAGTTCTCACCTGCCCCCTGGGCCTTAAAGATGAGTTAAGTGGGATGCATAGAGCAAACATGTTGGGCAGAAGAAGGGCAGGGGAAGAGCATGGAGGCAGGCACAGTTAGTGTGACTAGGGAGGAGATGTGTCCGGGTGACAGCTGGGCCACGGTGGGAATGGGCTCAGGGTGCCAGGCTGAAGGATAAGGCCTTGTTCAGTAAGGGGGCAAGGTCAGGAGAATGTTCCGGGACTGGGGATTGAGAGGTGGTGGGTCGGGGTGCTGGGCCAGGGAAGGGAGGCACTTCTGGAGCCTCGGGTGAGAGGAAGTAGCTGCCAGCTACAGAGGGTGGATTTGAGGACAGTGAGGACAAAGAAGGAGAAGCTGGAGATGACAAAGTATGTCAGGCTTGATGACCACACAAAGCTGGTGCCTCTCTAGGCAGGAACATTGAGGGGAAGGAATGTGGAGGGCAGAGGTGTCTACTTGGATGTGCTGAGTGGAAGGGGTTTGTGGTCTTCATCTGGAGATTCCAGGAGATAGGGATGGAGCTCATGGGAGAGGGTAGCACTGGACCCCTGGATGAGGGAGTCCCTGGCTTGGGAATGTCAGATGGGTCCTTGGAGGAGTGGGGGTCTCAGAAAGGGATAGGAGGATGTAAGGGTCAGTCATGGGGAGCCCCCGTGTATTGAGGAAAAGCTGTCAGGGAAGGAGGAGGAGGGTCACGATTTCCCCTGTAGCCCTCACAGCATGCATGGTACCATGCAGACTCTGGGAGATGTTGTCAGCACCCAATGGCTCTGTTACAAAGGGAACACATTTAGTGATGTGAGTTGTCCTCACCGGAGGCAGAAATCACCTGGGAAGCTAAGGGGATAGTTCCAGTGGAGAAGTGTAACCTTCCCCTTTCTTGGACCGTGCCTCTGAGCTGGCCAGTTGTCTTAGTGCCTTTCTCAGATGTCTCCCACCCATGCCCCGGGGCTGCCATGGCTGAGACCTGGCCCTGGTCCAGGCAGTGTCCCTAAGACAGCATGGGCATGTCAGTCTCCATACCAAGGTGTTCCCACAGCACCTCTGGCCCACACAGGTGGTTAGAAGGAACAGTGACCCCAGAGAACTTGTAGGTTGAGGGGTCACTGCTGGTGAGTTGTTTTTTTTTTTTAAAGATTTTCTTTATTTGACAGAGAGAGACCCAGCGAGAGCAGGGACACAAGCAGGGGGAGTGGGAGAGGGAGAAGCAGGCTTCCCAAGGAGCAGGGAGCCCGATGCGGGGCTTGACCCCAGGACCCTGGGATCATGACCTGAGCCGAAGGCAGACGCTTAACGACTGAGCCACCCAGGCGCCCCGAGTTTATATACATATAAAATATATGTAACAGTTATGTATGATTAAGAATGAATTCCATGGCCTCACCCTATATGTCTCTTCAGCTGGCTGTTGATTGGTATCCTTTATTATATTATTTAATAAACTGGTCATCAAAACTAAAAAAAAAAAAAAAAAATGAATTCCATGATCCAACAATCCCACTTCTGGGTGTATGCCCCAAAGAATTGAAAGCTGTAACTCAAAGAGGTATTTGTACACCCATGTTCACAGCAGCATAGTTCATCCCACAGTTAAAAGTTGGAAGCACCCCAAGTGTCCATTGACAGATGAATGGCTAAGTAAAATGTGCCATATACGTATGATGGATTATTATTCAGCCTTATAAAGGGAGGAGATTCTGCAATTTGCTACAATACGGGTGAATCTTGAGGACGTTATGCTAAGTGAAATAAGCCGGTCACAGAAAGATAAATGGTGCATGATTGCACTTATATGATGGTCTTAGAGTAATCCAATTCACACACAGAATGTAGAATGGTTGTCAGAGGCTGGGGGAGGGGAGCAATTGGGAGTTAGTGTTTAATGGGTATAGGGTTTCAGCTTTGCAAGATGAAAACTGTTCTGGAGATGGATGGCGGCAATGGCCGCATATGAATGTACTTAATGCTACTAAATTGTACGCTTAAAATGCTTCAAATGGTATTTTTCATGTTATATGGATTTTACCAAAATTTCAAAAAAAAAAGAGGTGAATTCCAAGGTTCATTTTAATTGAAGCTGAAGTGGCACACACGCAAAAAGGTGTCCAAGCAGGGGCATGGTATGGCGTGTTGAGGTGGGCCTGGCTTCCATGCCCAGACCCCCAGCATGACCCAGCAATCAGTTAGCTGCGCCGATTTCTCACGTGTAAAATGACCACGGCAATGTCCGCCCTGCCCCCGCTCAGGGTGTTGTGTGGCCTGGGAGAGTGAGCTCGCACAGCCTCTCTGTAAACTGTAAAATGTCGTGCAAAACCCGTTCAGCGTCTGCACTCTACTCCCTTGACTCAGGGGTCAACCTTGTGAGCTACTCCAAGTAGGGCTATGATGGGTCTTTCGGGTACGTGGCTGCTCATTTCAGGCTGTGTGGGGCCTGTGGCTTGTGGGGTCCTCTAGGGTTCCTATGGGCAGCTTCCAGGATGGGTTCTGCAGGACATTTTGGGCTGCCGACTGCAGGCATACCCAGAAAGACTTTGCAGCTTTTCTCAGCCATATTCTGGGAGGGAATTAAGCCTTACTGTATTAACTTTGCTCCCGTGCATTTAGGATGGCACTAAGAAAAACAAGGAAATAGACACAGAAGATTATTTTCTGTGTTCTGTGGTTCCACGAGGAATCTCAGTTGAGCCAGGCTGGGACCTGGTAGACCCAGAAGCCTCCCGCCTCAATGCCTACACCAGGGTGCCCCAGGGATTGAGAGGCCCAAGGGAGGCAGGGACTCACCCAAGGTCGCACAGAGCTGGTGGCAAAGCCAGCATTCAAAACCAGTCCTTAGATGCCAAGCCAGGACTGTACGATGGGTGACGTGACCATTTCCATTCCTTCTACATGGTGCTGGGGTTGACTTTTCTGGTCGTGACAGTGAATTGGTGGAGTTTGGGAGGCCTGAGCAGTGCCCTCCTCTTCCTTGTGAGGAAGCTCTGGCTGGTTCTGGGCTGTGGGTGGCTAAGTGCATTGCAGCCCCTGGCACGGGGGGAGGCGGGGCAGCAGCTAAGTGGTTTCTGAAAAAGGGCAGAAACGATGGGAAAAGCTCTGGGGTCCTCTGGGAATCAGAGCCACGGCAACAGCAGCTGCGGCCATTGCTGGAAAACGTTTTCCTTGAGTGCCAGAGCGGACCCACAGCTCGTCCCTGCAGCGCTGAGTCACCACGACCTGGGGAGGGGCCAAGGCCCCTCACCGAGGCAGGGGAGGCAACTCTTCTCCCCACACCATTCCAGCTCTCCCCTCAAGGAACGACGGCCTTGGAGCTCCGGGACCCGCCGTGTCTGGGGTGTGTCTGCGTCTAGCTGGTGAGTCCTTTTTGTTGTTTGATGGCCAGTGTCGATGTTAGCTTTTAGAATGGCATAGTGAGCTGTCGGAAGCTGGGCCTTGCCTCTGTCCAGCTGTGTGACTATGAGCAGTTCAACCAGCCTCTTAGCACCTCAGCCAGCCCATCTGAACTTGGGGTAATCACAGTGACTGCCTCAAAAGTCGTGGTGATGCTGAAGTCAAGCTATAGCTATCGTGCACTTAGCGTGGCTAATCACGAACACTTGGCAAGTGATAGTGGAGGTTGCTACTGTTGATGTGTATTATTTGCACCAGAGTCATCCTGGACCCTCATCCTGGAGCAAAGAGGCCATGGGTCTTGCTGAGGCCAGTGCTTTGTGGCTGGAGGTTTCACCACACTGCCCTCTCTGTACCAACGGGGCGCTGGGCTGGGAGGCAGGAGGCCTGGGTTCTTGTCCAGGCTCCAATCACTCTCTGTTTTGCGTAGAGTTCCTCTGGCTCTTCATGCATAGGTTGGGTAGCCCCCCAGATCTCCATTCCTCTTTAGAAAATGCTCAGATAGGCCAAGAGGGCAAGACCGATGTGGGCTGGGTCCTGGACCAGCTCCCAAGAGCTTTCAGGGAGGCCAGAGGCAGACAGATACTTTGAGCAGAGAGGGAGTAGGAGAGCTGCACCCCAGGATGTCTCATCTGGATTGGGGAGAAGAGGAAGGCTTCTCCCAGGGGGTGGACAGTGTCCTTCCTGGCTCTGGAGTTGAGATAGACCCAGAGGCCAAACCAAGTCTTTGCTGAGCCAGGTCATTTTTTCAGGACTGTCCTTTAGTCCAGATTGGTGTTTGTGAATCTTGCATAAACCAGAACCACCATCTCCATCAGACACCCCAAGTCATGGCTGGAAATTCCCCCATCATTGCAGAACATTCAGCTGTGACAGGTACATTGCCACGGGACTCACGTGCTAGACACACCCAGGCCTGGCAGTGGCAGGCCATCCTGTCCCTGTCCTACCCCACAACCCAAAGCAAATGGCCTCTCAGTCCCTGTCCTTCCTTCCCTCTGCTCCTGAAGAAGCCTGGCTTCCAGTAGGGAATCAGGTGCAAGGCATGCAGTGCAGATTTGGGGTTTCTTGACCTACTGAATGATGTGACTGTGTGGGCTGCTTCATGTTTCTTGGGTTTGGTTAGATTTGGACCAGTCAGAGGAAGAGGCAAAAAGGAACATCGCAGAATGGTTTTGTGGAGACTCCTGCTAATGGGTGCTCTTGTTGGGATGTTAAGAGCTGTGAGTCAGGCAGCAAGTTTATTCTTGGTTTTGTGGCCAATCTTATCCAAGGGAATAGCCCTGGGAGAGCCAGGCCTGGCATGTGGCCTGGATCTTACTCAGGCTTCATTTTGGGCTTTGAGCTTCCTGGGATGCTTGTTTGAGCAGGAAGGTGCTACAGGTTCTGATAGGAAGGGTGTTGTCCCTGCCTGCCTGGCCCCAGGGCTGGGGAACTCTGGTCTGATCAGCCCCCCGCCCTGGGGTGAGATCTAGGGCTGAGTTTAATGGCTGAGAAGAGCCCTGAGCCTTCAGAGAGGTGGTGGGGTGCTGGAGATGCTCTAGGAGCCGGGCTGCCGAGTACCAGATCCAGCTTCCTCCTCTGCCTGTGTGGCCTCATGTAACTGCTATCAAATACTTACTCTGAGTCCCCTCACCTGTCAAATACTTACTTCTTAGAGATGGGAAAGTGAAGTGAGTGCATGTGAAGTGTTAGAACGGTACCCACCTTTGCGCAGGACATGCTCAAGCATGTCAATTATTTTCATTCTTACTAGCCTCCTGTTGCCTTTTGAAGATGACAGGCGCCCCATAGTATGAACAGTCCTGGACAGGAAGTTACCTTTTGAAAGCATAGACGAGTGCCGGTCTTCACGCTTCTGAAGCTTCTCATGGCTTCCTACCATCCACACAATTGTATCCACATCTTGTTCCTTGACATTCAAGGACAGTAGCCATCTGGTTCTGACCCTGCTGCCTGTCTTCCAGTCCCCCTGGCTTCCTCTTCATCAGCTAGTCTTCAATCCCCATCATCTCCCCCAGTCCCAGGCCAACCCTGCTCTCCTTCCAGGCCCAGATCCTCTGTCACTTCCTCCATGAAGCCTTCTTCAGTACCCTGGCCCCTCCTACAAGAGCCCTGCCCCAGCCAGCACCCGGTTTCTGTCTCAGATGGGGCCTGAGCGCTCTCTGTGCCCCCAGGACAGGCCCGGGTTCCCGGTAGGATTCCGTAGATGGGTGTTGAGTGATGGAATGAACAAATGGGTGAGTGGTCAGAAGTGGGATTCCCTGTGGCCGGGCACACTTCCTGCTGCAGGATTTCCATCTGATGGACGACCCAGAGAAAGCCTCGGGCCCTCCTGAAAGAGGAACAACAGGCAGGAGGGAAAACGGGGCTGTCTCATTCACAGGATGCAGAGGGTGAGGCTGCCTCATTTTCTTCCCCCAAGGATCTGGGCATCAGATCGTAGCTGGTTTATTGCCAAGGCCCAACCATGTGCTCTAAGTGATAACTGCCTGAACTTGCACTTGAAAATGCAGGCCTTGGGGCACTTCCCATTCCTTCAGTGGCTATTTTTTGGAATCCAGCCACTGCTGGGACATGACTCTCACTTACTTCCTATGCAAATGGGAACAAAAAAGTCCTGTATCTGATCTCCTTCATGTCCCCCACAGTGACCAGCACAGCTTTTTTTCATAAGGAGGGGGATCAGGCAAGCTCCCTGCTCAGGAGGAGGTCACAGGGTGTGGGGGAGATAAGGCAGTGCCAGATAGAAATTGCTAGAGTGCATAATGGACGTTGCTAAGAAGGCCCCGAAGGATGATGGACAACCAACTGGGCCATTCTGGAGGGGTTTATGAGCCTGGCCAGTGCAGAGCTTGGGGGTGTGGAGGACTCCAAGGGGAGGTGGCATCTGAAAGGTGGTAGGATTTGGGCAAGAGGAGGAGAAAGAAAAAAAGCACCCCAAGTGGAGGCACTGCAGGAGCAAAGGCCCCTGAGACGCGGGACAGCCCTGGGCACCAGAGAGCGGGGATGCCCTACTGGATGGAGCGAAGAGTGGGAGAGGAGGTTAGGAAGCGAGTGGAAAACAGTGTCAAAACGAGTTCATGGCCATATGTCCTGGAAGGCCTGGACCATCCCTGAATCACTTGAAGTTTAAAAGTTCAGGGATGCTTGGGGCACCTGGGTGGCTCAGTTGGTTAAGCGACTGCCTTCGGCTCAGGTCATGATCCTGGAGTCCCTGGATCGAGTCCCACATCGGGCTCCCTGCTCAGCAAGGAGTCTGCTTCTCCCTCTGACCCTCCTTTCTCTCATGCTCTCTGTCTCTCATTCTGTCTCTCAAATAAATAAAATCTTAAAAAAAAAAATTTAAAAAAAAATAAAAGTTCAGGGACGCTTGAAATATACTAATTTCACAAAAATGACGAAAAGTGCAAAAAAATCTCCTACCAACTCGACAGTTGCAGCCCCTGGGTCGAAGAGCAGAGGCAAGAGAGCACATGGCTAGTGACAGGGACACGCCGCTCGCCTTGTTCGTGAAGACACAGCCTGCCCTGCTCTTTGGGGCTGAGACAGCCTCATCACCGAGTTCTCCCCCGAATGTGCAGTCAGTGACAGCCACTCCCATTGTTTCCCTTACTCTGGTCTTGGAGGGAGGCAGAGCAGCGGTTGCCATCCTACCTTGCACTTGAGGCACCTGAGGTCCAGAGAGGAGAGCAATACATTCGAGTCCTCCAGAGCCTGATGGCTCTAAGCTGGGGGCACATTCACCCCTGAGCCCAATGCCCATGGGGCTGCTGGGCCTGCTCTCTCCCCTGGGGCCTCTGAGCTAGAAGGTACAGCACCCCTGGAAGCTTCAGTTCTGGGGGGCCAGTGCCATCAGCTCTTGGACCTCTGGGGCGCACTGCTTCACAGGGGCTTTTGCAAGGAGGGCAGATGGGGGCTCAAATCATGTAGTCCTCGAGCTGGGAACAAACCTGATTTTGGTGGCTGCCGCAGGCTGCCTCTTAGTCCACAAAGGACCTGGCAAGGATGAAGAAATGGGGGAGCTCAGGTTCAGGGGAGTCTGAGGACCCACCACAAGAGGACTCCTGCCCAGACCCCCTGGATGGAGACCCTAATTCCAGGCCAGCTCCAGCCAAGCCCCAGTTCTTCCCCACGGCTAAGAGCCGTAGCCGGCTTTTCGGGAAGTGCGACTCCGAGGAGGCTTCTCCTATGGATTGCTCTTATGAAGAAGGCCAGCCAGCCTCCTGCCCAGCCATCACAGTCAGCCCTGTTGTCATCATCCAGAAGCAGGAGGACGGCCCCATCTGCGCCAGGTAAGCTGTATCTGGAGCCTGGGCCCTCTCCTCACCAGGAGCCAACAGGCTCACCTGGCTAAGGCCCCAGCGACGGAGATCACGTGGTGCTCGAGCTTCGGGGCTGCAGGTCCTAGAGCCAGGGAGCCGGTGGCCTTCAGGAATCCTGTGGCCCAGCATCTGCACTCATAGGAGCTTTGGGACACATGGTCATGGATGCTGGCATATATGCTGATCTTAGCTGCCGGCTGATCTCTAGGTGTCCGGGCCTCGAATGCTCAGCAGCCCCAAACATTTAGACTTTCAGTTGAAAAACTCCAAGCCGGGATGCTTTTAGTCAGAGAGTGCAGAACAGTTCTAGTGAGGAGCCCACCAGCTCTCTTGCCTCCGCCAAGGCAGGTCAGGGAGGGTGACCTACTAACTACGAGCTAGCCTCCGGGCCAGCGTGGGGACAACTTTTCACTTGGCAGTGGCCATCCAAGCCCTTGAAACCCCTGCCTCCAGTCCCCTCCAGGCCACTGCCTCCAGAGCCCCAGCTCCTGAACAAACAGGGAAGTGAGGGGCCAGGGCATTGGAGGAAGCGGGGGCAGGGAAGACTTTCTAGATGGTGCCTACAGACGGGGTGGGGATGGAATGAGGGCACATGACTCCACGGTTCCTTGTTACATCAGTTTCCCAGACAGTCCCCTAGACTAAGGGGTGGGTTTTGTACCATGTTTTCCCCCGTTTTGGTTTGCCCTGGGCTTTCGCCGTGCTCCCTGACAAGCACTGAGGGCAAATCACAATAGTCCGATGAAGGTGTTGTCCGGCCCACAGGCAGCCATCCCAGGATTCTGTCACTGCTGCACCTGAGAAGAGCCTCAAGCTCTATGATCGCAGGAAGATCTTTGAAGCGGTCGCTCAAAATAACTCTGAGGAGCTGCAGAGTCTGCTGCTCTTCCTGCAGAGGAGCAAGAAGCACCTCATGGACAGCGAGTTCAAAGGTGGCCCTGGACAGCCAGATTCCTGGGAGGGGCCGTGGCCGCCGTGCCCTGCTCTGACCCTCACTTTGTGTTGCAGACCCAGAGACAGGGAAGACCTGTCTGCTGAAAGCCATGCTCAACCTGCACGATGGGCAGAATGACACCATCCCCCTGCTCCTGGAGATTGCCCGGCAGACAGACAGCCTGAAGGAGTTAGTCAACGCCAGCTACACGGACAGTTACTACAAGGGTGAGGAGGGGGTGGGGTCTGGCACGGCTCTGTCCACAGCACACCCGGAGCCCAGAGGCGTTGTCGTGCCTGGGCAAGCCTCTCGGCTCCTTGCTCCCGGCACCAGCCACTGATGGCATGTCCTGCTCCCAGCGGGTCCTTGCCCCCGCCCCCCCACCTGCTGGACTTGGTTTCTCCCGGGGCCGACGGTCCCATCCTCGCCTCTGCGCACTGGCTGTTCTTTGCCTCTGGAAGCCGTGGCTACTCTCTCTGCTACTGTTCCTTGACGTTGGGCGGTTCTAACTACTCCAGTCCCCGGTCTGGTGTTCCCCTGGGGGTCTCTACTCCTGCCTCAGGGAGTCCCCGGGCCCCCTTCGGGCATTCCGGCCTGCTCTCCTCTTTTGCGGGGGAGTCATCTGGCATTTTTCTGCCCAAGTCTTCCCCCTTGCACCTGTCCAAGCACAGGACTGTGAGTACAAAGCCAACGGCACGCATCTCCACAGGCCAGACGGCCCTGCACATTGCCATTGAGAGGCGGAACATGGCACTAGTCACCCTCCTGGTGGAGAACGGGGCAGACGTCCAGGCTGCAGCCAACGGGGACTTCTTTAAGAAAACCAAAGGGCGGCCTGGCTTCTACTTTGGTAGGGAGACCACATGGCAGACACTTGGCTTTTTGACAATTGCTAAGGGGAGGTTTGGGGTGGAGACAGAGGGATTTGGAGGCTGGGTGGCCCAGGGACCAAGCTAGTCTCTTCCTGGGGCCCATCATATGCCTGTGTTGGCCACAGGTGAGCTGCCCCTCTCCTTGGCTGCGTGCACCAACCAGCTGGGCATTGTGAAGTTCCTGCTGCAGAACTCTCGGCAGCCGGCAGACATCAGCGCCAGGGACTCCGTGGGCAACACGGTGCTGCACGCGCTGGTCGAGGTGGCCGACAACACAGCGGACAACACCAAGTTCGTGACGAGCATGTACAACGAGATTCTGATCCTAGGGGCCAAGCTCCACCCTACACTGAAGCTGGAGGAGCTCACCAACAAGAAGGGGCTGACACCACTGGCTCTGGCCGCCAGGAGTGGGAAAATTGGGGTACGGGGGAGGCTTCATGCCTGAGCTGGGGCCGTGACTTCCGAGGGTGCTGTTGGGAGGGCACTGCCTGCCTTGCTGCGCACCTGGCGTCACCCCCCTGCAGAGCCCTGCTGCTGTGATACTAGCCTGTAGGGGTGGGGGTAGGGGGCTCTAGAGTAAGCCGGAGGAATTGTGAGATGCTGAGCAGAAGCCAGGCATCACCCCTGTCTCTCTCCGGTTTCCACCTCTGAGCAGCACCAGCCAGACGCGGAGTGGGAGTGAGGTGCTGGTGCCGGGGCGTGGGGGTGGGTTGGCCAAGGGCGAAATGGACGCGCCGGGTGTGATCAGCCAAGTGCCATCGGGCCACGATGGGTCTGATGTGGCTACAGCTGGGGTCTGAGTAAGTGGGCAGGCTGGTCAGGAGGCTGCTGCGTAGAAGTGAGGGCTCTCCTGAGGCTGGGCTGGGTCTCCAGCTGGCCCAGGAAGCAGACCTACTGTTGAGGCAGAGCCGGTGGCCGGGGGGGGATGCCCCCGTGGCGGGGCTCCAGGCTGGTCTCTCACAGGCTCTTGTATCCCTGTGGTAGGTCTTGGCCTATATTCTCCAGAGGGAGATCCAGGAGCCTGAGTGCAGGCATCTGTCCAGGAAGTTCACCGAATGGGCGTACGGGCCCGTGCACTCCTCGCTCTATGACCTGTCCTGCATCGACACTTGTGAGAAGAACTCGGTGCTGGAGGTGATCGCCTACAGCAGCAGTGAGACCCCCGTGAGTGGGCCTGGGTGGGGCCTGGGCAGGGCGGGCTTCTGGCCTCTCTGCGCCCCCGCCCCCATCCAGCTTTGCCTGTCCTTTCATCAGTGAAGCCTGCTGCCTGGGGCCTAGGCCCTGATGCCTCATCTCCCCATTTATTCCCACTGAATGTTTTCCTTCATCGTACAAATAATGTAGGCTAGTTTTCCCATAAAAACGTAAATATTTCAGATAGACAAGAAGAACCCTCTTTTTATACCATATAAAAACATGTGGCTTCATTTTGTTTACATAAATGGGATCATGCTATACAAAACGTAGAACAAGCAGTTTTTTCACTTACTGGTGTGTCCGTAGATCATTTTATGTCGTACATATGGGCCTGCTCCGTTCAAAAACTCCGGCTGCATGGTGTTCCCTAGTAGGGATGGGGAGTAAATGTCCATTGGAGGATATTTAGGTTATTTCCAGTTTTTTGCTACCACAATGCTGCAGGCCACTTGGCATGGGTTTGGGAATTTTTCTAGGACGCCTGGAATTGGAATTGCTAAATCAAAAAAGTATGTATGTTTTAACGTTTTAATAGCTCCTGCCAAGTTGTCCTCCAAAAAGACTGCATTGATTCATTTGCCCACCACCAATGGGTATACATCTACCCATGTCCTTGTCAACCTGGGTATCATCAATCTTTTCTCAAAAACTAATTTAAGTCCTTGGGCCCCAAAATACTATCTTATTGATGTCTTCACTCTCATTTTCTTGACTAACGTGAGGTGGATAATTTTTCGTATAGTTATCTGACCATTCATATTTCTTTGGTAGATTTCCTATTCATTGTCCTCAGCCATCTCTTCTACTGGACTGTTGGCCCCATTCCTTTTGGTCTGTAGGTGCTCTTGTTATAGAATGAATTGATCCTTTCTCTACTGCATAAGTTGCAAATATTTTATTTTCTTCCAGTCTGTCTCTTGCCTCCTAACTTCATGTAAGGCATCATTTGCTTATAAAAGTTTTTCATTTTGAGAGTCAAATTAATTAGTCTTTTTCCTTTATAGCTTCTGTGACTTGTATCTTGCTTTGCAAGGCCTTTTCCATTTCAAGATTATACACATATCCTTCAATACTTTTGTTTAGCTCCTTTGTAGATATTTTATGTTTCGCTCCTTAATTTATCTAGAATTTATTTTTGTGTAGGCGTGAGGTAGGCATCTTACTTAATTATTTTGTTTCCAAATGAGGGTCCCAGGGCCACCTAATGAAAAGCCTGTCCTAAGACCTCTGCTTTGAAAGGCCACCTTCCCTGTCCATTCTTTCTAAGGTGATACCTGCCCCCGAGGCAGACCCAGGGGGTGGGTTTGTGCTGTCAGTGAGGAGGGGCTGCCACAGGATCTCACAGGACAGAGGCTGTGTTTACAGGGGCAAAGTTCAGGGGAGAGAGAGGTCTAGCCTGCTTTGCTCCGCCCTGCCAGCCTCCCTCTGGGCTGCCTCTCTGAAGCTGGGCTTTGGAGAGGGCTGGCCCATGTCCGTAATGGCGCCAAAAAGGCTGGGGTGTTTGACCTAGAGAGGAGAGGGCTGTGGGGCCATGGCTGCCATTTTCATGTCTCTGAAGGCTCTCCTGGGCAGAAATTCAGTACTGGGGTCCCTGAGTACAGAACTGGGACAACTGGTGGAAAGCAGAGAAGACCAACTTTACTCCAGAGGATAGATCTTCCTGACAGTTACCATTTCTCCCCAGGCTGTGTGAGGCAGCAAGGCGATTCCTATCCCCAAAGCTATTGAAGAAGTCACTGAACAGAGACCTCACTGGGGGAGCTTAAGCTTGGGCTGGGGGTTGGGCTTGATGGTCTGCAAAGGTTAGGATGACCTGATTTTGGCTCATTCATCTTAGGGATGCTGGAACTTTAACAGAGACTCTTGGATATGAGATTTTGTGGTTTCTGGCTGGGGAGTGAGCCTCATCTCTCTCTGCTCCCCTTAGAATCGCCACGACATGCTTTTGGTGGAACCTCTGAACCGACTCCTGCAGGACAAATGGGACAGATTTGTCAAGCGCATCTTCTACTTCAACTTCTTCGTCTACTGCTTGTATATGATCATCTTCACCACGGCAGCCTACTACAGGCCTGTGGATGGCTTGGTGAGGACTGAGCCTCAGCTTCCGGACAGGGAGTGGGGAGAGCGATGGGCATTCTTATAAGACCCCCAAGACCCAGGCCCAGGCCAGGCCCTGAACTCCTTCCCAGCTTGCTGGAGAGATGAAAAAGATCACCTGGAGCTCCTTATGTACCCATACTCAGCCCTCCACCTCTCAGGCTGTCCTGGTAACACTCCTCCCCCAGCCTTCTCGGTCCCTCCTTTAGCCTCCTGGTTCTGTGAGGCCGAGTGTGTGGTCTACGAGGTCCCTGATGGCAGAGGAGGGATAACAGGTTAGAAAAGATGGAGGAATTAGGGCTCCAGAAGCAGCTCTTCCTTGGGTTGGCTGTCTGCAGGGTCATGGGCTAGCATGAGCCTTGGGCCCATTGCCATCCTGCTAACCTGTCCACTTTTGTTCACTCACTCGCTCATTTTTCATTCCCTGGTTGTCTACTTTTGAGCACATCTTCTTCTTCTTTTTTTCTTCAAAGATTTTATTTATTTATTTATTTGAGAGAGGGAGAGACAGAGAGAGGGAGCACAAGCAGGGGGAGCAGCAGAGGGAGAAGCAGACTCCCCACTGAGCAGGGAGCCCGACATGGGGCTCGATCCCAGGACCCTGGGATCATGACCCGAGCCGAAGGCAGACGTTTAACCGACTGAGCCAGCCAGGCGCCCCTTGAGCACATCTTCTGTGCCAGGCCCTGGGCCATCCTTCACATCAGCTTAAGACCGGACTTCTTCCTCTGCCAGGAGCTATCGACTCCTTTGAGTTACTGAATTGGATCCTTTCTATTCGATACCGAAGCACTTACTTTGTTGCCTTTATTTCCAGGTGCCTTGCTTATAAATTTGATTTAAAATTCCACTTCCAAGTTAGGTAGAACCTGGTTTCTATCCACCTAGTAGGGCCATTTAATAATTTCATTTTATGAGAAAAGAGAAACATGCTAATAAGACAAGCTAGTGAAGCAGTGTTTACAAACCACCGATGGCCGGCAGAAAGGAAACCCACCCCAGGAAAGTGTCGGAGACACAAGGATGACACAGTGTGGGGGACGTCCCACCTCCCGCCATCCGCGGGCAGCCTTGACAGGGGCCCAGCATGGCTGTGGGAGCAGCGGGAAGCACATGGCATTGAGTCTGTAGGAGTATCTCCAGCTACGCCATCAGGCCCGTCTCGGCAGAGCTCCGGGCTGGGACGCTGTCTGGGAGGTAGCACAGCACGGTGAGGATGCTCTGCCTGGCACCTAGGGGCTGCCGCTTGGGGAATCGGGTCCCACAGAGGGGCCTCCTTGCAATTGTCCCCCATAATGCGTAGTCTTTAATTATGCCTCTCTCTTTTTTTAGATTTTGTTTATTTATTTGACAGAGAGATATAGTGAGAGAGGGAACACTAGCAGGGGGAGTGGGAGAGGGAGAAGCAGGCCTCCTCCTGAGCAGGGCTCGATCCCAGGACCCTGGGACCATGACCTGAGCCGAAGGCAGACGCTTAACAACTGAGCCACTCAGGCACCCCTATGCCTCTCTCTTGATAGAGGGTGAGCCTCTTGGGCAGGGGCTGACTCTCAATCACAGGGCTTGGTAAATGTTTGTTGAGTGAATAAATAAGTGAATGGAGTCACTAACTTCTCTGCACCTTGCAGCCTCCCTATAAGCTGAAACACACCGTTGGGGACTATTTCCGAGTCACTGGCGAGATTCTTTCTGTATCAGGGGGAGTCTACTTTTTTTTCCGAGGGGTAAGCATTCCTTCCCACACTGTGAGTTTCCATTATCGCCAAAACAAAAAGCCAAGAGACTCACTCATTGCTCACTCACTCTTTAATTCATGGGAGAGATACACAGGTGAAGATGAGAGCCCTCCAAACATTCACGACTGGGCGTTGAGGGTCTGTCCAGTGGGTTCCTGCAGGCCCAGGGCAGTCACGTTCGAAGACAGTCAGGACCCCTCACTGAATGTACAATTGACCCTTGAACACTGCAGGGGTTAGGTGCGCCAACTGCCTCCACAGTCAAAAATCTGCATATAACTTTTGACTTCCCCCCAATTTAACTACTAATAGCCCACTATTGACTGGGAGCCTTACCAATAACATAAACAGTCAATTAACACATATTCTGTATGATATATGTATTGTGTACTATATTCTTACAATAAAGTAAGCTAGAGAAAAGAAAATGTTATTAAGAAAATCATAAGGAAGAGAAAATACATTTACAGTACCATACTGTATTTACCAAAACCAACAACAACAACAAAACTGCATGTAAGTGGTCCCTCACAGTTCAAAACCATGCTGTTCAAGGATCACCTGTAATATTTAATTACAGAAGTAGAATGGAAGCGTCTTAAGTGACAGGATCATGACTGGTAGTTGTTCAATTAATCCAAACAGTCTGTTAAAGTTCAAAATAATGAAAGAAATTTACACATATACTGGTATCATTTTATTTTACCTGAAAATACATGCATATTCCTTGGCAATTTTTCTAACATACGAACAGTCTTTTCTTTGAAATTGGGACCACTGTTACAGGTTACATTGTTACAAATAATTGGAGATTATTGTGATTTTTTCCCCTTAATCTTTTTGATCTAAGCTACACCCAATTTTTCTTAGTGACTACCATTAAGGAGTCTTTCCAAATCATTGGACTCTGTCTTCACAGAAGCAACTATCTTTATTTTGCACTCGTATTTTACATTATAATAAAATACAAAGCCACAGTAGCAAGTTGCAGTGGGCAAAAAGCACTCTTGGCAAGCAGGATTAACCGGTGGGAGGGAGTGGAGTGTGTGCGTGTCCGGGAGAGGATCTCCTAGCCACCAGCACTGACTGTGAGCATCAGTCAGAATGATTTCAGGGAGTGGAGAGCCCTGCCTAGTCTGGGGATTTAGTTCAGTGGAGGCTGATTAAATTTTTACTCTAATGCACAGTTCTTAAAGAAAACTAGGAAAAAATGCACATATTAAGAAGGAGAAAAAAATCTCTCCATCTCATCATTCAAACACAGCAATTAATAATATTTTGATGATTTTCCTTCCTGCCTTTATTTCTAGCTATAGTTGTAATTCCACTCTCTATTTTTAAAAAATCTCTCCCAACTGAGTTACATAACACTACCTGTTAGCCTCACTGTTCTACCCTCTTCAGAGTCTCTGCTCTGATGCACTCCTGTGTTCCACTGTAGGCTCTTTAGGAAACATTGCAAGTGTTCACCATGTAGCCTTTTCTGGGATCTCACTCTCTCTGTTTGCCTACAGATTCAATATTTCCTGCAGAGGCGGCCATCAATGAAGACCTTGTTTGTGGACAGCTACAGTGAGATGCTTTTGTACGTGACCTTTTGACTCTCATGCCTCAGTAGCACACAGCATCTTCTGGCCCCGTCCTAAGATTAGTGCCCTCCGTTCTCACCCATCCTTTTACATGTGCTGGGCCTGGAACATAGTAGGACCTCACAAACGTGTTGAGTGAACGATGGAAGGCCCTCAGTAAATGTGTGTTGAGTGAGTGGATGCTGAGGCTCTTCTGTGTGTCAGATATGCACCAGGTGCTAGGGAATGACTGGGCTTGGCTTGTGTGGCTTGGGGTCTGAGTTACAGTCGGAATGCTCCTGTTCATTTTTTTCATACATTTGTCCGACCATTTGGCATTCACTGAATTGGCACTGGGATACTGAGATGAAACAGATATGATTCCTATCTTCAGGGGATTTCCAATCTTTAAGGCAGGGTTTCTCAGCCTTGGTACTGTGGACGTTTTGGACTGGATGCCTCTTTGCTGTGGGGGCTGTCCTGTGCATTGTAGAATGTTTAGCAGCATCCCTGACCTCTACCTTCCAGATGTCCCCCAGTCTTGACAGCCAAAAATGTATCCAGATATTGACAAATGCCCCCCACTTGGGGAGGTACACTGCTTTATGGGGAGACAGATGAGCAAAAACAGAGTTATAAAACAATGTGGTTGTCACTGAGAACCTCCTTCCTTCACAAAATAAACTAGAACCTTAGGAAGTTTCCTTGCAGGACCCAGGATACAGAGGGGGTCTTCAGATGGGGATGGATTCTTCTCCTAGGATCTCTTCTATGGACTTGACTCTGATCTCCAGGTTTCCCTCATTCCTGAGGCCTCTTTCTTTATTCCTGGCAAATGCAAGGAGTTGATTCTCATCCATTTGTAGCTAGCTTGTCCCTAAGCCTCACAAACCCCATCCTTTTACTATAATCTTGAGATGCTTACACTTTTATTTTGTTTTGTTTTTTATTGGTTTCAGGGGTCGAATTTAGTGATTCATCAGTTGCATATAACACCCAGTGCTCATTACATCAAGTGCCTTCCTTAATGCCCATCACCCAATTAATTACCCCTTCCCCCCACCCACCTTCCCTCCAGCAACCCTCAGTTTGTTTGCTAGAGTTCAGCATCTCTTATGGCTTGCTGCCCTCTCAATTTTCATCTTATCTTATTTTTCCTTCCCTGCCCCTATGTTCATCTATTTTGTTTCTTAAATTCTACATATGAGTGAAATCGTATGGTATTTGTCTTTCTCTGAGATACTTACACTTTAACCCCAAAGAACAGGGTCTGTAGGGTTAGTGCAATGCTGATTTGCTTTACTAAGAGAAGCAATATTCTCCTACATAGCATTGTGCCAATAAACTTGATTCTATTTCTAGGAATACCCATTGTAGGCAGGTTAGAAATTTATTTTATTTTACTTTTTCAAAGCTACCCATGCACAGAGGGAAACACTGAAGAGCACTAAAAAGCTTATAGCCAGGATATGAGTCCCTCATCTTAACCCTTCCCATTCCTTGCATTCCTCCTTCCCAGGGACAATCACTTTTCATTCTTGTAACTTTCTTCTGATGTTTACTCACCCAGTAGATGACGATTTAGCATCTTTGTACTTCCTTCCTTTCTGCTTCCACTCCTCTAGCCTTCTAATATGGTTCATAGTAATTTCTGTTTTCCTGGATATTGAGTAATTTATGTTCTTACGTCTCTACATGTAGTAATCACAGTCAAGCTTCATGATATACTATATTTCTTTTTTTCCTGTTTCTCCTAAAGTTAGTAATTGTCTTGTTTTTATTTGTTTAGTTTTATTTGTATCCACTGTTAACTCGTCCCACACATCTTGAGGTCTCTCAGTACAATTTTTCTCAAAATCAGTCACCTAAATTATATGATCGGAATCCCCTGCTCCTTTTCTTTTTTTCCTTGAGAGATTTCCTCCTGAAGTGCTGTCCTCTCTTTCTAACTGAGCTGGTTGCTCTCTGGGCCTGCTGCTTAGCTGTCATCCTGGGACTCCTCTTTGCTGCCAGCCTTGGGATACTCACTGCTTTCCTCCTGGGTTAGACTTCTTGTCTCTTTCTTGATTTTCCTCCTTGTTTTGTTTGAGCACATCCTTCAGTATTGTTATCTGGTGAAAAGGATGGTCTTATGGTAGAGAACACAGTGATGACAGCTTTCCATACCTGGTTCTTGGGTCTCATTGCTGCCACATATACATCCAAGGTGTTATCCCTTCACTAGCACCTTGGAGATTCCTTTCACCTCTCTCCTGATTTGAATCCCTTATTTTCTGAAACTTATGTCTTCCTCTTTACTGATTCACTCCCTTGTTCGGGGGGAAGGCATCCTTTAGCCATAGAGAGAAGACACATAGTAGGGAAGGGGGAGTAAAATTTATTTTAAATCTGGCATGTCTGATAATATTCTACTATACCTTCATGTTTGGTTGATAGCTTGGTTGGGTATAAAATTCTTCTAAAAATTTGAAGATATTTCTCCATTGTTTCCTTGTGTCCAGTATTATAGATGACAAGTCCAAAACCATTCTGATCCTGGAATCCTCCTTTAAGACCTTGTTTTGTTTCTCTCTTTGTAAATCTGTAGTACCTTCCATTTGTTCCTAGTGTTCTTAAGCTTAATGATGTATCTTGATGTGGATGTGTTTTTATCCAATGTTCTGGGCACTTAGGGGGCTCTTTCAATCTGGAAATTTATATCTTTTATTTCTTGATTTCTCTTCTGGAACCCTATGATATATATATTGAACTTCCTGACCTAGTCTGAACCAGTTCTTATATTTTTCCCACTTGGGTTTTATCTCTTTATCTTTGGCTCTTCTTTCTGGGAGGTTCAAATCAACTTTAATTTCCAACACTTCTATTGAATTTATTATTTTTTGTATCATGTTTTTAATTTCTAAGTACTCTTTAAAAAATTCTTTGTTCCTTATTTATAGCATTCTATTCTTGTTTCATTGATGCAATCTTCTTTTGTCTCTCTGAGACTGTTAAAATAGTTTTTGGTAAACTTTTTCTTTTTGCATAGGTTTTATTTTCTCCAAGTGGTTGTTTCCCATTTTCTTGTTTTGCTCTATCTTTCATGTTAGAGGATATTTGGAAATTTTTGCTGGCTGCTCATGGGTAAGAGTGGAGGACTGAAAAGCTGGTTGGAAGCTCTTTTTAAAATTTTTTAAAAAGATTTTATTTATTTATTTGACAGAGAGCAGGAGAGAGAGTGAGAGAAAGCACAAGCAGGGGGAGCAGCAAAGGGAGAGGGAGAAGCAAGCTCCCTACTGAGCAGGGAGCCCAAAGTGGGGCTTAATCGCAGGACACCAGGATCATGACCGGAGCCGAAGGCAGACACTTAATTGACTGAGCCACCAGGTGCCCCTAGAAGCTCTTAATGTGTGAATAGGGCTTATCAATTTTGAGCTTCACTATAAACTAGTCTATGTAAGCTCTTTATTGAAGAATATCCAAAGTTAGTCGATTGTATCTTTTCAATTTTCTACTTGGAGGGAAGAAGTCTGGTTGCCAGATTTCTGAGAACTGAGTGGAAAAGAGGGATTTCTGTAATCTGTATTATATAAAAATCATATAGTCTCCTGCTTTTGGTAAAATACCAATGCTTTCACTGTTGTTTGATGAAAGTGGGTCCAAAGATCCTCTGTTTTATCTTCTTCAGAGACAAAACCTCCACTCTTCCTTATTTTAGGTCTCTTCGTCTCTCCTCCAGCAGTCCCTAAGCCTTTTGAGACTTTCCCCCTACAGATTTGGATTTGGTTTTGTTGCATCTGCTAAGTCAGTTTCCATTTGTCCACTGCTTCCCAAATTCATATGTGGGGGCTCCATTTGCCACCCAAGGCAACTCTTTACCTATCTCAACTGGTGTCAGTTCTTATCTTGGCTAAGGCTCTGCAAATACAGAGGAATAAAGTTCTGCAAATACAGATGAATAGTTTTGCTTTGCAGCAGAATTGATGAGCCAGTCTACTGACATCAATTTGCAGTAAACTCACGTCAGCGCTTTTTGCTGGGTTCTCCCCTACAAATGGGAGTTGAGGTGGCCAGTGTGGTCTATAGTGTAAAGAGAGCTGGGGGGAGCTTTCAGGAGGAGGCCGTGATAAACAGGAGACCTGGGATGAATATGTAAAGAAGGGAGCCCTAGGCAGACTCTGACATAGGATTATCAGATTTACTCTACCTTATCCATGGATCCTACTTAGATAGCCCTCAGCAGGCCAAGTTGCTGAGGGACATCTTCCCTGGCTCTGCTTCTGAGTTTGAGGGTGTGACCTGCAGACTCCACTGTGATTTTTCAGGAGAGTTAGGCCTGCCCCTCCTTACTGATAAAGTCAGCCTTTTTAGATGTTTTTTTCCTAATTGCCCCTTCCATGAAATCTAGTACCACAAATATACTGTATAGTTATCTATGTACTGCGTTAATATTTGTGCTTTCTACAAAAAGAGAGTAAGATTTTGCACACCCCCCCCAACCAACTTTTGCCCCCTTGGGGTTGCTGTTGCTCCCACTGGCTAAAGGAGGCAGGATAGCCAACCCTGGCTCCTACCACAGCCTGTGGTCTGTGCTTCTGAGGGGTGCCAGGTCTTCTGGGTGCTCACAGACAGAGCTTCCTATCCCTCCACCTTCAGTTTTGTGCAGTCACTGTTCATGCTGGGGACCGTGGTGCTGTATTTCTGCCACCACAAGGAGTACGTGGCCTCCATGGTGTTCTCCCTGGCCATGGGCTGGACCAACATGCTCTACTATACCCGCGGCTTCCAGCAGATGGGCATCTATGCTGTTATGATTGAGAAGGTGGGTGCCAGTGTCCAAGCAGTTTCTCCACAGAGCCCGTCTATACCATGGGTGTGTGGGACATGGTCTACAAACTGTCCATCCTCTGTAATGTCTGGGGAGGTGTTGGTTTAGTTCAGGACCCACTTTCCCAGCTAATTCCTCAAGAATCAGGCTATCTGGCCCTGACCCAGGTTTGGGGGCTCCCCTGAAACTTGACCCCTTTACACACCAGGCCCCCCTCTCCCACCAGATCAAAGGCCAAGGAGGGGGGAGTTGTGGGTGACGTCCCTATGACCCCAGAACTGAAAACCACCAAACCAAACCCTCCTGCATGTTCTCCAGTTCTACTTGGGCTCAAGATTAACCCCCAGGCTGACATAGTCCCGACCCTTCCCTTGGCCTTGTCTGGGACTGGACTCGGTTCTGACAAGCCTGCTCTCTCCTGCAGATGATCCTGAGAGACCTGTGTCGCTTCATGTTTGTCTACCTTGTTTTCTTGTTCGGGTTTTCCACAGGTAATGGGCTTGCTCAGGGCTGGTGGTGGGCAGAGATCCTGCTCACCTCAGCTTCCTGAGGACTCTGCAGGGGCTGGGTGGGGAGAGGCCGGCTGGGGTGTGTATCTGCAGGTGACGGAGCTGGAAAATAAAGAACACAGAGAAATGAGCAGGAGAACCTGGAAATGTAATTCATAAAGCATTGTAAGCAATTTTAGAGGTATGAAGTGCTGCTTGCCTAAAGTATAGCTGCATTTTTGCTTATTTTTTTTTAACTTTTTATTTTTAATTAATTAATTGAGAGAGAGGGAGAGGGGCAGAGGGAGAGGGGGAGAGAGACTCTTAAGCAGGCTCCATGCCTAGCGCAGAGCCTGACTCACAACCCTGAGATCATGACTTGAGCTATAATCAGGAATTGACACTTAACTGAGCCACCCAGGTGCCCCTTTTTAAATTTTAATTTTGACATTATTTCAGACTTTCAGAAAACTTGTAAATAATGCAAATAACTTCTTTACTTATTATCCTGATTCCCCAAATTTTACCACATTTTAAAATCACATTCTGTCCCTGATACACACACACACACATGCGCACATGCACACCACCACCACCACCATACTTAAAAAGAAAAAAAGTAAGCTGCAGACATGATCAGCCCTTTACCACTGGATAAAGCCTGCATTTCCTAAAAACAAGAATATTTTCTTACATAAACAATGTATAATGATCAAAATAAGGAAATAAACATCAATACAGTACTATTAGCTAATCTACCAAACTTATTCAGATTTCACCAATTGTCCTAATAATGTCCTTTAGAGAAATGAAAATCCCAGATCAGGAATTACATTCACTTGTCATGTCTCTTTGGTTTCTTTAATCTGGAGTGGTTCCTCAGTTTTTCCTTGTCTTTTGTGACCTTAACATTTTTAATGAGTAAAGGCTAGTTTTTACAATGTCTCTCAATTTGAGTTTGTCTGATGTTTCCTCACAGTTAGATTCAGGTATGCATTTTTTTATCGGAATGTCAAGGAAGTAATGTGTGTCTTCCTCAGTGCATTGTATCAGGAGTCCCACAATGTTTGTTTAGTCCATTTCTGGTGATGTTAGCTTTAATTACTTGGTTTTGACGGGTCTGCTAGATTACTGTCAAGTAATTACCCTTCCCTTTGGAATCAATAAGTAATTTGTGAGGTGATGCTTTGAGACTAGGTAGATATCCTATTTCTCATCAAACTTTCAACTGGTAGTTTTAACATCCACTGATGATTCTCACTTGAATCACTTAATCCTAATAGTTGCCAGACGACAATTTTCTAACTCCGTCATCCCTTCGACATTTATTAGCTGGCATTCTATTGTAGGGAGGAGCTTTCCAGTCTCCTACATTCACTTATTATTTACATCAGCATGGCCTCACAGATTCTTTTCTGGTTTTGTTTCTTTTTCGTGGATTCTCACTTTGTTAAATGGGTTATAATCTTTCCTGTTACCACCTATCTTGATGCTGAGATTGTCTGAGTAATCGTATTCACTTGGGGCCTCTCCAAGCTGGTTCCTGTGCCCTCTGACACACACACAGCATTTCTGGACACCTGGTTCTGCTTTGATCCTCATCTGAGTCCTGCAGTTACGTGGTTCATACGCACACCCTCCCCTGTCCCCACCCCACGGCCTGTTTTGGAATCTCTGTCTCAGAGTTATGGACAGCTTTGACTAGGAGCTTTGACTGACAGGGATGGGTGTGGGCTCTGGCACCTGGCCTGTTGGTCCCCCCAGGAAGTGGGTTAATGGATACCGGATACACAGTAACCATGGGGCACAACTGTTAGAGAAGCTCTCAGGCTCCAGATTATATTTCCCAAAGAAAGGTGTAGCAAGCAGCAAGAGACTCTTCTGCTCTGAGCTGCTTAGTCCCTATCATTCTGGAATGAGCTGGCTCTGGGTCACCCTCTAAGGGGTACAGGCAGACAGGGGGTGATTGAGAAGCTGGGTATGGATTCAGAACTGATATGTAAAGTTAGGCACGTTGTGTGCTGCACAAAGGTGACTGTATTCACATTGTATATATAGATTTGCATATTTATTTTAACAGTTTTCTCCTAGCAGAGGATGATAAAGTTCTTATTGTAACAGAACAGTATACAGTTGGCCCTTGAACAACATGGGGATTAGGAACACCAATTCCCTGCACAGTCAAAAATCTGTAAATAACTTTTGACTCCCCCAAAACTTAATAATAGCCCACTGCTGATCAGAAGCCTTACCAATAACATAAACAGTTAATTAACACGTATTTTGTATATTATATATTATATACTGTATTCTTATAATAAAGTAAGTTAGAGAAAAGAAAATGTTATTAATAAAATCATACAGAAAATACATTTACAGTACTATACTGTGTTTATTGAAAAAATTCTGTGTATAAGTAGACTCATGCAGTTCAAACCCATGTTGTTCAAGGATCAACTATACTACAACAGTTTGCTGATAGTTCTGAAGAAGAGGGTTGTTTTTCTGTTTTTAAATTCACAAAAAAGTGTCCCATGGCCAAGCAGCATTCCTGCTGCAGACCCATCCTGAGATATGGGGTATGTCTGTTGTGGATCTGTCTTGGCTTCCATCCAGCTGCACCTGTCCCTCTCCATGCCCTGTAGCGGTGGTGACGCTGATTGAGGATGGGAAGAATAACTCTGTGCCGGCTGAGTCCACATCGCACAGGTGGCGAGGGCCTGGCTGCCGGCCACCCGACAGCTCCTACAACAGCCTGTACTCCACGTGTCTGGAGCTGTTCAAGTTCACCATTGGTATGGGCGACCTGGAGTTCACAGAGAACTATGACTTCAAGGCTGTCTTCATCATCTTGTTGCTGGCCTATGTGATTCTCACCTACATCCTTCTGCTCAACATGCTCATTGCCCTTATGGGTGAGACTGTCAACAAGATCGCACAGGAGAGCAAGAACATCTGGAAGCTACAGGTGGGTCAGTGGGTGGGGTGTGCACAGCAGGAGGCTGTCTGCAGCTCTGTTTGCTGCTTAACACAGCTAGGTGTGTGAGCTCCTGCAGGGTTTGAGGAAGGGCAGAGAGCCCAGGCAGCCCTGGGGGATCAAGCAGCAGCATCTCTCCCCCAGTCGACTCCCTTCTGGGCCCTTCTTCAGGGTTTCCCTCCCAAGCATCCCCAACTGGTGTTCACAGCATGTGCTTATTGTGGCTGGGCAGTCCCCAGGGTCAGGAGATGGAGGGCTCAGCCCCATGGGGTGCCCACTTCACAGGAGCTTGGTCTAGGGTGGGCACCAGACACCAGACTTGGGGGCAGCAGCTAGAATGGGGTGAGCCCTAACAGCTGCATTTTTGAGGCCCCTGGTCCACAGCTACCCTCCCACCTAATAATAAAAGTGTCATTCTTATTAAGTAGCAGTGACTCTATATACCATGTATTGTTCTAAGTGTTTTACATTCTCTCATTTAATTCTCACAACAATGCTATCAAGTGGCTACCATTACTGTTCCCATTTTTGGATAAAGGCACTGAGGCCTAGAGAAGTTAGGTATCTGTGTCCAAGGTAACTACAGATCTTCCACAACCTACAATGGGGTTACATTCCGATAAGCCACCATGATTTAAAAATGCGTTTAATACACCCATCCTACTGAACATCACAGCTTAGCCTGAACTACCTTAAATGTGCTTAGAACACTTAACATTAGCCTACAGTTAGGCAAAATCATCTAACACAAAGCCCATTTTATAATAAAGTGTTGGACGTCTTATGAAATTTGTTGAATACTATGATAAAAGTGAGAAACAGAATGGTTGTATGGGTACAGAGTGGTTGTATGGGTACAGGTTGTTGACCGTTGTGATCGCATGGCTGACTGGGAACGCCCAGCATCATGAGAGAGGATTGTACCATATTTTGCTAGCCTGGGAAAAGATCCACATTCAAAACTTGAAGTATGGTTTCTGCTGAATGCGTATTGCTTTCACGCCATCGTAAAGTTGAAAATCATTAAGTTGAACCATTGTAAGTTGGGGACTATCTGTGGTGAGTAGCACAGTCAGTGTTCAAGCCAAGTGGTCCCATCTTATGGCCCTGCTCTTAGCTACTACACTATCTGCCCCTTTGTGAGCACTTCAGGGAAGAGTCCGGGGCTGGACACTCCACATCACTCATGGGAGGCCCTGCCCCGACCTGACCTGGCAGGCACCAGCAGTGCCTGGGCACGTCTGGGCTGGATAGGCTGAGCTTGGACTGTGCACCTGCCAGGCTACAGAAACAAGCCTGATATGGAAGGCACTGGGGTTTAGCTAAGGGGCACAGAGGCTGGGAGAAGCTCTGGAGAGGCTGACCTTGGAAGCCCCACTGGCAGCCAAGGGAAGCCCTGGGATGAGCCCTCTGCCCCTCTGCTCTCTGTGTCTTCTCACAGAGAGCTATCACCATCCTGGACACGGAGAAGAGCTTCCTTAAGTGTATGAGGAAGGCCTTCCGCTCAGGCAAGCTGTTGCAAGTGGGGTACACACCTGATGGCAAGGATGACTACAGGTGGTGTTTCAGGTAATGCCCAGGCAAGAAATCAAACTTAGGGAGCTCAGGGGCTTACTTATAGATATCAGGGATCTACCCCGAGCCAGCTATGGGTACAGAGGCCATTCTGGGGCTTTGTGGGCATAGGGGACTCACCTAGAGCCAGCTGTGGATAGAGAAACCTGCCTCAGGGCTTCCTGGGACCAGTCATGAACATAGGGGACTCTCCCAAGGCCAGCTGTAAGTAGGCACAGGGACTACCCCAAGGCTCAGCTGTGGGCATCAGGGACTTACTGTAGGCATAGGAGACCTATTGGAAGGTGAGGTGTCCAAAAGGGGTCATCCAGTGATCAGGGTCAGAACCAGGAATCCAGCATTTAAAGTCTCTGGGCTTCATGATGTGGTCCGAGAACACAGCTTTGGGGGTGGTGTCCAAAAAGCAGGCCCCTCTCAGCCCTCCCCCTACCAGCTCTGTCTCCCGATCCTGGTCTATGGGCTTCTTGGGATTGGCCTGTGGCACTAAGCCCTCAACCTGGGAAGCTAGGCATGGCTTTTAGGCCCTCAGCTCCTAGCTCCCTTGTCTCCTTGCCCTGCAGGGTGGATGAGGTCAACTGGACCACCTGGAACACCAATGTAGGTATCATCAATGAAGACCCGGGCAACTGTGAGGGCATCAAGCGCACCCTGAGCTTCTCCCTGCGGTCAGGCAGAGGTGAGGTGTGAGGGACGGGTGCTGTGGCATGGAGGTGGCCTGATGTTGGGCAGGTGAAGCCTTGGGGGGTCCTTGCTCCTTGCAGGCCCTCTTCATCCCCCAGCCTGGATGCTGGGACAGCCCCAAGGGTCAGGCGCCTGCACACGCTCAGTCACAGGCACTCTGTGTACTCTCACACCTTCCTGCACAGCCGACTGTGACACATGCCCATGCTCACCAGCTCTGCCAGCACCCTGGCCCAGGCTCCTGTCCTCAGGTGCCCCAGCGGAAGCCCTTTGTCCCGTGTACAGCCATCTGGGACAGCTGGCCTTGTTGTGGGCTGCCCTGTCTTCTCCTCCCGTTGCTCATACCCAGTGTCACATTCCTCTCTGCGAGGCCTACGGGCACAAGCAGGTGCAGGCAAGAACTCCCCTTGCAGGAACACATCCAGGCAGGTGGAGGAAGCATGGGGAGAGTAAAGGGTAGATAGACCTTGAGCAGAGATGCTCTGCAGAAAATCACCACCAGAAAAAAGTCCTTTAACAGTTCATGGTAAACATTTAATAGTACGTGTTAAATTAAAGGTCTAATTGAGAACATTTACTTAAAAATGAAGCAAACCTAGTTTGTATTGAACAGATTTTGAGTTATAATTACGATTCTGCATGAATTCTTTGTTTTTAGCTTTTAGAAAATTGCGGTAAAATGTGTATAATACAAAAGTTGCCATTTTAATCATTTTTTAAGTGTACAATTCATTGGTGTTAATTGCATCCACAGTGTTGTGCAACCTTCACCACTATCTATTCCCAAAACATTTTCAGTATTTCAAACAGAAACTGTACCTATTGAACAATTACTCCTATTTCTCCCTCCCGCCAGCCCCTGGTAACCTCTCTTCTACCTTCTGTCTCTGTGATTTTGCCTAGCGTAGATACCTCGGTATAAGTGGAACTCACATTTTGTGTCTGGCTCAGTGATATTCCAGTGTAGGTATATACCATGTTTTATTTACTATTCACCTGTTCAATCAACGTCAGGATTGTGTCCAACTTTTTGGCTGTTGTGAATAATGCTACGAACATTGATCTACACAATTCTGCTTGACTCACTGCCTTCAGTTTTTTTTATTATTAATTAATTAATTAATTTATAGAGAGGCAGAAGCGGGGAAGGCCAGAGGGAGAGAGAGAATCTTAAGCAGGCTCCACACCCAGCATGGAGCCCGACAACAAGGGGCTCAATCTCATGACCCTGAGATCAAGACCTGAGCTGAAATCGAGAGTTGGATGCTTCAGTTCTTTTGGATAGAAATGAAACTGCTGGGTCATATGATCATTCTGTGTTTAACTTTTTAAGGAACTGCCAAACTGTTTTCTAAAGCGGCTGTATTTCTGTACATTCCCACCAGCAATACATGAGGGTTCCACATCCTCACCAACACTTGCTGTTTTCTGGGTTTTTGTGGTGGTGGTGGTTGTAGCCATCCTAATGGATGTGAGGTTGTATCTCATTGTGGTTTTGATTTGCATTTCCCTAATGACTAGATTTTGAATATCTTTTCATACGCTCATTTGTCATTATAGGTACTCTTTGGAGAAATGCCTATTAGAGCAATTGGCCCATTTAAAAATTTGTTTTGTTGTTGCTGAATTATAGAAGTTCTTTATACCTCTGGGTATGGATCCTTATCAGGTATATCATCTGCCAGTGTTTTCTTCTATTCTGTGAGTTGTCATTTGATATGAAAGTTTTTATTTTGATGAAGCTCAATTTATCTATTCTTTTCTTTTATTGCCTATTCTTGTGGTGTAATATGTAAGAAATTATCACCAAGTCCAATGTCTTGAAGATTTTCCCCTATGTTTTTTTGTAAGAGTTCTGTAGTTTTAGTTCCCTACCATTTTTACATTGATTTTTTTTTCTCCCTTGGATTTCTTTGTTTTTTAAATTTTATTATGTTATGTTAATTACCATTCATTACATCATTAGTTTTTGATGTAGTGTTCCATAATTCAATGTTTGTGTATAACACCGTGTGCTCCATGCAGAGCGTGCCCTCTTTAATACCCATCACCAGGCTACCCATCCTCCCACCCCCCTCCCCTCTAGAACCCTCAGTTTGTTTCTCAGAGTCCATAGTCTCTCATGGTTCATCTCCCCCTCTGATATCCCCCCCTTCATTTTTCCCTTCTTACTATGTTCTTTTTTTTTTTTTTAACATATAATGTATTATTTGTTTCAGAGGTACAGATCTGAGATTCAACAGTCTTGCACAATTCACAGCGCTTACCAGAGCACATACCCTCCCCAGTGTCTATCACCCAGTCACCCCATCCCTCCCACCCCAACCCCCACTCCAGCAACCCTCAGTTTGTTTCCTGAGATTAAGAATTCCTCATATCAGTGAGATCATATGATACATTTACATTGATTTTTAAAACTGATTCAGCATTTGCTTGTTTGCTATAAATCTTAGACTATTTCCCAGAGTCGTGACAACATTGGTTCCAAAGTTTCTGTTTTTTTTTTCTTTTTTTGATGTTTTTTGTGGAGGCCTTAGTTTTGGGAGGTGCCTACTTTGCCATTTTGCTGATGTTACTAATTCTTGAACAAAGAATGAATCAGATGTTGACAGTTTGGGGTTTCTTTGGTAGGGTGGGGGAAGGGGCACAATTTTCAGATCAACTTGCCTGATAGTGTGATACTGCATTTTTCATATTTGATATTGCTTCATAGAGAAACTCATTTTTAAAATATTTTATAAACTTAAAATCAACTTTATTGAGATATAATTTACATACAATAAAATGCACACATTTTCAATGTATAGTTTGGTAAGTTTTGGCAAATGTATACTCAGGCAACCACCACCCCACTCAAGATATAGAACATTTCCATCAGGCCAGGAAGTACCCTTTTTGTAATCAGTTCCACTCTCCCCATCCCAGGTCACCACTTGTCTAATTTCTGTCACGGTCAGTTAGTTTGCTATCAGCTTTTGTTTACTTGAAAATGTGAATTTCATTCTCATGTTTGAAGGATGTTTTCACTGAATAAAGAATTCTGGGTTAACAGATTTTTTTTCCCTCTTTTTAAAAAAAATTTCCATCACTAACTTTTTCTCCACTATCTTCTGGCCTCCATTGTTTTTGATGAAAAGTTACTCATTATTTGCATTCCTGCATGTAATTTGTCTTTTTCTTTTTGCTGCTTTCAAAATATTCTCTTCATCTTTGGTTTTCAGCAGTTTGAGTAAAATGCGCTTAGGTTTGATTTTTTGGGTTTATCCTGTTTAGGATTTGCCTGAGGTTCTTGGATCTGTACATCAGTGTTTCATCAAATTGGGAAACTATATATATTTTGCTCCATTGTCCCTAACTTCTTTTGGGGGGACTCCGAATACATGTATTTTATTTAATTTATTTTATTTAAGCTTTATTTATTTATTTGAGAGAGAGAGACAGAGAGGGAGAGAGAGCAGGGGACAAAGGGAGAGGGAGAGAGAATCTCAAGCAGACTCCCTGCTGAATGCAGAGCCTGACACAGGGCTTGATCCCAGGACCCCAAGATCATGACCTGAGCTCAAATCAAGAGCCAGATGCTCAACTGACTGAGCCACCCAGGTGCCCCTACATGTATTTTAGATCATTTGAAATTGTCCCACAGGTTCCTGAGGCTTTATTTTTCCTTGATTTTTTTTCTGTTTCTCAAATTTGATAATTTTATTGTTCTGTCTTCAAGTTCACTGATCCTATCCTCCAAATTACCATTTAGCTCATCCAGTGACTATTACATTTCAAGTATTATGCTATTTGGTTTTCGAATTTCTATTTGGTTATTTATTTATTTAATTTATTTACTTATTTACAGTTTTCCTTTCTTTCCTGAGATTTTCTAGCTGTTCTCTCACCAAGATCCTATTTTCCTGGGTTTTTTTGAACATATTAATAATAGTTGATTTAAATTCTCTGCCCACTAAATCCAACATCTGGGCCATCTTGGGGACAGTTTCTATGGACTCCTTTTTCTCCCCTCTTATTGTGAGTCACATTTCCCTGTTTCTTTGCATGTCTAGTAACTTTTAATTGTATACTGGGCATTGTGGATAATATGTTGTAGAGACCCTGGATTGAGTTTTTGTTTTAGTTGGCAGTTCAATTATTGATGAATCACCCTGAACTTGTGTAGGCTTAGTTTTAAACTTTATTATGGTAGATCTGTGAAATGCCAAGGGTATTTGCCAATTCCATCAAACATGTGGGACACAACCTCCAAACTGTTTCCACTGAGGATCTTGTCAGGGCTTGGTTTTAGGCTTTGTTAGGGTGGATCTTGCTTAAATCTTACTCTAGGACATGTAGAGTAAGTAGGGCATTTCTGGTATTTTAACTTGATCCTCAGAGTAGAAAAAAGGTGTTAAAGAGGTCTCTCCACTCAGTACTGCTCAGCTTCTAGTGTTTCTATCCCACTTTCAGCCCTATAGTGGCCACTGTCTGGTCAGCCTTATGCAGTCTCACATTGTACAAGTACTGTCCAGCCCCCAGCCCAGAGACTTCTAGACCTCCACCCCCACAGCTCTCTTCTTCCTCTTTTTCTGAGCCCTTTCTCACAGATTCTTGTGCTTCAGCTGCCCCAAACCCCGATCTCTTCTTCCTTAGTTCTGAGGTACTGCCATGCTCTGCTTGGACTCCAGTTCACTGCACCACAGTCAGAGAAACTGTCCCTATGCAAAGCATCAGGGCGATCATGGGGCTTACTTTGTGAATTTCACTTTTCTCAGCAATTGCAGTTTTTGGTCTGTGTCCTATGCCTGGAAACATTTACTGCAAGCATTTTGTCCTGTTTTATGGTTGTTTACGTAGCTAGCCCAGTACTACATACTCCATCAGGGCTGGAAGTAGATATCTATTTTATCAAGAGCCTTCTGCAATCCTGTAATTTTCCCACGAGTTTCATTAGAAGCACTTCCTGTGTCATGTCATAATACTTATTGATTATCTCTTCAATTGTTACTGGTCTAACTTTGCCACAGAGCCATTCAAAGATGATTTTGCCTGTAATTTGAGCAGTTTTCCAATATCAATCTTATTGACTTCGTGAAACCTCACATCTTTTAAAGATTTGCTGTTTTACTTTGCAATTGATTTGCATTGTGTTTGCATGACATTGTTGGCTGTTTATAACATTGCACATTTACTGTGATATTAATAAAGATATTGACCAAGTAGCAGGGATATACACATTTGTGTTACTTGGGTTGGGGTAGGAGATGGTTAGAGGTTCCCTGATTTCACATTTATAATTAATTAGTGAATACTTCCTGAGCATTTTGCTTTTTTGTACAACTTTGTAGCAGTGGACACTTCAGTAATGAATAGTCATACAATTCAGATTACCAGGAACTCTCCCACCCACAAAGTGTGTATGATTGGGAAGGGGTGAGGGAACGCATGACAGAAAGGCCAGGGAAGAAAGCAGTTAGTGGCTGAGCCAGGGAGGGCACTTGAGGGAGTCTTGGCGTCAGGACTGTGGGAAGTGGGCCCTGGGAGCCCCCTGCCTCCTTTCAGGGCCTTTGAGCTAGAGCTGGGCCAAGCAGTCTCTGAGGCTGGGTGTCCCCAACACTGAACCAGCCAGAAGATTGTGTCTCAATGAGACCTGGCCTATGTCTCCATGAAGTCCTGCTTCAATGCCTGGGTTTCCCAGGGGATCCTCCTTCAGCAGTTGATGCTTGATATAAGACTATGTTTGGGGACAGGCCAGCATCAGCCTGCAGGCCTGGGTAAACACCAAGACCTGGAGAATTTGGCTGGAGTGGTCATGATGGGCCCAGTCTCCCATATTCCTGATGCCTTTGACATGCGGTCAGTGTTAGACACCAGCAGAGGAGGCTGAGGGTAGGAGGTACAAATTGAGGCTGGTTTTCCGGAGATTAGGCCCAGGGTGGCCAACCAGAGGGCTTGGCTGACCAGGGCTCTGGCAGCCGTAGGAGAACATGAACAGCTTTCCCTCTTGGTTTTTGGTTTGCCTAGGTGGCTGGGAAGCTGGAGGTGGCTCTGGTGGTGACAACTGGATTCTCTTCAGGAGCGCCCCATTCCAGGCCTAATGTTACCATGGTTTCTTTGGCATTGTTCCCAATCCGCTATGCCCTGGTGGGGCCTGGTCCACAAATCCTGATTCTTTGGCTGCTGTTCATCACCCTACAGCGGACCCAACGTGGCACCACCACGGCACAGGCCCCAGCGTTGCTCTGTGGAGACCTGCAATCCTCCCATGTGGGTAGGGGGGAAAGGGAGACCAGGGAAGGGCAAGCAATAGACTCTCCTGAGGTCCCTGCAAGTCAGGGTGAGGTGCAGGAAGAGAATTTAGGACCTTCCAGAGTGGATGAGGCTCCTTAAACAGGCAAGGGAAGAGGAAGTGGCACCTATCCATGTGTCTCAGGAAGCACCAAATGTCTGGGTCTCCTTGAAGAGACCAACAAGTTGGTAAGGCCAAGAAATAAGTGTTTATTTCTGCTTGCTGCATCCAAGGCCGTAATGATGTTTTACCATTTAGTTTCAGGAAGAAACTGGAAGAACTTTGCCCTGGTTCCCCTTTTAAGAGATGCAAGTACAAGAGAAAGGCACTCTGCCCAGCCAGAGGAAGTTCATCTGAGGCACTTTGCAGGGTCCCTCAAGCCAGAAGATGCTGAGGTCTTCAAGGATCCTGTTGCTTTAGGGGAGAAGTGAGGGACCCCTCTAGGGTACTCTTAACACTGTTGGGCCTCAGAATATCCCACTGTGTAGGGAACAATAGGGCACTCTTAGCAGCCTCGCCTGGTCTGGGCCCGCCTAGGCACTTGCTTCGCCTGCTCTGGACAAGCTGCGGGAAGCATTGCTGGATGCACGGGAAGAGATAGTTGTCCAGCCCTCACTGTCCCCAAGTGAGTCTCCACCAAGAAAGGATTTTGCTCTCATATTTTTACTGACTTTGTTAAGTATCATGAATGATGAATCTTTGTGTGGACATATGTGATGCCCCTGTTTTATTTATTTATAATACTAGGAGTAAAAGTAAATGAGGCCCAGGAAAACACCTCTTAGAACAAAACAAAACATGTCCTTTGATGTAAAATGCTGAAGCCGTTCTCTGTATTGTGTTTAATACCTCCCCTGGACAGAGTGGTCTGGGGGTGATGTCCTTTAGTCGTCAGAGAAGGTGGGGGAGGCTGGCCCTATTTCCAGCTCTGCCAGAATCAGGTTTCGCCAGAGCAACTTCTCTTTCTGTGTGATACATCACAGTCCCAAACACCTTAGCTCTATTGCTGTTCAGATAAAAGTACAGAACCATGTCTCAAAAGCATGTGGCAAGAGTTTTTAATGATCTTCCATTTATAGTGACCATAGTCTTGCCCCCCTGCAGTGGTACATACCTGTGCCTCCATCCATCCTGTCACTCATCAAATAAATAAGTAAGTAAATAAATAAATAAATAAATATCCTGCCAAGTGTGAACTTTGTGCCAGTCACTGGGCTAGCATAGCTAGTTGGCTCTGTGGTGTGTATGTGTGTGTGTGATATTACCAAGGCTGGGACTTACTATCGAGGTTAAGAAGGTTACACAGCCAGTAAACACCATTGCTTGGGTCTGCCCCCAGGCAGTCTGACTCCAAAGCCTGGAACTTAACTGTGGTGCCAGGCTATCTGGCAGAGAATGGGCTGGGGCATGCCAGTCCATGCCTGGGGAGCGGAGACATGAGGGCTTTGGGCTTCCTGCTGTGGGTCTGGGACCCCTTCGCTTTTCCCCTAGGCCTTCCTTAGAAGGTGTCATGTAGATGTCAGATATTTGCAAGTTTCTGCAAATTAGATCAACTTTCAAACTTACTCAGAGCTGCATCAGGGAAATCCAAATCAAAACCTCAATGAGATACCGCCTCACACCAGCCAGAATGGCTAAAATGAACAAGTCAGGAAACGACAGATGTTGGCGGGGATGCGGAGAAAGGGGAACCCTCCTACACTGTTGGTGGGAATGCAAGCTGGTGCAGCCACTCTGTATGGAGGTTCCTCAAAAAGTTGAAAATAGAGCTACCATATGATCCAGCAATTGCACTACTGGGTATTTACCCCAAAGATACAAAAGTAGGGATCCGAAGGGCTACATGCACCCCAATGTTTATAGCAGCAATGTCCACAATGTTTATTGCAGCAATGTCCACAAAAAAAAAAAAAAAAGAAAAGAAAAAAAAAGAGAGAACTGACCAGACCTGATTGAGGAATCAAGACCCTGGCAAATGGATTCTCATAGACTTGGGCTTTTTACCCTTCTAGTGCCATCAGCCTTCTGGCAGTTTGGTGAGGCCTGCGAATCCGTTCCTAAAATACTGTTGATTTTTTTAAAATTTTTTTATTGTTATGTTAATCACCATACATTACATCATTCGTTTTAGATGAAGTGTTCCATGATTCATTGTTCGTGCATAACACCCAGTGCTCCATGCAGAACGTGCCCTCTTTAATACCCACCACCAGGCTAACCCATCCTCCCACCCCCCTCCCCTCTAGAACCCTCAGTTTGTTTTTCAGAGTCTGTCGTCTCTCATGGTCCTAAAATACTGTTTTTAAATGCCTAAACCAGAATACGTAGGATCACAATTATATTGAAATATAATTATCAAAGTATTTTTTAAAACCCTAAAAATAGGCAATGTGATGACATGTGTGCTTCTTTTGTAATACTTTTAAAATAAAAAAAAATGGTGGCTCTAAAAAACAAAACAAAACAGAAAAAAAAACTTACTCAGAGCTGGAAGGAATCTTGTGGGCGTTCTTTTCTAAAATGAATGATCGTAACCTTTTGTGTAAACCTGTGTTGTTTAAAGGACACACATGCAATTAGCTTGTTCTTTGCCCTTTTGTATCTGTCACTGTCTCTTTATCTGTCTCTGTCCCCATGTCCCTCCCTCCCAACACCTGGAGGCAGGATGAGCCACAAGCCAGAATCCCCGATGGGCAGGCTGCTCAGCTCTCCTAGCCCAAGGAGAACTGTGGCCTGTCAGGATGCAGACAAAGCCTCTCCTCACCACTGTCGGGGCGGGGGGTTCTGCTCAGGCCTGAGGGTGTTGATGGAGCTCTGCCTGGCTCCCAGTCCTCCCTCCTTGTTCACTGCACTAAGTGGAGCATTTCCTAGGGTGCACTCACCCTACAGAGACCACTTGCCTTCCTCCTTCTTGAGGGGAGAGCTTGTGCACCTGCCACCAGGGTCTGATGTCTGCAGTGCTTGGGAGGTGTGGGGAGGAGGTAAGAGTGTGCTTGACTCCTGCCTGGTATGTCCATTGGGGGGCGTTTTACACTGACCCCAGTCTGGTGAGATGGGCGTCCATGTAGGGTATGTTGGCAGATGGCCAGGGCCTGCCTAAAATTCGGGCCTCTGGGAGGCAGGGTTGGGGCAGGAATGTCCAGAAGCCGCCCTTTACCTCTCACTGCCACATCCCTCCCGGGCCCCAGGCTGCATCTGCCCTTGGTGTTTTGCTTCACACACACAGCCCATTTGGAAGGTTCCTTCTGTCACTTTTGTCTTTATTTAGGCTCTGTTTGTTCCGTGCACTGTCACAGAAGGAGCGGAAGTCACTGAGCAAGGGGGGGGCTGCCCAGCGTGGCTCACGGCTGTTCCAAGGAGCGAGGGGCTGGGCCGTGGAGGGCGGCTTGTCAGTGCTCCTGGGTGCCCAGGCACTGGCGCAACTGGATTGAGCACTGAGAGTCGCCCATGTGGCGGCCAAGGCTGAGTGGGCAAATGCTGGCTCCTACAAGGCTCCAGGCTGGGCAGAAGGCCAGACTCCTGGCTCCACACTCCTGCCACCGTGCCGTGTGGGCCCCAAACACAGGGCGGGAATCAAGCTCATGGGCAACCCCAGGTGAGCGCAGCCAGGGTTTCTGCTGGGGAAGTGTTGCCTTTGGTTTGAGAAGCTGACTCAGGTGAGCCAGGCCGGTTCCCTGCCTGGCCGCATTGGCGAGAGCGTCTTCAACAGGGCCCCGTACCCCAGAAGGCTGGACCAGTGCGGCCTCCTGCGATTAAAGGGTCAGGGCTGACTCGCCGGCTTGTGGCCCGATGTGCGGCTCCTGTCTGATCCCCCCACCACGGTTGCACGTCACTCAGCCAAGCTCGTCATCACTCCTCGAATGTGCCTGGATCTCTTGCCTCCCAGTCCCGGTGTGCACTGTCCTCCCTCATTCCCAGTCCAACCCAAATGCTCTCCCTTCCCTGAGCCCATCCCCCACTTCCCCATGGGATCTCCTTCCTCCTCAGTGACTTGAGCCCTTTTTGTCCTTACAACCTGCTTGGTGGGGTTATGGTTCCTGCCTGAGCCTGTCTCCTGTGTGGCCCACAGTGTCTCGAGGGTGGAGACCACCTTCTCCAGTTCTGAACCCTATGCTGGCCCTTGCCTCCCTGCCTTGTCTCCTACTGCGGGCTCTCACAATGAGTTGGATTAAATGGGATTGAACGTAGACCAGCTCAAGGGGCAGGAGCTTCTGTTTCCTTGTATTTGGGGTGGGGGCCGGGCGGCGGGGGGTAGTGGGTCTGACTCAGTCTGCGACCTGGTCCCTGCTCCCACACACAGCAGAGAAGCCTCCCCTTACAGCTGGCTGGGCGCAGTGCGTGTCTTCGGGTGGGGACAGGGGACTTGTAGAGCAGTTCCAGCCTGGCCTTTGAGAAAAAGTGCCAACACCAGGCAAAATGTAAACACTGAAATTGGACAACAGCCTCATCCCTAGGGCTCCGAGGCAGCGAGAAGCAAGCTAAGAGGGACAAGGGGCTGAGTCAGAAGGAGAAATTAATTACTAGAGGGAAGATTATGGTCGATCCAAGTTCAGGCTTTCGTGAAGGAGTTTCAGGCAATGTTTGTGGGAACTTCAGGACCCCCTGATGTAAAACTGCAAAAGCAGCCCCCACTTTACCCACATTAAAGCCTGTTGGTCCCGAAGCCAGGTTTCCTGTCCCTTACTGGCCATAGGTCCTGCTGCTCTATGGTCAAAAGCCCGAGCCTGCCGCCTGCCTCTGCCCAGGCCTGGCAGGTTGTGGTGATGGGGGATGGAGGGACTTGCCTCAGAGGGCAGCTGGGAAATCCCTCCCTGTCAGTGTCAGCAAGACTTCCGGCTCCCTCCCAGGCCTGTCTGCCAGCCGGGACAGCTGGGCGATTCCCGAGTGGCAGCCTTGCTCCGCCCCCTCCACAGCTGCGGCCTGCGTGTGGCAGGAGGGCACAGAGTCTTCCCCAACGTGGGCCTGGAGGCAGGTGGCCCAGGTGGTTGCTGGGGGATGGATTGGGATGACAAAACCAGTGAGAATTAATAGCTGTCACTGTTTATTGTGTTCATTCTGGACTCTGGGCTTTGTTCAAGTCCTTTCTATGTGTTTTCTCAAGTAATTCTGCAGGGTGGACTTATTTATTTATTTTTTAAAGTTTATTTATTTATTTTTTTAAGATTTTTATTTATTTGTCAGAGAGAGAGAGCACAAGCAGGGGAAGCAGCAGGCAGAGGGAGGAGCAGGTTCCCCGCGGAGCAGGGAGCCTGATGTGAGGCTCGTTCCCGGACCCTGGCATCATGACCTGAGCCAAAGGCAGATGTTCGACCAACTGAGCCACCCAGGCGCCCCTGCAAGGTGGATTTACTATGCACATTTCACAGACAGGAAATGGGAGAAATGACTTGCTCAAGGTCATATAGCCAGAAAGGGGTGAGGCTGTCTGACACCAAGGTCTGAAGTGCGTAATTTCTGGTGGTAAGCTTTGAATGGGGACTTCTTTTGTCTCTAACAGAATCTGATCGCAGACTTTGAAGGACAGATACCAAGTCTTGGGCCTGGCCACCCTGGGATCAACCAGGCCAGTGCTCAGCTGTGGCCTGTCCTCCCGGGGCTCAGGGCAGAGCACCTGACCATTCATTAAGCTCTCCCACCAGCATGATCTCTTTGACTCTTCACAGCACGCTTGTGAAGTAGCTATTGTAATTCCCATTTCCCAGTTGGGGAAACTGAGGCCCGTGATGGGAAGCATCAAATACAAGAGAGAGAAGATGTGGGACCAGAACTCTGGCCTTGGCACCTGCCGCCTCCCCTGTCCTGTCCCAGGCTGCGCTGCTGTGTGGGTGTGGGGGTGACTCAGGCAGGGCATGTGGGTGGGCAGGCGCTGCAGCTATGGCTGGTGGGTGTGGCCTGCCTGACGCCCAGGGCAGGTGGCCCAGCCAGTTCTGCCTCTGACACCTCATTTCAGCCTTCTCTCTGCCTATGATGAGAGCCTCCCGCCGCCTCAGCCACAGTCCCTCCGGGGGTCCTTGGGCCCAGGACATGCGGTGATCTCCGAGCACGGGCAGCCACCACCACCCAGAGCTCACCAGGTGAGTCCTCACCACACATGGCGGCCAGTGCTGTCCAAGGTCCGAGGGGACGCCAGAGCGAGGACCTAAGGGGTCCTTTAGGCCACACTGCCCTTTGCTGATAGGCCTTGGGGGAGGGGTTGGGAAGAAGCTCGGGTCTCCAGCAGGAGAAGCAAAGTGAGGCCTGAGCTCTTGGCCCAGGGAGTGTGTCAGAACACAGGTTCTGATGGAGCCAGGAAACTTTCCTGAGGTTTGGAGATCTTGGGGAGGGGGAAGGGCTCACAGCCACCAAGGGGCAAAGGTGAGGCTCTTGTCTCCGCCAGCAGGCCCCCAGCTGTGGTTCTGCAGCGCAGACGTGTAAGGGGGGCGCTCCAGATGAGATGGATGAGATGACGTAGCCCAGAGCTTGAGAGTGACAAGGCGCAGGCTCCTCACAGGGGCTGAGCCAGCGGCGGCAGGGGCTCCCTGCGGCCCCCAGGCCTGGCCTGTCTTCCAGTCAGTGTCAGGGCTTGGGAGGCACTTCCCAGGCGGGGAAGCCCAGACCCAGAGAGGGAGGGCAAGGCAGCGAGAGAGTCCTGCAGGTGAGAATTCAGCGTTTATGGGGTGACTCAGGGAGCCAATTATCACTGCTAATTATAGCTCCAGCCCAGAGTTTTCTTGACCTCTCCTGCCCCAGCTTCCCAGGACTGCCCCAACTCATGGGCCCAGGGCAGGGAGGATGGAGCAGCTGGCTGTCATGGGTGAGAGCTCGAAGGTCCTTGGGGTCCTTTCAGCTCATTTATCAGAAGGGAAAACAGAGGCCCAGGTAGGGGTAAGAGACATGCCCTCCATCCCTCTCCTTTACTCTTGGTTTAGCTCAGCCTTTTAGCCCTATCTGTCCGTAGACTACTTTGGGCTGAGGAAGGTGGTAAAAGCCACCCATCCTCATCCTGTGACTGTGGATATAGTCAGGGACCTACATGCTCATGATTCTCTCTCCTCTCTCTGGCCTCAAGGCCCCTCCTCAAAGGTCCCTGCCTCAAGGTCCCTGCACTCCAAGGCCAAAGCCCTCCCCTGGATAACTCCTCCTCTCCCAGGGCTGCTTACTTTTGGGGAGGGCAGCTGTCCCGTTTCCAGACCTCACTGTAGTCTGAAGACAAACTGCTCCCGATACTTTTTCCAGGCAGCTTTCCTATTTGGGCCAGGATTACCAGCGGCCCTAGCTCCACCCTGCATAGCTGGGCTCTTCGTACAGAAATCTGTCCCCTGCCCTACCTCCATGACCCTGAGGGAGTTCTCTGAGGGCTGCTCAAGCTGAGAATGGCCCCTGTTGATTGCAGAGTCACCTCCTGTCCACGCAGCCTTTTTGCCCTGTCCATCTCATCCTATATGGCCAGCCCCGCCTTCCCCATGCCAATGCCCCCACAGCACCCTTCTCCTAGCTCCATGGTCTAGTCTCCTTCACCCCCCCATACAGTCTGCTATCTCTAACATGGCCATCTCCTGTGTAACCCAGGGCCCTCCCAGGCCCCGCTGCCCTTGGGACCAGCTACAACTCCTCACCGGTATTCCAGGCCCTCACAACAGAGCCCTACCTGCTTTTGGAGGCTCTCACTGCCAGTGGTCCCCATGAACTCCGCAGACTCTGCAGCCACACCAGCTCCTTGCCACTTGCTAACTTTCTTGACCCCTGGTCTTTGCTCAGGCTGTCCCCTCTGCCTGGATTGTCCTTCATCTACATAGAAACCTCTAAGTTCCCCTTAGAGGGATCCAGCCTGTACTGAGTATCAGTAAACCAGGTCAGGACTGAGAGGCTGTCTCCTCTGCCTCTGGAGAGGGGGCTCAGCTGCTTGCTTCAGGTGAGAAGGGAGTCTAATGGACAGATGGCCACAAGGCTGGTTGCACTCAGTTCTGGGTGAATGAGACAAAGATAATCAGTGTCTAAGCTTCAGAGACCACCAGGGTGGTAAGAAATCCAAAGCACCAAAGAGGCCAGAGGTTGTATTATTAGGAGCATAGTGTCTAGAACAAAGGAGGTGATAGTCCTGTTCTGTTGAGGATATCACTGAACACAAAATCTGATAGGGACATGGAAAAAGCAGAACTAATTCTTGGGAGTCCACCTGAAGATTGGTGGGTTGAGATGATGTCTTGAGAGAAGCTAAGGGCATGGTGGTCTCTGCCTGGAAGCTCTGTTGGGCTCTCCTAAGATGCACAGGGGCAGAGGTGCTGGAGCAGGGAGCAGGAGAAATTGCGGGGACAGTCTCTCTCTTCCTGGGAAGAGTTGGCGGCCAGGGAAGGTAGAGAGTGAGCTCCTCATCCCGGGGGTATGAGCAGAGACCACCTGGTGCGACATGGGCATCTGAAGCCCCCTGAAGCTCCTCCATGCCCACTCAACCTAAGCATCTGTGCTATGATTGTGCTCCAGCCATGAATGCCCACCCCAAGGAGATGGTGCCCCTCATGGGCAGAAGAGCTGCCGTCCCCAGTGGGAACCCTGCCATCCTGCAGGAGAAGAGGTCAGCAGAGATCACCCCCACCAAGAAGAGGTAGGACGGGCAGGCTTGGGCACTGTGCTGTGAGGGCACATCAGGGATTTTGGCGCCCATCCTCAGGGAGCCCTTGCCCGGGTGGACACAAGACTCTCAGTCTCATCCGGGGTGACCTGGTGCCCAACTAGGTATAAGCGGGGGGAGGGTGGGGAGATAGCACTACATACTCAGGGGGCTGAGCTGGGAAAGTCAGTACAATGGGAATAATCAGGGAGGCCTCCTTGGAGGGGTCGGAGGCACTGAGGCAGTGATATTCAGGAAGGCTTCTGGCTGAAGCAAGGGATTGCTGGAGCCATCCTTTAGACAGAGCCAAAAGGTACGTGGAAATTTCAGGTAGCCTGGATCTCCAAGTGACTACTTTTTTCACGTGCACCAATGGCTTTCCTGTCCACTGTGCGCCCAGCCAGGCTATTCAAGTTCTTTAACACCACCTGTGTAATTGGGACCCAGCAAAGGCACTGGCTCACAGGGTGATCGTTTGTTGGGATCGTCGGCACAACGCGCTGGGCGATGCGCTGCTGGCATCCTGTACATGCTAGTGTGGATAGTGGTTTTGCTACTTGGAGCTTCATCTTCATCATCGTCATTGTTACTGTCCCTCCAAAGGGCCCCTGGGAACCGAGCAGGGCTGGGATGGTTATGACTACTTCCCAGCTGGGGGTGTGGAGGAAGCAAAGCAGGGAGAGTATTTCTCTAGGGTCATTCCTGGCCCCTGAGCTGCTTCCGTGGCAGTCCCCCAGCCCCCCAGCAGATTTGGTGCCCTTAAGCCCAAATGCCCCTCTTCACCACAGGTTGTGCTTCACTGGACCCAGGTGGGCCCCGGGTGTAGTTCAGCTCATTTGCCTCGCCTCCTCTGGCCCCATCCCAGGCCCCGGCTTGGGCCAGAGGTGAGATCAGTGTTTTCCCTTCTGTCTGTTGTTGTGAGTAATAATTGCTGAGGTTTTCTGTGCACCGGGGCCCAGGCCGGGGAGACGGAGACACAGAGAGAAAGAATGCCCATCCCTGCTCACAGTCTGGTAAGAAGGGCACCCAGAAGAATGTGAGAAGTGTCCCAGTAACAAGGTGGGGAGGGGTCTGAGAAGGGGTGGGTCATTCTGACCCTGCAGGCTCTGCAGGCTGTCTCAGGGCACTTCCTGGATGAGGTGGTTTCGAATGGGTGATGGCAAGTGGAGAGGCAGGGAAAGGGCATCCCCAGACAGAGGCTTGGGGCAGGGACCAGGGAGGATCTGTGTAACTGAAGGGCTGGGTGGGGGGAGGAATCTTGGAGAATACGAATCCCACTGGGGCTGGGTCTTGGGGGTTGGTTAAGGAGTTTGGACAAACCTGAGGGCAGTGGGGAGCCAGAGAGGGATTTTGTGTGACAAGGAGGGCATGGTGAGATTTGCATTTTGGAAAGCATACTCTGGGTGATCTATGTGGACGATGGATTGGAGGGGAGGCTGGGAGCAGGGAGATGACAGGAGGCTCTTGGGAAGCTTGAGTGACAGGTGGTGAGGTCTGAACCTGGGTGATCAGGAATGGAGAAGAAGGGGTCAGGTCAGAAATTTATTGGGATCATGGGGTCTGTAGGATCAACTATGAGAAGGGAGGGAGAAGGAGAACCGAGAGACATCCCCTTCATTTGGTGGGAGGACCTGAATGGATGATGGGGCCATCTCTGACGTGAGCACATCAGAGGAGGAGGAGCAAGATGAGGAGAGACAAGCCAAGTTCAGGTGTGAATGTTGTCTGAGAAGTGCCCGATGGAGCACCCTCTTGCCTCTCTTTCCCTTCCCCTGCCCTCTCACATTCCTAGGGGAGGTTTGGACCTCAGGGAAGGATTGTGGACATGGCTTCAGGAAAATCCCAGGATCTTCCCACAGTCAAGCTGCCTTTTCTGAGCCTATCCCTGTTCATGAACTTAGCCTTAGACTCAGCTCTACCTATGGCCTCACACAGCCAAAGGCCTGGGTGTGAGGTGTCACCTTTGTCTCACGAAGCAGGAGCACCTTCTTCCCAATGGCTCTTTGAGGGCCCTCAAGTGCCTACTTTTCCCTGAAGATTTTGGCATCTCCCTCAAAACTGAATATAGGACTCAGCCTAGATAGAAAAAGAAAAGAAAAGAAAAAATTCAATGTAAATAAAGAAAGCCAGTCTGACCAGTAAGGAAATCTGTACTAATAGTGGGATTGAAGGTACTAAGAAGTCTAGGTGAGAAGAGATTTTTGGACCTGTAGCTTTTCCTGAACGATCATGCTATTTCTTTCTTTTTTTTTTTTCTTTTTAAAGATTTTTTATTTATTTGACAGACAGAGACACAGCGAGAGAGGGAACACAAGCAGGGGGAGTGGGGGAGGGAGAAGCAGGCTTCCTGTGGAGCAGGGAGCCCGATGCGGGGCTCGATCCCAGGACCCTGGGATTATGACCTGAGCTGAAGGCAGGCGCTTAATGACTGAGCCACCCAGGCGCCCCCATCATGCTATTTCTCATGAGCAGCTACCACTGTGGCCTCTTTTTTTTTTTTTTTTAAAGATTTTATTTATTTGACAGAGAGAGAGACAGCGAGAGCAGGAACACAAGCAGGGGGAGTGGGAGAGGGAGAAGCAGGCTGCCTGTGGAGCAGGGAGCCGGATGTGGGACTCGATCCCAGGACCCTGGGATCATGACCTGAGCTAAAGGTAGACGCTTAACGACTGAGCCACCCAGGCGCCCTCACTGTGGCCTCTTTACTGGACCCTGGGCAAGGCGATGCCCTGGGGTGGAGACATGGGCTGATGAAACCTGTGGAGGGGCTGGCTTTTTGGAGATCAGAGCACTTGGGCATTTCTTGGGACAAAGTAGTTGGTCACACAGCCTCCTTCCCAGCCCTGGGGTTGCTCAGGGATTGTTCATCGTCTTCAAAGGGACAGAAATGAAGGAGAGATGGTGCAGAGCTACATGTTCCCCTGAGTTAATGACACCCATGAGGTGCCTTTGGTCTGGATCAAAGGTAGGAGTAAACAAACAGTATATGCTGCAGGTTAGAAGCCAGGATGTCACATGGCCAAGACATCACCATCTGTCATGGTGGCAGGTAAGATGTAGCATGTGCAGTGGCAAATAGGGCATGTGTGGGATGGACTGTCATGGTCTACAGCTCCCTGTCCCAGGAATCCTTGCTCACAGTCAGGGATCTTTCCAGTCTGGCTTTCACCACTCTCCTTCCCAGCCACTGAAGACTTTCTTCCTCCGACATAGTCCTTGCCTTCTGCCATAGAAGCTTTTCTCATGCTGCCCTCTCTGCTTCTGGGGATTTTCCCGAGCCACAGAACTCTGAGGACAGGGTCCCGAAGGGTCATCTCTTCCTTCCCTGCTTCCAACATTTTCTACACAGAGCATATTTGTGGTTTTTGAGTTAGTAGGTGGGTCAGTGCAGGAGCAGGTGAGACAATGAGAGACAGAGTGAGCGAGTTGATGAGTAAGTGTCCTGGTGGCTCAGCACAGTCCCTCCACACAAAGAAGGACACTTCATGGTGAGATGAGGATATATTTCCTCCACTCCCTCGGGCCCTTTGGCTCCCAGGCCTGGAATAGATAGATGCTGTTGTGATCTGGTTTCCTAGTCCATTCTTGAGGCCCGTTTGGCCTCTGGGAGGAAGCCCTGAGAAGGAGAGGAGTTGGAAGAGACGCAAAGGACCCTTCCTCAACTTCTGGGGCAAGACTGAGAAAAAGATGAGAGCTTTGGGCAACAGAGAGCCCAGTGGGAGTCACCTGAGGTTTGTGTTGGTCTGTCTGCTTATTGGTTCATTCCACCAGCCTCTACATCTATCCACCAATCTGCCCATCCAACTACTCATTGCTCAGCCATCCATGCATCCATTCATCCATCCTTCCATGTATCCATGCATCCATCCTTCCATGTATCCATGCATCCATCTATCCATCTTATTCATCCATCCAACTCATCTGTCCATCTATCTGACCAGCTATTCTTCCTTTCTTACACACATTACCTATCCATGTTCTGCTCCTCTGTTAAATCTTCTGAGTATCAGAAGAAGCATTGGGTTCTGGAGAATTAAGGACAATTCAGGTGTGGTTCCTCCCATTGAGGATCTTACAGTTGAAGGTCAGTGTGTGTCTGGAGCAGGGAAAGCAATGGCCTCATTGGGTCCAATTCTGACCAATTCACTGGGACAATAGCTCTTCAAATGGATTTTTGCCCATTTGTGCACCATTTAATCCCCATCTCCTAGAACAGCGCCTGGCATACGGTAGGTGCTCAATAAGTCTTTGTTGAGTAGATGCACACTATCAAGGAGCCTAGACAAGTAGGGACACTTTAGGGTGGCATTTCTGGGGCACTCCAAGGATGCTGAGAGTAGTCATCAGACTGGATGACCTCTGATGCCCACTTCAGCTGCACAGTCCATTTGTGGATGATTTTAGAGCTGTCCTGGCTCCAGAGTCCAGGATCATCTGGTCCAAGCACTCTCCATCCTCAGGTCACCCAGGAGGCAGAGGCAGAGCCAGACTAGAACCCAGGTTTTGGGCTCCCAGTCAGGGGTGTACTTCTCTTTTGGAAGAAGGATTTGATTTTAGGTCAGGTCAGAAGGTTCCTCTTGATGGGCAGAAGATAGGAGGGTGAGGGCAATGTGCCAGCCAGCCCTGTCACCCACCCCACTTATGCCCCAGTTCTGGATTTGTTCTGAGGCTTCCAGGCTTGTCTGTGCCTGCAGGAGAGGAGAGGGAGAGGACAGGCAGGGCCCAGGATTCCCTCATGCCTGCCCATCCCGGGACGTGGCTATGTTGGGCAGTCTGCACCTGCAGCTAATCCCTAGAGCTGGTTTGGCTGGAAGAAGACCCAGAGGGTTGAGGGGACAGCAGCGTGGATAGTGGTGTAAACTGGGAGCCTGGAATCAAGAGTCAAGTTCTCTGTCCAACTTGGCTTCTATCCTTGGGGGGTGACCACGGATGAGTGTTGCTCCATCCTGGCCTTGGTTCCCTCATTATGGAATGGGGCCACAATCCCTCCCCTGCTACCCTTCTGAACTTGATGTGGCTGGGACTGTGCTTTGGGAGCTCTTCTGTGGTTTTGTGAGAAAGGGAGGGGGCATGTCGATCCTTCTGGGCATGGGAAGGAGACAGGCAGCAAAGGTACTTATGAGAGAGACCAGCTGGTCAGGAGGCCACTATCCCCGGCCAGGTCACAGAGCAAGAAGGTATGCTGCAGCAGCATGGGGTGGGGGGTATCGCTGCAACCGACCCTCCTCCTGATGCTCATCATCCAGGCTGTCATGGGAAGGCTTGTCCCTGAGTGTGCGACCGTAGGTTCTGAGAGCATGCGTGTCTGTGTTTGTGGGTGCTTCTGAAGGTGAGGCCAGGGCTGTGTCTGGCTGGGGAGTCGTATCTTGGGTGTGTGTCTCATCTCCTGATCAGGCAGTGAGTCTGTCCCCTCCCCTGGGGCTTAGTCAGGTCACAGGCCCTGGGCCCATGTCTCTCTTCCAGCCCTGGGAGAAAGTGTGCCCTTCACTTGCCCCTCTACTGCTCCTCACACCCACTGTCCAAAGTGGTTTCCTGAGTTTTCCTTCTTGATGAGGATTCTTAGCCCTGTCCCCTGAACTTTTACATCCCCTCACTGCTCTAGGTCTGACTATTTTCTGTGCCGACACAACAGTACAAGAGATGATCGGAGGGAGTTGAATGTGTCCTGGCAACCAGGAAAGGCCCTTGTAGATGTCAGCATGTAGGGACTTCCTCCTGAAAGGGCTCTTCTTCAGACCCGAGGCCAGAGGGACAGTTGCAGGGGATGATGGGGAATTGTAGCTCTCGTTGTTGCCATGTCCCCCATCTCTGGTGAGTCTTCCGCACCTGGAGGCAGCTGCAGACAGGAAAGTCCCCCTCAGATGCTAGGCCACCCCAGCAGAGACCCCTGGGTTCATCTCTCAGTATTTTTAGTGACTAGAATCACCGAAACCCAGCTTTGAGTCCAGGCTCTGCCACCTACTTGCTGTGTGAGCTCAGGCGAGTAGCTTGACCTCAGAGCCTCCACCTGCCCACCTGCACGCGGCGATGGGGCAGTACCCATCCCAGAGGGCTGCTGTGGGGGCTGAGCGAGGCCATGAGGGATGGAGCCGGCCGAGAGCGAGTGTGCTGTGCGGCTGGGCAGCCTCAGCAGCAGGGTGCAGGGCACGCGGGTGGACGGTCCCAGCCCCAGCTCTAATGGCCTTGCTTGGGTGTCCCCACAGTGCACACTTCTTCCTGGAGATAGAAGGGTTCGATCCCAACCCCATTGTCTCCAAGACCTCTCCCCCCATCTTCTCCAAGCCTATGGACTCCAACATCCGGCAGTGGTGAGTACTGGCCCCCGTGCCAGCCCAGACCTCCGCTCCAGGGCGGGCAGCAACTCACCTGGGGCCAAATGGCCAGGCCTGGTTGTCTCTCTCTTTTAAACTTGTTTCTCTCTCTCTTCCTTTCCAGCCTCTCTGGCAACTGTGATGACATGGACTCACCACAGTCTCCTCAGGACGATGTGACAGAGACCCCGTCCAATCCCAACAGTCCCAGGTCAGCCTGGCCCTCCCCTTCCCCTCACTGCGTCTACCCGGTGGGTGACAGAGGCATGGGCATCACTACCCAGGAAAGAGAAAGAAGCCTCCGTTCCTGGGGGTTGGGACAAACGTCTGGACCTCTGGTTGTGGCATGTAGGAATTTTTTGGGGGGGGGAGGGGAGTATTACATTTTATAAACTATAAAAAGTATTACCCATTCATTATAAGCATTCAAAGAACAGTATGCAAGAGAAGGAGAACTGTAACACAATCCCATGTAAGTACATTAAAAATACATGCTTATAAACCATGAAGCATCATGTGCATTTTGCAAGAACACATACAAACAAAAAATTACGCATTACCATGCTTGTCTCTTTGGAGTGTGGGGGCAGGAAGAGATGGAGTTTAAAAATGCAAACATCCCAAAAGATTAAAGTGGGATTTCCCTTCCCCTAATCTCATACATTTTAAGGCAATCGCTATTAATTGTCCTTCCTAGTCAACTTTACTCTGTGTATCCAAATATGTATTTTGAAAAAACGTGATTGCATTTGGATTGGGAGGGAAGCCTGCACGCGGCGACAGGGGTGCGGGGTGCCAGGGGCCTGGAGCGCTGATGGACAGCGCCTGGGGCGTCGGGACAGCGCGGGGGCTGCCAAGGCTGGAGCGGCTCTGCGCAGGCGCAGCGGCTCCGGCGGGGGAGGGGAGAGTAGGTTGGTGGTACCCGCCCGGTGAACTGGCAATACTTTCCGGCCTCAGTGCAAACCTGGCCAAGGAAGAGCAGAGGCGGAAAAAGAAGCGGCTGAAGAAGCGCATCTTTGCGGCCGTGTCGGAGGGCTGCGTGGAGGAGCTGCGGGAGCTGCTGCGGGAGCTGCAGGAGCTTTGCAGGCGGCGGCGTGGCCTGGACGTGGCTGGTCAGTGGCTGGCTCCGGCAGAGAGAGCGCAGGGCTGGGGGCCCCGTGTGGCTCCTGCTGTCAACCTTTCCCCACAACCACCCATGAGGGGGCCGTGTGAGGAGCCCAGAATGCTGGGCTGGGGACTTTGAAGCTGACTCCGAGGGCAACGGGGAGCCATGCAAGGGCTTAGGCAGGCGAAGGTCAGGTCTGGCCACTGCCTGGAGGGCAGGTGTAAAACTGGAGAAGGGTGCTATTCAGGCAGCGTTGGGAGCACAGCAGAAGAGCTGGGGGAAGGTGACCTCGGCAGTGGAACTGGCTGGAATCGAGGACAAGGGAAGTGAGAGAAAGAGAGGAGTCCAGGGTAGCGCCATTGGCCACTTGCTGGATGGTGGGTCCCACGCTGTCTCGGGGCCCGGGGCATAGCGTGTTAGAAGGAGGGGATGTAGGCTACTAGGAGGAGGCAGGCTGAAGACTTCAGGGCATCAGCACTGAGGTGGACAGCGGGAAGGCATGCAGTGGGTGAGACTGCCCCCTCCAAGGTAGCAGGTGCAGAAGGCAAAGAGCAAAAGGCCTTAGATGACGCTCTCGGGGGGCCTCAGGGGAAGAGCAGTTGGAGAGGGAGGAGGAGAGTAGGTAGCAGAGGCTCCAGGAGGCCAGTGGGGGAGGCCCGAGCAGGGTCTGGAGGTCTGAGGCTGCCGCCCCCTCACCCTGGCCTCCCCTCCTCAGGGCTGGAAGGGCCAGGGGCAGCCGGGGCCCCTCCTGCGGCTCATCCTGTGTGACCCTGTCCGCAGACTTCCTCATGCACAAGCTGACGGCCTCTGACACGGGGAAGACCTGCCTGATGAAGGCCTTGTTAAACATCAACCCCAACACCAAGGAGATTGTGCAGATCCTGCTGGCTTTTGCCGAGGACAGTGACATCCTGGACAGGTTCATCAACGCTGCGTACACAGAGGAGGCCTACAAAGGTATGCTGCCTGTGGGAGGTGCTGTGCACAGGGATTTCTGAGGCTGGGCTGGGGGCCAGGCCACACAGGGCCCCTGCTGTCACCGTGGGCCCTAAGCACTGAGCCTGCTTTCATACCACATAGCAGGCACTCCTCACTTCCGTCCTTTGTTCTGCAGAGAGTTTTGAGCTAACTGCCACATGCCAGGCATTGTTTTCGGCACTGGGGCGCAGTGGTGAACAAGACAGATATAGGCCACTGCTTTATTTTTTTTTTTTTTTTTTTTTTTTTTTTTTTTTTTTTTTTAAAGATTTTATTTATTTATTTGAGAGAGAGAATGAGAGAGAGAGCACAAGAGAGGGGAACAGGAGAGGGAGAAGCAGACTCCCCGCCGAGCAGGGAGCCCGATGCGGGACTCGATCCCGGGACTCCAGGATCATGACCTGAGCCGAAGGCAGTCGCTTAACCAACTGAGCCACCCAGGCGCCCTAGGCCACTGCTTTAAATAAAGTAATTTTAGATGGAAAATGCTAGGAAAAGAAAATAGAAGAAGGTAATGTGATCCAAAATGACTGGGGATGGGCAGCTTTAGAGTGTATCAGCAGGGAGGTAACCTTCGACCTGAGGCCTGCATGATGAGAAAGACTGGGAGCAGGGCAAGGGCCAGAGCCTGAGATGGGAATGAGTTTGGCCTATCAGGGCAGTGGGAAGCTGGCCAGAGATGCTGTCAGATAGCTGGGCGAGGCCAACACACGGCCAATCTTAGTGTCACCATCATTGTTATTACTTACCGCCCCATCTGGGTCTCAATTTTGTGGCTTCTCTCTTAAGTGGATTGGAAAGGGGCAGGGAGGCCACATTTGGGATAGTGTTTCCCCGCCCGGCAAATCTGTTGTGAATAATCAGTAAGGTGTGTCCTCACTGGAGTTTTTGGACTCAGTAAACATCCTCTTCGGTTCTAATGAGGTGCAAAAATGATGGGCCCAGGAATGACTGGATGCTATCTCGCTGATACGCCAGGGGGCACTAAACATTGCTCTTTGCAGGGAGTAGTCTAGCTTGGCCCTCAACTTTTCTCATGGGGCAAAGTCCTTTTTATTTTTATTTATTTATTTAAACTGCAGACTTTCACAAGGGTTTTTATTATATACTGGAAAAAGTAAAGGACTATGAAAACTCAACACTGTTGACGGGAAGCAAGGGAATCCAGGGATGATGGCTACAACTGAGTGCTGAACTGCATGCTGAGCTCCCTGGTAGCCAAAGCAAAGAGAGAAACCAGATGGGCTATCTATAATGTTCTCAGCCTGTCACTAGGGAGTTGATACTAGACCTTAGCCAGGGAGGTTTAGGCCAGTGCCTCAGGCTTGCCTGTCTTGATTCTTCTCCCTTTTCAGTCCCTTTCTGTCCCCTCCTTTCTTCTTGTCAGTATACAGGGACTTAAACCCCTTTCTAGCAGCATGTTCCCCTTGAGGCCAGGGATGGAGTCTGTCTTGCCCATAGTGAATTCCCTGGGACCCTTGGGGTCTCACATAAGAGGTCTTTAATAAATGTTTTTTGGGGCGCCTGGGTGGCTCAGTCGTTAAGCGTCTGCCTTCGGCTCAGGTCATGATCCCAGGGTCCTGGGATCGAGTCCCACATCGGGCTCCCTGCTCAGCGGGAAGCCTGCTTCTCCCTCTCCCACTCCCCCTGCTTGTGTTCCTGTTCTCACTATCTCTCTCTCTCTGTCAAATAAATAAATAAAATCTTTAAATAAAAAAATAAATAAATGTTTTTTGAATGAGTGAATAAATGAAGGTTACTATTAAGGCTTTGCTGTCCTGACTGCAACTCCTTGCTTTTCTTCTTTCTTAGCCTCCCCTTATCACTTCCTTCTTTCATGACTTTGTCTTTTGCTGGTGGGCTTGTTGGGGGCTGTGAGCACTCACTCTCTCTCTGCATGGTGAGAGGAGCCATTTATTTCTGTCTTCCCAGAAACCAACCCCCTATTCTTCCCTCTGATGGTATCTGCTGGTACCTCCCCTTCAGTGTCCTGGATGGGTGCTCCCTGCCGCCGGGGGGTTAAGGGACTACAACACCACCAGGGGAGCATTTTTCCTCACTTTGGGCATGTTACTTTGCCTTTCTGAGTCTCAGTTCCTCCATCTGGCAGAGGCTAATTAATATTTCCTTCCTATGCTGCTAAGAGGATCCAAAAACAACGTTTAAAATATTATCATTTTTAGCATTTTATTAAAGACCTTTAGCAATTCGCCTTTTTACAATTTTTTTATATTTTTAAATTTTTATTTTATTTTATTTTTTTAAGATTTTATTTATTTATTTGAGAGAGAGAGAATGAGAGAGAGCAAGCACATGAGGGGGGGGAGGGTCAGAGGGAGAAGCAGACTCCCTGCCGAGCAGGGAGCCCGATGTGGGACTCGATCCAGGGACTCCAGGATCATGACCTGAGCCGAAGGCAGTCGCTTAAGCAACTTAGCCACCCAGGCCTCCCTATTTTTTTATTTTTTATTCTTATGTCAATCCCCATACATTGCATTATTAGTTTTAGATGTAGTGTTCCATGATTCATTGTTTGCGCATAACACCCAGTGCTCCATGCAGAATGTGCCCTCCTCAATACCCACCACCAGGCTAACCCATCCTCCCACCCCCCTCCCCTCTAGAACCCTCAGTTTGTTTTTCAGAGTCCATCGTCTCTCATGGTTCGTCTCCCCCTCCAATTTCCCCTGCTTCATTCTTCCCTCCTGCTACCTTCTTCTTCTTCTTTTTTTTAATTTTATTTTTTTTATTCTTATGTTAATCCCCATACATTACATCATTAGTTTTAGATGAAGTGTTCCATGATTCATTGTTTGTGCATAACACCCAGTGCTCCATGCAGAATGTGCCCTCCTCAATACCCACCACCAGGCTAACCCATCCTCCCACCCCCCTCCCCTCTAGAACCCTCAGTTTGTTTTTCAGAGTCCATCGTCTCTCATGGTTCGTCTAGCCCTCCGATTTCCCCCGCTTCATTCTTCCCCTCCTGCTATCTTCTTCTTCTTTTTTTTTTTCTTAACATATATTGCATTATTTGTTTCAGAGGTACAGATCTGAGATTCAACAGTCTTGCACAGTTCACAGCGCTTACCAGAACACATACCCTCCCCAGTGTCTATCACCCAGCCACCCCATCCCTCCCACCCCACCCCCCCACTACAGCAACCCTCAGTTTGTTTCCTGAGATTAAGAATTCCTCATATCAGTGAGGTCATATGATACATGTCTTTCTCTGTTCGACTTATTTCGCTCAGCATAACACCCTCCAGTTCCATCCATGTTGTTGCCAATGGCAAGATCTCATTCCTTTTGATGGCTGCATAATATTCCATTGTATATATATACCACCTCTTCTTTATCCATTCATCTGTCGATAGACATCTTGGCTCTTTCCACAGTTTGGCTATTGTGGACATTGCTGCTATAAACATCGGGGTGCATGTACCCCTTTGGGTCCCTACATTTGTATCTTTGGGGTAAATACCCAGTAGTGCAATTGCTGGATCATATGGTAGCTCTATTTTCAACTTTTTGAGGAACCTCCACACTGTTTTCCAGAGTGGCTGCACCAGCTTGCATTCCCACCAACAGCGTAGGAGGGTTCCCCTTTCTCCGCATCCCCGCCAACATCTGTCGTTTCCTGACTTGTTAATTGTAGCCATTCTGGCTGGTGTGGGGTGGTATCTCATTGAGGTTTTGATTTGGATTTCCCTGATGCCGAGCAATGTTGAGCACTTTTTCATGTGTCTGTTGGCCATTTGGATGTCTTCTTTGGAAAAATGTCTGTTCATGTCTTCTGCCCATTTCTTGATTGGATTCTTTGTTCTTTGGGTGTTGAGTTTGATAAGTTCTTTATAGATTTTGGATACTAGCCCTTTATCTGATATGTCATTTGCAAATATGTTCTCCCATTCTGTCGGTTGTCTTTTGGTTTTGTGGACTGTTTCCTTTGCTTTGCAAAAGTTTTTATCTTGATGAAGTCCCAATAGTTCATTTTTGCCCTTGCTTCCCTTGCCTTTGGTGATGTTTCTAGGAAGAAGTTGCTGCGGCTGAGGTTGAAGAGGTTGCTGCCTGTGTTCTCCTTTAGGATGTTGATGGACTCCTGTCTCACATTTAGGTCTTTCAGCCATTTGGAGTCTATTTTTGTGTGTGGTGTAAGGAAATGGTCCAGTTTCATTCTTCTGCATGTGGCTATCCAATTTTCCCAACACCATTTGTTGAAGAGACTGTCTTTTTTCCATTGGACATTCTTTCCTGCTTTCACCAGGACTTTATTTTTGTGTATGGCATGGTGGCAGCTCTTCGGAAAATGCTGTTTCTGGTGGGACATTCTGAGATCCCCAGCCTTCCAGTCCCTTCCATCTGGAGAGTCCACAGGCTCCACCCACTGGGTTAATATCCCTCCGGCCCCTTCCTGCTGCTTCTCCCCTGTTCTGTTCCTCACTCATGGTGGCACCATTCTCCCAGCTCCTAGGCTAGTAGTCATCCCTTCTCTCCCAACCCCCACAGGCTGTTCTGAGGACTCTTCTTCTAAGGGTCTTTGGCCTTCATCATCTCTTTCTCCACTGGAGCGGCAGTTCCTCCCAAGTCTGGGCTCATTCTAATGCGTCCTCCAATTTTGCATCCAGAGTGATCAGAAAATACACATGGACAAAACCCAAAACTCTGGTCCTGTCACTTGCCTACTTCAATGCCTCGTGACTTCCCATAGCACTTAGGATAAAGTTCTAACCTCTTAACCTGGTTTATGAAGTCTTGAGACAGCCCACCCAGCCTTGATTAACTTAAGGGGTCTCAGCTTAGGGGCCACTCTGGGAACCCTCACCTGTCCCCCTCTGGCTGTGTTAAGGGCCCCTGCTCTAGGTACCACAGCCCTTGACCTCCCAGTATCACAGCACTTAAATCCCAGCGAGACTCTGAGCTTCTCCAGGAGAAGGATCAGAACTACATCCTGTGCACCGCCGTGTCCCCAGCGCCTGGCACCAGAGAGCGGAGCTGGCCGGCAGCTAGTACTCCGCCGTGGTTCGGTGGGGAGTACGGAGGCCAGAGAGGGGGATGCCCCCAGGGCCCGGGTCGAGTGCCCCGCTCCCGTCCTCCCCCAGGGCCCGGCCGCCGGGCGGCCCCTCCCATCCCCCATCCAGGGCCCGGCCGCCGAGCGCCCAGCTCCTGTCCCCCCACAGGGCCCGGCCGCTGAGCGCCCCCCTCTCGTCCCTACTTGGTCCGCAGGGCAGACGGCACTGAACATCGCCATCGAGCGGCGGCAGGGAGACGTCACCGCCCTGCTCATTGCTGCCGGCGCCGACGTCAACGCCCACGCCAGGGGCTTCTTCTTCAACCCCAAGTACCTGCACGAAGGCTTCTACTTCGGTGGGTGCTGCGCACGCCCGGCACGGGCTCCCCGACCACCCGCGCCCGAGTCGGCGCTGGCGGGCCGGCCGGGAGCCCCCACTGCGGGTTCCTGCCCGCCCGACGCGCGGACCCGTGGACCTGTCTGGGGCCCAGCGGGACAGAACCGGGACCCGGGAGGCCACGGGGCAGAGCCTTCGGAACGGGGGCAAGCAGGCGTCCACTGGAGCAGCCCTGGATAGGGAACAGAGACCTGGGAGAGGGAGCAAGGAAAAAGCCCAATCTTAGAGGCCAGGAGACAGGTTCTGGGAGGGGAAATGATTTGCCCGGTGTAGTAAGGAGCGCCCAACTCCGCCTCTGCCCCTGGGCCCAGGGCTTTCCAGGACTGCAAACTCGGAGCCAGAAGTAAGAGAGGCAAATTCCCTCGCTGACGAGTTAGGGAGTTCCAAAGCAATCGGGGTTAGGATACTCTGGGTGGAAAAAAGATTGTAATGCCTATTTTAGATACAGTGAAATTCACCCGTTTCCACGGACAGTTCTGTTCAGCCCCACAAATGCATCCAGTTATGTGACCACCACCATGAGGACAGGGTATAAATAGTTCCTTCACACTAGAAACTTTCCCCACACAACTTTGTCCACCCCTTTCCTATACCAGCTCTTGGCTGACAACCACTGACCTGTTTTCTCTTCTGGGTGGTTTTTGTTTTTGTTTTTGTTTGTTTGTTTTTTATCAGTAGGACTAGATGGGTCTGAGCAGACATGAGGACAGGGTCTTGTCCAGTCCACTGTCCAACATCAGACCCTGTTGGAGCCAATGTTGGGAAATGTCTGTCAGGGGGGATGAAGAGAGGGAACAAGAGGGAGATTGGAAGGGAAAGAGTAGGAGACCTGCTGTCCAGTCCTGGTTCCATCCCAGGCTTGTTGTGTGACCACATATGAGTCACCTGCCTTCCCTTTTCTTAACAAACATTTATTGATCACTTACTATATACACTAGGCACTGTTCTAGGTGTTTGAAATATATTAGTCAACAAAACAAAGATCTCTACCCTCATGGAACTTACATTCTAGACTGGAGGAAAACCATCAATAATAAACATAATAAATAAGAACACTATGTAATATGTTAGAAAATGGAAGTGCCATGGAAAAAAATAAAAAAATAAGACAGGGAAAGGGGGTCGGGAGTTCCAGGCCAGGAAGGAGGTGGATTTCAATTTTAAATAGTGTGGTTAGGGTGACTCATTGAAAAGGTGATGTTTGAGCAAAGACTTGGAGGAGGTGCGGGGATGCGCAATGCAGATATGGAGAAATAGCACTACAAGCAGAGGGAACAGCCTGTGCAAAGGCCCTGAGGTAGGAAAAATGCCTGGTATGTTCTAGGAAAAGGAAGACCATTATGGCCAGAGAGGGAGTGAGTGGGGTAAAAGAGGAGATGGCATCCAAACATGCAGGGCCTTGTGGGCTGTTGTTGGAACCCGAGCTTTTATTCTGGGGGAGGTGAAGCTTATGTGTTACTAGGATCAGTCTGACTGCTGTGCTGAGGATAGTGATGGAGGGCCAGGGTGGTAGTAGGGAGACCAGTTAGGAGGTTATGGCAGTGATCCAGCTTTAGTCTCCCTGCTCTCCCTATCCAAGGGGGAAGATGGGGAGAAGTACAGGGAAGCTCGGGGGTCAGTCCTGCTGGGGACACTGGCTTCAGTCCTAGGGCTTGGGGAACACTGGGGAGGTCTATGAGAGAACTGAGCTCCAGTGCTCCCCCCTGCCCCAGGCGAGACACCACTGGCCCTGGCGGCATGTACCAACCAGCCTGAGATTGTGCAGCTGCTAATGGAGAATGAGCAGACAGATATCACCTCGCAGGACTCACGGGGAAACAACATCCTACACGCGCTGGTGACGGTGGCTGAGGACTTCAAGACGCAGAATGACTTTGTGAAGCGCATGTACGACATGATCCTGCTGAGGAGCGGAACCTGGGAGCTGGAGACCATGCACAACAACGACGGTCTCACGCCGCTGCAGCTGGCCGCCAAGATGGGCAAGGCCGAGGTGGGGCCTCAGGGGCAGGAAGCAGGGCAGGGGGGCTCTCTGCCAGCTCTTGGGCCTTTCTGGGGACCCCACAGATTACACCTTGGCTGGGGAAAGGTCAGCTTTCCGTCTGGAAGTGCGTTTGTGGCCTGGGGTGGGTTTGTTCTGAGTGACCACACAGAGATGCGGCATGTGGGAACCCCCTCTGGACTTCAGTCCCTAACACTCCATGTGTCTCTGCCCTGCTCTGGAGCTCCCATCTGGGGTCGGAGTGGGGGACCTTGAAGGCCATGGTGACACAGTACCTCACGGGCTTCGTGGCTGAGGCTTCCCGTGTGGTGAGGCACCCAGGCGGAGGCTGCGTCTGACCCTCTCATGAAGACAGGAGTCTCAGAATGGCTGCTCTGGCTCCAGAGCCAATGGGCTGCCTGCATCTGGAGAGACCACTGTCGTGCTGAAACGCTGAGCCACGTCCTCAGCAGAGAGTATGGCTGCTTGTGGCCCTTTGCAGCCTGTGTGGAGTGGCTGAGGAGCTCAGGGCTTAACCTTGGTGAAGACTTGGGCTGGGTGGGCTCCCACTTCTGTTGGTGCCTGGAGTCACAACTTGGTCTAAGATCAAGGTCAGGACTCAGGTGGGCCCGAGGGCAAGGCTCAGAGAAGCTTGCTCTTCAGCCTCCATGTGTCCAAGCCCTGGGAGGGGACTGAGGCTCCTGGGAGGCTGTGGAGGACTGGCTGGGTGCAGTCACAGCTGTGCCAGCCTCAGGGCGGCTGACAGGGGAGGCGGGTGCCTCGAGGGCCTTGGGTCCAGTCCCAGTGGTCAGGGCTGGGGCCCACAAAGGACCTTTTCATTCTCTTGTGGGGGAAGGAAGGGTTGGAGATTGGCTTTGACAGAGGAGGAATTGTGTGCCTTCCCACCGTCCCCACCATCTCCTACCCACCCCCGGGAACAGTTTGTGGGGGGCTTTGAGGAGAGTCAGATTAGGAGGGTTGTGAGGGGAGCTTCCCGCAAGCCACTGTGGCATGTGTTCTGCCTGCGTGGACCATGGCCCCATGACCCTTTGATTTTCTAGAGGATGATGTGCTCCCCCATGGCCAGTCCTGGGGAGGGGACTCCCCCATTCCTGGCCCTTTCTCTTCTTCATTCAGTGTTGTTTGGAAAATCTTTCTGGATGCTGCCCAGGTTGACCACTGTGCTGGGAGTGGAGGGTGCAGAGATGCTTACGACACAGACCCTGTTCCTTGGGGCTCTTTGAGGCTGGGGCTCAGGACGGGGAGACTGGTCCTGGGTCTGGAGTTTCTCTGCCTGGACTGTGAGGACAAGGCTCCCATATGAGATGAGATGGGAACCCCACTGGGTTGTGTGAGATCAGGGCTCTGACACTGTTCTCCTCACCAGGACCCTCTTCCTGGGCCTTGGGTTGGTGCCCCAGGAAGCCCTGGCCCCAGTTTTGGAAAGCGGTGAGCTGGAGAGTGGTTGCTCTCCACCTCGCCTGCACTTCGGCACCGCCCACGGAGCTTTACAAAATACAGATGTCTGGGTCCCACCTGCAGAGATTTGGACAGAATTCGTCGGTGGTGTGGGATTGTCGAGTGTTCTCAGTGACTCTACCGTGCAGCAGAGTTTGAGGATCACCTGGAGAGTGCGTTTCTCAGGCCTCTCTGCTAGGCTGGCATCTTGTATCACCCCGTCTGGCCCACAGTGAATCTCAACTGGAATGGTCTTGACCGAGGGTGGGATAGGAAAGCTGGGAAAACTTCTAGTTTCTTCTCCCATCCGGGCCAAACAAATTATTTCTCAAAATTGTCAGTTCCCAGATGCTTCACTGAATGGGGTCCCCAACTGGTACAAGGATTTATGAACTGATTGTGCAGCTTTCTGCATCCTGCAAAGGGCCTCCACACCTTTTGTCCCTTGTATTCTCAGTCCCTGGTGAATTGGGCAGAGCCCCGAGGTTCACACCCATTCCGCAGATGAAGCCCAGCCCAGGGGTCACGATGGCAGGGGCAGAGGTGGAACTCGATCTGTCCAGGTGGAAGCATCTTCCCAGCCCAGTTGTACAGCTGTTCCTCTTTCTGTCCCCAGATCTTGAAGTATATCCTCAGTCGTGAGATCAAGGAGAAGCCCCTCCGGAGCCTGTCCAGGAAGTTCACCGATTGGGCATACGGGCCTGTGTCGTCATCACTCTACGACCTCACCGACGTGGACACTATGACAGACAACTCGGTGCTGGAAATCATTGTCTACAACACCAACATTGATGTGGGTCTCTCGGGAGGGCTGGAGAAGGGCGGGGGATGAGGGGCGGGGCCTCAGGCTGCACTGGGAAGACCCATGCCACTAGCTGGACGTGTCTGTAGTCCCCCAACTCCTTTGCCTCCATGGGCAGAGTCAACAGAAAGGGCAGGGCTAGGGCAGGCGCCGCGTTTACCTGTTCCCAGCTGACCTTGCGCTATAAACCTCTGTGGTGGGTGTCTCCTGGCCTCAGAGTCCTGGGCAGTGTGAGAGTGGGGATGGGATGATTGCTGTTGATCTTCTCCATCTTGTTTCTCCCTCTCTTCCCTAATGGTTCTATAATCTCCCCTTCCCCTCAGAGAAGGCACAGCTGGAGCAATCAGGGAGGCCTTCCTGGAGGAGGCGCGGGGGGGGGAAGATCAGTGAAGCTGGAGGGGAAGAGAGAGCATCAGCAGTGAGAGGTTTTCAGCTTGGGGGGGGAGTGAGGCAGCAGATTGGAACTTCATCCTCCACATGTTACCAAGAGTCATGTTTACCACAGCCTGCCTTGTCTGGGGTCTCCCTGAAGCCTCACGGCAGCCTGGTTGATAGGGTAGTTTGGTTGATATTAGTTTTGTGGATGAGGAAACTGAGGCCCTGGGAGTGTCAGGGGGTTTCCCTAAGGTTACACAGTGAAGGGGCCAAGTTGGGGCCAGTCACGGCCCTTCCCCCTTGCAGCCCTTGCTCCCCACTGAGCAGCAGGTCCTCCCACTGGAAGCCCAGCTCCTGTGGGGTTTGGCTGCTGCCTGGGGGCACTGGGAAGGAGCCTCAGGAGCCAGAAATTACCTTCCCAACATTTCCAGCCACGCCGGTCCATGGGACAGAATGACTGGCCCCTTCTGCCATGGGTGGGGCGGACTCAGAGCTCCCTTTGGAATGAGGGCCCTTTAAAAATGGTGGTGGTGGTCTACGCCCAGAACCGGCATGAGATGCTGACCCTGGAGCCCCTGCACACACTGCTGCATATGAAGTGGAAGAAGTTTGCCAAGTACATGTTCTTCTTGTCCTTCTGCTTTTATTTCTTCTACAACATCATCCTGACTCTGGTCTCCTACTACCGCCCCCGGGAAGAGGAGGTATGTGGGCCCCCGGAGGGAGGCGGGTGGGGTGGTCAGAGCTCCGGGAGCTTGGAGCAGTCCCATGTGCAGGTGAGGAAACTGAGGCCTAGAATGTCTTGGTCAAGACATTCGCATGGCGTTCCCCGGCAGTCATCCTTCACAGCTGCTAGGGAACTGGCTATGTCTCTAGTGCTTAGCTATTGCGGGGAGATCTGGAAGGTTGGGAGACGCAGGCCCTGCCCAGGCTCCACCTAGGTCTAAAGAGCTAATTGGGGTGTTTCTGCTGTGAGGGCCACAGGAAATGGGCGGGGGGTCCTCCCACTCTGGGCCTCAGTTTCCCATTCATTACACAGGGCACAGAGTTTCAGCTTTGAGTGTCCTGTAAGTGTCTGGATATGAATGGGTTCTGGAATGAACAAATGCCATGAGGTGTGAGGGGTTGTTAGCATGGACTGGACTGTGTCCCTCACTACAGAGTTCTGGGTGCCACTGTGGGTGGGGACAGGGGCAGGAAGCTGCCACTCTCTCTCTCACATGGTACGGAGCCTGAGCTTTGTGCTGGCCTCTGGCTCAACCAGAGGGTTTGGCGTGTGTTTGTGCATCCTACCCCCAGAGCTGCCATTACCCCTGCCTTCCTCGCTCCCCATCTTGCACCCATCCTTGCCTTCCCTTCTTCCCAGGCCCTCCCACACCCGTTGGCCGTGACGCACAAGATGGGGTGGCTGCAGCTGTTAGGAAGGATGTTCGTGCTCATCTGGGCCCTGTGCATCTCTGTGAAGGAGGTGGGTGGGCCACTAGGCCCTCTGGACTCGCCTGCGGGGGGCAGGCAGAGGGGCAGCAGGCCTGGCTTTGATCCGCCCTGCTCTGCCTTACCACGGGGAGGCACTTCCCTTCTAAGCTTTCCATTTCTTAGTTCCAAAAGGAGAGTAAATAAATCCGTAGGCCTGTCCTGCCTACTTAATCTGTCTGCCCCTCCATCCCTCTGTGTGTCTATCAGCCATTTATATGCCCTCCCAGCCACTCAGTGACACATCTTCCTGTCCCTCCATCCGCACATTCAGTCACTTCTCTCACTGACCCAGCCATTCGTGTGGGTTTATCAGTCAATCCCTTATCGACCCATCCATCAACCAATGAATCACCTTCTATATGTGGAGCCCTGGGAGAGGTGAGAGGGAGGGAGGGAGCTTGTCCTCTTTAAACTCGCAGCCTTGCAGGGGGTTTCAGACAGGCACAAACACCTGGACTCTAAAAGAGACTATGGAAAGGGCCCTGTGTGGGGTTCAGACCAGTGCTCAGAGGAAGAGAGATGACTCCTATATGGGGACAAGAGGGGGGGAAAGCTTGGAAGCAGAAATGACATTTAGTCTGTGAGGGTGGGATTTGGCACGAGGACATTTGAGAGGAGGTCATGACAGGGTGGGCAGGGGGAACAGCTTAAAAAAAGGCTCAGAGGCAGGAGAGCTAAGCCATATCATTTTTTGTCTTTTTTTTAATTAAAATTTTAATTTTAATTCCAATATAGTTAACATACAACGTCATATTCGTTTTAGGTATACAATATAGCGATTCAGCAGTTCTATACATGACTCAGTGCTCATCACAACAAGTGCACTCCTTAATCCCCTTCACCTATTTCCCCGATCCCCGCACCCGCCTCCCCTCTGTAACCATCAGTTGTTCTCCATAGTTAAGTGCCTGTTTCTTGCTTTGACCCTGTTTTTTCTCTTTGCTCATTTGTTTTGTTTCTTAAATTCCACATGTAAGTGAAATCATATGGTATTTGTCTCTCTCTGACTGACTTATTTCACTTAGCATAATACTCTCCAACTTAACCCAAGTTGTTGAAAATGCCAAGATTTTATTCTTTTTTATGGCTGAGTAGTATTCCATTGTATATATATCACATCTTCCTTATCCATTCATCTATCAAGGGACACTGGGGCTGCTTCCCTATCTTGGCTATTGTAGATAATGCCGCAGTAAACATAGGGGTGCATGTATCTCTTTGATTTAGTGTTTTTGTGTTGTTTGGGTAAATACCCAGTAGTGCAGTTACTGGATCGTAGGGTAATTCTGTTTTTAACTTTCTGAGGAAGCTCCATACTGTTTTCCAGAGTGGCTGCACCAGTTTGCATTCCCACCAACAGTGCACAAGGATTCCTTTTTCGCCACATCCTCACCAACACCTGTCGTTTCTTGTTTTTGGCTTTAGAAGTGAGGCTGTATTTGGGAAATGGCAGGGGATGGTGTGACTGTGCTGTTTTGAGGGTCCGGGTGAGGATGAGGGGGAGAGTGAGCGAGGTGAGAAGATTTGGGGGTGCAGCCACTTCTACCCTGGATTGCCTCTACTCCCAGGCTCAGGTCTCCTTCCACATCCCTCACCTGGGCTCTGGCTTGGCCTTCCCACCCTCCCCCCCCCCCGCCCCCCCACACTGAGTCTCAGACCTGAGGAAACACCACCTTCCTCAGATCTTCCAGTGAGAGGCATGAAGAGGGTGCAGGTTTTCTTTCCTTTTTGGCCTCAGGGCATCGCGATCTTCCTGCTGAGACCCTCGGATCTGCAGTCCATTCTCTCTGATGCCTGGTTTCACTTTGTCTTGTAAGTAGGTCTGTCCCATTTGGTCCCCACTGCACAGGCAGGGCCAAAGTCCTGTATGGCGGCTGCTGTGTCCTCTGGAACAAGCATCCTCCCATGTCACCGTGTCCCAGTTGTCCTGCCATAGTCTCATGGCCAGGGACCTCCTCTCTCCCTTCTAGTAAGAGAAGCCCATGGATGCCTATGGAGAGGACCAGAGGACCCCAGCACAGTGCCCACCGTCAGGTTGTGGTGATGACTGTCTCCACCCTGTCACAGAGCCCTGCGTGGTGGGTGTGGCCGAGAAGGCAGGATGAAGCTTAGTAGTGCTGTCTACTTCTCTAGGAAGGGGTAGTCCAGGCCCGTTCCTCCTAGTTGTGTGGGGTCTAGAGGTTGCCATCTTGGACTCTGGCGGAGCAGGGCCGGAGAGCACTAGGAAATCATCGAGTCTCATCCACAGGCATGACACCCGAAGCCCAGAGCCGGGAAATGAGTGACTCACAGTCCGGCAGAGCGTCAGCGGGGTCAAAGCCAGCCCCAGCCTCCCAGTCATCTTCACCCTATGTTAGGGCACGGTTGCCTACCCCGGAGCCCTGGCCAGAAAGCCCGGCTCAGCAGCCTCTCTGAATGAGGTCATGGGCAGCTGACATCAGAGGCTTATGTGACGCCTGTCCCTAAATGAACAGAGGTTGATTCAGCATTGCTGCCACGTGAATGGAACAGGACTTGCGGTGTGGAATGAAGGAGGTTGGGCTCCAGAGCTCTGTCGATCCCACCAAAGTCCCTCTTGGGAGCATTTGGGAAGCTGGGTCTATAGGACCTGAAATCTTGGCCCAATGTTTCCAAATACCTCGGTGTTTTATTAAGTATGTACCTGCCTTCTAGAGGCATGAACGGAATTCTTCATCCCTGTGGGCAAGTGGGGTGCCCAGATACTGCAGTGAGTAGATGAACCCCATGACATCAGCCACCTGGGAGTCTCTGCCTTTGAGAAAATATGATAATTCCAGAGAAGAATTCATTTATCCGGCTGCTGGCTTTCGTGCAGACAAAAGGCACTGGTGCATTGTCCTGCTTTTCTGCTTCTTCAGTGTTTTGTTAATGGTGAGGAAGGTGAACACACGCTTCCTCACTTCAGTCCAAAAAATGCACCGATCACCCAAATATTTGCTTTTCACTGCACAAGAAAAGCAAGCTTGCCTGTGTCCTCACTTTAACGAGTTAGATATTTCATAATCACGGAGACTGTGTGATGTTACAAGCAATAGAGCTTTTTGTCTAGAGGTCTGCATCACTGATGGTTTGGTAGCACTGTTTCAGAGTAGATTTTGAGCCTGGGTGTTTGTTATACGTGGTACTTTAAAAATTTTAATGGTGGTAGAATCTATATAACATAAAAGTTGCCATCTTAACCACTTTAAGTGTACAGTTCAATAGTGTTAGGTACATTCATATTGTTATGCAACCAACCTGTTTAAGCTATCTATCCTTTAGCATATACTATAGTTGTTAAAAAGATTTTAAAAAGTCGGTTGTGGGGACTTTTGTTATGACTCGCTTTTAAGTACAGGCATTGTTAGCTTTTGTCATTTTTGTTGAAAATGCAATCATTTGCTTATCTGCCTTAGTCTACACCAGTGGTTCCCTGACCTGTGTGGGGATATGGGCTTCTGAACCCGAATCTCCTTGAGTCCCAGGGATCTGTATTTTTAAGAAGTCCCCACTGCTGGCTCTGACTCACGTCTGGTGACGCCGTCTGCAAGGCTGGATGTCAGACATTGTTGAGAGGGTCTGGGGCAGCCTCACCTGTCTCTTCAGCATGACCCATCAGGGTGCTGCTTTGGGGCTTGAAGGGAGGCTGGGGTTTGAGGACCTACCCTGACGCTGAGGAGAAGTAAGTAAGGCCCTTGTCTCCTGTGTCTCCTGAACAGTTTTGTCCAAGCTGTGCTTGTGATACTGTCTGTCTTCTTGTACTTGTTTGCCTACAAAGAGTACCTCGCCTGCCTTGTGCTGGCCATGGCCCTGGGCTGGGCAAACATGCTCTACTACACGCGGGGATTCCAGTCCATGGGCATGTACAGCGTCATGATCCAGAAGGTGCGTTGGAGGCTTGGGAGCATCACAGACATGCAGGCTCAGCCCTGGGGGAGCCCTCACAGAATGTCCATTTTTCAGAGGGAGAAACAGGTCTGGACAGCAAAAGGGGCTTGTCCCTCGGGCAAGCCTCTGCTCTTTCTACCAGACACCACCGTCTCCCTTTGCTTCTGGCCAGGCTTTAAGTGTCCAGGCCTTAAAACAGCTGGGCTTGTTGGGCACTGGGAAGGAATGGTCTCACCCCCAGGCAGTGGTGTGCTGGTAAATATTTAACAACCAGCTCTCTGGGGGAAAATGCACGGACACACGCACACTACATTTACGATACATTTTTACCATAGAAAGGATGAGTAGTACGTAATTTACAAATAATGAACTATATAATGCTCTTTGTTGTAAATTCCACATAGCTAGTTGAGTCTGGCAGAATGATTTGTTGATTTTTCTTGAATTCCTATATCTGTTGCCAATCTGTGGGTGCAAGTGACAGAGAGTGTTGTTGCAACATCGATATCGGTTGATGTTTTCTTTAAGGAGTAAGATGGAAGTGAAACACTGCCGCCTTATGGGAGAACTTGCCTTGCTTGTCAGCGATGTGAGCCACTTACTTGCTGACTTGGATAATAGTTTTACAAATTTTGGAAGACTCTTTCATTAATGTTACTGTGTTATTCACAACACCTCGGCTACAGATAGGACACATATTAAAGTTGAATCTGCCTTAACATTGTCTCCATCGCTGTCTTAAATCTAGATCTAGACAATCAGCAAAATAATGAGTCTGTGATTTGTCCCATTTACTAATTTCCATGGTGTAAATCCTACCACGGCTGATTTCCAGCTACTGGTGTGACGGAGTTGAACACAGAGTCAGGAAGAGACGTGGTAACTCATGGTACAGTATGTGTACCACGTGGCTGCCAGCGATGAAATAACCTTAATAGCATACGTAATTGTAAAATGAGCGATGAGTTTTGAATATTTATTATCTTTGCTTTTAACATAATGTACTTAATTATAAGTTTATGTGATTTAGTTTTTAGTAATGGTTCTGTTTAACAGCCACCTTACAAAATTCATGAAAACGTAACCGTCAGCTCTTAGGAACGGAGTCAGCAGCCTCCAGCACACCACTGCCCCCAGGGAGTGTGAGGATTTCCGACGTGAGACACTATGAGGAAAGGGGCTCACGTACAGGGTGGATCATCAGGGACAGAGACAGGCTGTGTGCCAGGAGGGAGGCGAGCAGGAACAGAAGGGAAGGCTGCTTGGAGGAGATGGGGCCCAGAGCTGAGCTTTGGAGCATGAGAAGGATTTGCTAGGGGAAGGGAGAATGGTCTGAGGGAAGGCATGGTTGGGGCTGGGGCTGGGTGAGGGTGGGAAGCAGTAAGGAGATCAGGGTCTAACGAACATGTGCTCAAATCTTACCCTTGAATCATGTTTCTCCCTTTATAGGTCATTTTGCATGATGTCCTGAAGTTCTTGTTTGTATATATCGTGTTCCTACTTGGATTTGGAGTAGGTAATTGATTTATAAATAATAGGGACTCCCATGTTTGTAAAGCACCTTATACAGATGTCAAAATGACAGAGCACGCAGCAGCCTCAGCCAGTTATGTCACCTACTAGGGGGCACTTGCCATGCTTAGCGTTTTCCGAGTATTGTCTTTTTACTTCTCTCAGTATCTCGACCAAGGGGAAGTCATCATCCCCGATCATAAGGTAACTGAGGCTTAGAACCAGACCTGTCACCCTTGTCCCGTGGGGTATGCCTCCCACATTCACATCCAGCATCTTACGTGGCCCTCACCACCTCAGAGAGGCTTGGCAGGCGGTTTTGGCCCCATTTTACAGATAGGGAAACTAAAGTTTGCGGAAATGTGACTGATGGCCTTTAAAAAATAAGACTAAATTAATGCATCAAGGTAAGCTCCTTTGATTCCCCACATCATGTTACTTGCAGTTTAGGAGGGGAGGCCCCTCCTAAAGTCTCTTCCTTTGTACAACCTGATTTTATTTCTAACTTCTGCATAGAGAGGTATCATTGTATATTCCCATGCCAGCTCTCCATCCCCCCGTGCCCCACCCCCTGCCGCCCCGTGATCATTGGCATTTGAAATTAGGCAGCCATTCCCATCTTCCGGTGTCTTCGCTGGGCCACAGTGTGCTTATTTATTTGCTCCTTCACTTGCCTGTTTATTCATCCATCCATTTACTCACTCATTAATTTAACCATTCATCCATTCGCCTGTCTACACATTTAGCAATGAGCCACTGCTATGGTGTGTTGGAAGGGAGAGAAGAAAGAGGCCCAGGTCTAGGCCAGGGGATCTCCCCACAGAGCATGAGGAAGAAACTCAGGACCTTACAGTCTTGGAGGAGATGGCCCAGGCTACAGGAAGTTGGGAGCCCAAAGCCTGGTTGGGGAGCCAGGGGATGCACATAGATTATAGTTAGCAACTCTGCAAGGCTGTGAGTGATCAAGGGCTGAATGGCAGGGTTGAGGAGGGAGAAAAGGGTGTGGGCTTTATTAGGCAGGAAGCGCTTTTTGCAGGAGGTCAAGGCAGAGAACCAGCCTGATGAGGCTTCCAGGGGCTGAGGCTGGAGGTGAAATCTAAATGACCAGAGAGGATGAGGCAGTAGGCCTGCAGTGTGTGTGTGTGGTGGGGGGGGGCATGTGTGTATGTGCAAGTATGCGTGAGCTTGTTGGGTAATTAACCAGGCAGAGCGCCAGGGGAGAACACCCTATTCTGTCCTCCCAGCCCTGGCCTCGTTGATCGAGAAGTGTCCCAGTGACAACAAGGCCTGCAGCTCCTATGGCAGCTTCAGTGAGGCGGTGCTGGAGCTCTTTAAGCTCACCATCGGCCTGGGCGACCTGAACATACAGCAGAACTCCAAGTACCCCATCCTCTTTCTGTTCCTGCTCATCACCTACGTCATCCTCACCTTCGTCCTCCTGCTCAACATGCTCATCGCCCTGATGGGAGAAACCGTGGAGAATGTCTCCAAGGAGAGTGAGCACATCTGGCGTCTACAGGTGAGCCTGGCAGGGACCCTGGTATGGGGGTCTTCACGGGGACTCAGTTCAGCACGTTGTACTGACAACCGTCTGTCCCAGCGGACCTGGGTGGGGCCTGGGAATCTGCATCAGCTCCCTGTGGTTGGCCAGGTTTGGGGAAGTCTTAGTCTAGGTTCCTTGAGTATAGGGTCGAGGCAGTGTGACTGGACAGCTGCACAGGTGGGACGAACTCAGGCTTACGGGCATGATCTGCTCAGACTCTGGTGTGAGGTGTGGATGTTGAACCATGACCTTCAGTTGCATTAAGAGGAGGATAGGGCATAGGACAATGGAGGTGACAAGTCTGCACGCCTCAATCCTGGCTGCAACATTCCTTCCCCGCTGGGGGCCTTACGCACAAGGACATTAACCCACAGGATGGTCCAGAGTGGGTTGCCAGGCTGGAAACTGTGCCTCACAAGAAACGGTATTGGGACTAGGGTTGAAGAAGGTGAGGGTTTCGTCGGATATCTGCGGAGCTACTTGTGAAGGGACAGCTTCCTTCTGTGACCCCAGAAGGCAGAACTGAGGTATATTGGCAATGACAGGGAGGAAAGCTTTGCTTTGACACAAGGAAGTTTCTAATTATATTAGGGTCTTCTTCATTGGATTGTTGAATACATTCAGGAGAGATTTGACAAATTATTGACAGTTAAACTGCTGAGGGGATTCCAAGCCTGGCCTGCAGGTGGGATTGCATGATGTCCGCCCCTCTCTTCCCCATGGGATCCCAGGATCCTAACATTTTCGGTTAGGAAGCTCCTGCACTTCCAGAAACAGTGTTTATGTTGTGTTTCAAGCAATTTGAACACCTTTCCTGAGCTTGGTGGTTTTCATTTTTGAATTCTGTAGATCAGCTGAACCCTCGGGTCTGTGCATTAAGCACCCGGTGCAGTGGAGCTGGCTGTTTGGGGGTGTGTGCATGTACTTGCGTGCGTGTGTGTGTGCGTGTGTGTGTTGGGGGGGTGCACACTCATACAGAGCTGTGTTCCTGGGCCGGCTCCTCATTGATGTGCTTAGGCTCATTTATGTCCCCAGAGAGCCAGGACGATTTTGGAGTTTGAGAAGATGTTACCAGAATGGCTGAGGAGCAGATTCCGGATGGGAGAGCTGTGTAAAGTAGCAGAGGAAGACTTCCGGCTGTGTTTGCGGTAACAAAGGGAGAGGGGCCCCTTGGTGGTGGTTTTGGGGGGTGAAAAAGAGATGAGTCAGTGACTGTCAGAGAAACGGTGCTGCCACTTGCTTCCCAAACCACAGCCACAGTCGGTTCTGGCCTCCTCAGAACATGGAATTTCCTCCGCCGGGGTCACTGGCCCTGGGACGAGGCTTCACCAGCTTCCGAAGGGAGACGGAAGGAGGCCGCTGGGGACAGTCCCCCACCCCCCACCCCCCCTCCCCATGCAGCGGCCTTCGTGACCTCTCCCTGTCCACTGTCTGGTTCAGGAAAGATTCGCCGACCGGGCAGTCCTTGTCCTTCTCTCTGGCCTGCATGGGTTCATGGGACACCAGGGGACCTGAGGCATGCCTGTCACAGGCGAATGGAGAGTGAGACAGCTACTTTGGACAGATATCAAGCTTTTTGGTTTTTAAAAAGTACTTGCACGTGCCATGACCAACTTTGCTGATGATGAGTCTACTTCATCCTCCCCCCGTCTGACTGCCTGACCTTACAGACTGCCCTCTGTATAACCTCACCACGCCCAGCTTCTCTGAGACTCCCGTGCCGTGGAAACTGCCATTTCCAGCTCTATAACCCTTATCCTAACAAATATCTCTAATGTTCACACCCTCATTCTAGAGATGTTCCCTGAACGTGAACTTCAGCCAAACCATTGCTTCCAGTTGCAATCTAGCACCTTAGACTCTGCTCACTCTTATCGGGGTCTGAACCCTAACTGTTTTCTCCTAGTGCAACCTTAACCCTAGTTTAACCCCAAGCCTCTAAACTTCTACAAGTTTCATCCTCACACTGTCACATCTCCTTAGCCTGGGCCCTTCCCCATGGACTGCCTCTCACCAGGAAGGCCCCAGCCGTTGCTGTCTGAAGATGTCCCTTGACACCTCTCTGAGTTTCTGGGCCCCACACACTGGGAGGGGACTAATCCTTTGAGGTCTGGGAAGATGGGGACTAGTGCAGGTTTTAAACCCCAACACTGCTGACATGACCATGTGAGGCAGGAGTCCCAGATCCCTGGCATGGACAGAAGGGGAGCTGTCTAGAACACCCTAAATGCCAGGCTAGGTGTTTGCACTTAATGAGGTGCAGTTGAGAAGTGGTGAGAATGATTATCACACTTGCAGGATCAATGAGGTGAAGTGGACTGAGTGGAAAACGCACGTCTCCTTCCTCAACGAAGACCCGGGACCCGTGAGACGGACAGGTACTGTGTTGGCTGTCAGGAAGCGTGAGGACCATGCCTGTCTGACCACATGACCGTGGGCAGACTGCGTCTCGGGGCCCTGATTTTCCCCATCTGCAAAATGGGAGGTTGAATTAAATGGGTTCTCAGGTCCCTTTCAGCTGTGACATTTTATAACCCTAGTTGGAATAACTTTTAAAAATCAGGTGGGGGAAAATAATTAGGTGGTGCGCTAGACATGGAATCCCCCATTAGGGAGCACCGCCTTTCTAAAATAGTGGTTTTGGTGTCTGTTTTTTTTTAAAGCAGATCTCAACAAAATCCAAGATTCTTCCAGGAGCAACAGCAAAACCACCCTCAATGCATTTGATGAAATAGATGAGTTTCCAGAAACTTCGGTGTAGAAGCAGAATCCAGAGCTGGTGTGAGCATGGGCCACCTGACGCTGCAGGCTGGGTCCTGGACTCCCTGCTGAGGGCTTGTGGAGCGATGTGGCCTCGCACTGCATGCCCAGAGGCGGAGAGCACCCTCGTGCTGAGTGGGGGGCTGTACTGAGAGGCAGTTGTCCGTCTGCTTGAGTGGGAAACACCCTGAATATTTTTTTTATAAAGATTTTATTTATTTATTTGACAGAGAGAGACACAGCGAGAGACGGAACACAAGCAGGGGGAGTGGGAGAAGGAGAGGGAGAAGCAGGCTTCCCACGGAGCAGGGAGCCTGATGCGGGGCTCGATCCCAGGACCCTTGGACCATAACCTGAGCCGAAGGCAGATGCTTAACGACTGAGCCACCCAGGCGCCCCACCCTGAATATTTTTTTACTCAGCAAAGGGTTTGTGTAAACCCGTGGCCGGCAGTCCTGAGCCTGGGAGTCCCTGAAGTCCAGGGTGAAGCCCCTGGGCTCACCAACTGCCAGGCAGCTTGGCTGGGGGTGGGGGGCAGGGAAGGGGCAGAGGCCTGAGGAGCAGAACTTCCTTCCAGCCAACATCTCCTCCACAGTCCCCAGCCCCAGCCCACACGTTCCACCGTTTCCCTTACTGTGACTGGGTCTCCTGAATTTAAGGGATTCTTGGTCCCATCCCAGAACAAACAGGGGACTGAACTAAGTCGGACGTCCTGGGGGCAGAGGGGACTGAGCTGTGGAAATGCCCGTCCGGACCCTTCAGGGAACAGGAAACTACCCTTGGAACGAGTGCCTTGGAACCCCAAGGCTCCAGCTGTCTCAAACTGAGAGACGTTTTCAGTAGAGTAATTAACACAGGGTTTTTATTTTCCATAGAGAAAAAACATTTCAGTTTTGAATGAAAGTTACTTCAGATGAAGTATGTGATTTTAAAAGCTGAGAAGCAGATTTGGGGATTTGGGGCTGGATATAAGTATTATATACTTGGCCTCAGGGTGGCCAGAGCAGGGACAAAAAGCTTTTCTTTACACACACAAAAGTCCACATGAGACGTGCCAGGCAGGGCCTGTGTGGGCTGCTGTGACCCGGGTGGAGGAGCTTGGCTCTTGTCCTTGTCCTGGCCCTGCCATCATGCGTGCCTCCCAGCTGGGAGCGGGGCTTCATCTGACACGGAAATAGCAGCTGCTCTGTTTACATGGTCTTAAATCTCAGAGGTTACTATTATACATCAGTACTTCTCATTGGAGGAATTTAACAAAATACCCAGAATGCTCTGGTATTAAATATTTTTGTTAACTGTGAATTTTGAGGCTGAGAAGGAGTGTGATAAAGGAGTGTTTGCCAAGACATAGGGCTTCTTTTTAGAGCCTCATCCTCTGATTTTTCTCCCCCTGAAATTACACAGAGTCAGTCTGGGGAAGAGGTGAAGTGGGGATGGGAGACTTCTTCTGGATCACTGGGACCTAAACAACCATAAAGGCCACTCTGCCTTAGGTATCTGGTAAAAGGATTCACGTGGGAATTTTTGGAGGCGGAATTGCAAAGATATTAACCGTGAGTTTTAATTTTAAAGGGCATAACAAATTTGGCCTTTAGACAACTTGGCAGTTGGCTAGTGAATGTGACCTGAGGCAAACTGAGGAGTGCGGGCCAAGCAGTCCACTGTGGGCCCATTTCTCCACTCTGGGCTGCTCTGTGTGCCAACTTCCCTGGGTGAGTGGACAGTTGGCTTTTGTGCCCCTGATGGGTCAGGGCTGGGAGAGGGTGGGGTGGGTCAAGGACGAGCCTGAGACCTGCACAGTTTGCTTCCGCCCCGTACTCCCAGCTGAAGCCGACCAGGGCTCTAAGCTGTGGTGGTCAGATCAGGCTCTGGTGTGAGCAGGGGTAGCAGGGCCTAGGCATGTTCTCTGGAAAGGGAAGATTGGGGGAGGAGGGTTGTCATGGAGGCAGGAGGAGCACCTGTGTTCCAGACGGGCAGAAACAGTGCCACAGGAAATTTCAAGGACAAAGATTTTGGTTCCATTCAATCTAGCAACTGCTCCAGATATTGAGGATGTTTAAGCAGAACTTATTAGGGATGTTGTTAAGGAATCACGATCAGATGGGCTTTGAGGTCCTTTTAGCCTGGAGCTCAGCATCCTGTATCTGGAGTTCTCTACTTGTATACATCCAGAGCAGATGTCCTGGTCTGAAGGGCAACCATTTGGATCCATGGTGCCCTGATCTAGGAATTCCAGAATTGTTCTGATTCAGATACGAATGGATAAAGTCGGACAGCTCGCCGTTTCCCACTTGAACAGAAGCTGGCGGTGAGGCGAATGGAAATCAATAATGAGATCTTGGTCTTCTCACACAACTGGAGAGCTGTTCTCTGCGGATCTGGATGGAATTTGTTGGCAGGGGCATTTTCTGTACCGTATTCATCCCTGAAAGGCTTTCAGCCTAGATCATCTGAGCCTGGGTAGGTTAACCAAGGTGAAAGAAAGCAATGAGTCAAAGATCATTGGTTTGAAAGGATCAGTTCCCTTATTTTATACCTGGAAACTAAAGCCCAGAAAGGAAAGTGGATTTACTTAACGCCATGCAGCCGTGCAGAAAGTCACATCAGAACTGCTGAAGCTGGAGTGTTCTGACTCGTGGGCCACAGGTTTCTCCCAGCACCATCTGTTTTTTTTAGCACAGTTGTTCAGTGAATTTGGGCCCACCTTTGTGGTTGCCACATATGTTATGCCAGGGGGCTAAGGCTTTTTGCCCAGATGATCCATGTTGGCAGTCTACATTGTCCCAACGATGCCCATGACAGGCACACACACGTGCACACATACACACAGCACGCCACACGGAATCCAGGGTCATATCAGGACATCTTAAAACTTCATGATTTACATTTCAGTAATGTAAGGGGTAGGCATTTTCCAGGGATGGAATCTCCCGTGCTCAGATAATGGTTTTGGCTGGGAATTTTCCTTTGGCTAAATTGCCTCAGGAGGAAGCTATTATTCTAGACGCCATGTGATGTATATTCTGGCATAAAAATAGTGCTTACCTTCCTCTCTGGGATGTAGCAGAAGGTGTACGAGATTGTACTGTGAAGTAATTAAGCTCTTAGAAGGCTCCTGCCTGAAAGAGCCCAATATTATTGAAGTTCCTCTCCTTCCTTAAGGCCTGGTTGAACTGTGTCCTTTTGCTCTGGGCGGGGCCCAGGTCGATAGGCCGGGATAAAGGCCTGTAAGCCATACTTGAGTTTTGTGTTGATTTACATGTTTATACTGTGATCTTGGTTCCAAACACAGAATTGTCACCTTGTTCTCACGGAATGTGCCTGATCCTTGTCAATTTTAATTCACATACTTGTTCTTAGCGTTGTGTGTGGGTGAAACTCTGGGTTTAATTAAGAAGTCATAGAGTAAGAACATTTTAGTGCCATTGAAGAAATGCTTTTATGATTTCTAATAAATATTTATTTTGCCTTATTAAGATCGTGGTTTATCCTTGTCTTAGGTTTGACACTATGAGGACCAACTAGGAATCCTAGAGTGTTGCTTACTCTAAGGCTAAAGGAAAGCCCACTTTTTGGACCTGAAACATTATTATTTCCTAGCTCAGGGACAGAGTCAGCACGCCAAGACAGGTCACCTTTGTATGGTGTTTACATCTCACAATGCATTGATGTCCAGTATCCTCTTTGAACCACTCAACAACTCTGGAACCAGTTTGAGTAAAGGGGGACTAAGGGAGCTGAAATGACATGCCCAAGGAATCACAGCCAGAAACGGTTAGCAGCTCAGGCCACTTGACCCCCAAGCAGTGCTCTATCCACCATGTCCTCCTGGCTATCAACTTATTTGATGTGGCTATAAAACCATGGCCCCACATAGAGACCAGAAAGTATAAATCCTTTCTGTTCACAGGACCTTTGCGAGGAGGCAATGATATTACTATCATTATTGGCCAACTCCTGTATATTCATTTGTAAAATTCTCTTGCGTTATTTCATAAGGATGGCAGTTTTTAACTTGAATGTCAAGACACTGCTGTGTCTTGATGGGTTGCAAAACTCGCAAACAGTTTATTAATAAGTGATCTGCTGAATTTGGTGGATTATTTACTTAATCCAAACAACTCCTAGAGTAACATCCTTCATTGGGATGTGTCTTCCTAGGTGGCAAAGAAATGGGAATTGTACATAATCTACATCCGAGCTCAGGTAAGCTTCAGCCTATAATCTAGGAATGTGCTATCCACGGGAACATTCTGCGTGGACTGATAGAAAAACCTGTCATAGGATATATTCTGGGAGTGGGATGCCTAGGTCAATAGATACGAACAGTTTCATGGCTCTCAATATTGCGGAAAGTTACCTTCCAAAAGGTATTTTGCAACTTAAGCCTTTAAGATAGTATGTTTCCTATTTATAAAGCTTTTCCAATCACATTGGTTATCTTAATAACAGTTTTATAGGTTTGATGAGTATTACATCCCCATTTAATAAGTGGAGAAATTGAGACTTGGAGAGACATGGAATGACACATAAAGGTCACAATTTTTTCCTGGGCCAAGGATCCAGGTTCTCTGAGGTTTACTAGTTAGTGCTAGTCCGTAGCGTCAATGACCTTGTATAACAGAGTGGTCTAGCCTAGCCTGAGTCACATTTAAGAATACGTCTCATCCAGGTAAAGGGAGTGTGGGGGTGGGATAGGGCTTCGAGAAGAGGGAACAATGTGGGCAAAGACCGCAAGGTACTAGGGAGCTTAATACAGTTGAGGATGGAGGACATTAAATAAGGCTGGAGAGGTAGGGAGAGGCCAGAGCACATAGGACTTGTTCAGCTGTGGTGAGGTTTTGAGATTTCATATCAAGGTTAGAGGAAGCTACTAAAAGGTTTTAAACAGAGGAATTATTAAATGTGAACATTTCCCTGTTTTTGCAATGGGATTGCAGGCGTAGAAGGGTGTATTTTCCCCCCATGGCATCCTTTGGGACACAGTAACATCTGAGGAGTGTAGAATCAAGTGAATTTCAATTGAGAGTGATGGGCGTACTCGGGGAGTGGCTGGGAAAGAAGGAAAGAAGGCAAAGACATTGGTGGAATATGAAGACACTTCAGTAGAGAAGGGATGTTTAAGCACACTCATTTAGTAGAATACACTGTATTCGGCACTCATTAGGTTGCAGACACTGAAAAAGATACCGGTAATGTCTTCAAGATGGGATGAAAGCAGAGAGGGGCAAAGGGGCAGGCCCAGAAGGCTTTGAGATGAAACGAGAGTTGAGCATTTTGAAGGAAGAGGGGGAATTAGTTAGAATGAGGGCTGAATGGGGGTGAGGGGTAGAGGAAGGAGAGAGAGGACTGTGGGTGGAAGGACCAGTCTGTGTGACGGCATAGAGGAATAAAACAATGTGAAATGGGCTAGGACAGGAGGACCTGAAAGGCAAAGCATCTAGGGAGGTTGTGGGGGAGGGAGGAGCAAATCATAAAAGGCCTCTTGTATTAGGAATTTGAACTTGAATAATTTGTTATTCTGTGCTAGGCACTGTGCTAAGTGCTCCTCCGCATCAGACCACTTACTCTCCACAATAATCCCGAGAGAGGGACACTATTATGATCACCCCCATTTTAATCAAATGCAAAAACCGAGTCTGTAGACTGTTAGAAATAATCAAAAGAAAGTAAAACTGAAAGTGGCTAAAGCCAAACAGCAATATGCTCTAGATTTTTTTTTTTAAGATTTTATTTATTTTTGACAAAGAGAGAGAGTGTACAAGCAGGGGAAGAAGCAGGCAGAGGGAGAGGGGGAAGCAGGCTCCCTGCCCAGCAGGGAGCCCGATGTGGGGCTAGATCCCAGGACCCTGGGATCATGACCCGAGCCAAAGGCAGACGCTTAACTGTCTGAGCCACCCAGGTGCCCCTGCTCTAGATTTTTAAAAAAATCATATTTAATTAGAAACTCTGAATTCTGTAAATATTGAGTCAGAAGAAATAAAACTTTACACTGTAAATTTTATAGGTAAACGAAAATTTGATGGAAGAGTAAAAGTATTCTTGCCAACATTTACATCTGGAAAAAACTGACCCAGAAAAATTGGACTCAGGCACAAAACGTGAAGGAAATTCCACAGTGGGAGAAGGAAGATTGGTAAAACTTGTTATGTATGAAAGCTCATTGATAAATTGCACTTTTACTTCAGAATTCAGAAGGAAAAGACTTTATTCCAATAAAAATCATTTTGACAAAGTACAAAAATATTGGTGCTGAAAATTTTAGAAACCGTTTACTTGTGCTTTATAAAACACTGAATATGAAAATGAAATTGGCTTAATGGGGTTTGCTCCGGAAGAATGAGATATTTACACATATCTTTGTTTCAGATAATGTTAGTATGATTTTGGTACCTACATCTGAAACGATAAACATGGGTTCCTTGGGGTCCACATCACAGGATAAAAACTCTCTTTGCTTGGCCGCTGGGGCCTAAGAGAGGAGGCAGGGGAGGTTCCTGCAGGGACTGGAGGGAGAGGGAGACTTTTGAGGAGAAGAATCATCAGAGGGGAGAGATTTGGGCTTTTGGTCATGGGCGCTTTCTTGAAAGAATGCATTTGTGAACCAGAGATGTGAGTTTGGGTCACATTTCCACTAGTGTCCACTGCCCTCTGCTATTTGGCTTTACTACTTATGCTGCAGGGCCCCAAAGACTTTCTCACATGTTGGCTGGGGGCAAGGGCAAGGGCATTCCTTCAAAATGGGAAGTGACAGCTGGAAGGAATATGCCTCTTCCGGACTTTCCCAAGTTGGGAAGGAACGCCAGCTTCCCAAGGGGCACGTGAGATGTCTGGAGGAGGCTCCCTGCTCCCGGAGGTCAGCGCAGAACAGGCGACCACGTCAGAGCACTGCTGCTGTGTGGGGCTTACTGTCTGTCTGCGGACAAAGGTCCATTCAGTTTCTTGATTTACTCTTAATGTCACCTTTTTTTTTTTTTTTTTTTTTTTATTCATGAGAGACAGAGAGAGAGAGAGAGGCAGAGGGAGAAGCAGGCTCCCAAGGAGCAGGGAGCCCGATGCGGGACTCGATCCCAGGACGCTGGGATCATGACCTGAGCCGAAGGCAGACGCTGAACCGTCTGAGCCACCCAGGCGCCCCACCTTTTTTTTTTTTTTAAGATTTTATTTATTTATTTGAGAAAGAGAGAATGAGAGAGAGAGCACATGAGAGGGGGGAGGGTCAGAGGGAGAAGCAGACTCCCTGCCGAGCGGGGAGCCCGATGCGGGACTCGATCCCGGGACTCCAGGATCATGACCTGAGCCGAAGGCAGTCGCTTAACCAGCTGAGCTACCCAGGCGCCCCTTAATGTCACCTTTCTAATCAGCCCTCATTTCTTGTTCACATTTCATCTTCACAAGAGCAATTAAAAATCTCCTATGGATATCACAACTATTGGCAAAGTTTACAGATGGGATA